GTGATGCAACCTACCGCAATTGGCTCAAAATTGAATTAGAGAATGCAGAAGTTCCTGTCTCTGAGCTGTCACTTGAAGAAAAGGAAAGGGCCATTTCAGCAGCCAAGGAAACACTGAATGCATCTCTTTCCCTGTTGGAAAGTGAGTTTAGTTGACCACCTTGTGCAAAAACCATGCTTTGAGGAAAATGTGCAAATATTTTAGCAATGTATCAATTGTGAATGTTATGTTTGTGTTTCAAATGAGTTGGTATATTGCCATTTTAACTATGGACTTGTTTGTGATTCTCCTTTTTCATGTAGGAGAAGAAACACCTTGGTTGGCTTCTACCAATCGTATATATGAATCAGCTGAACCTGTTTTCCTTGAACTTCATGCAACAGCAATGCTCTGCCTGCCATCTGGAGAGTGTTTGTGTCCAGATGCTACTGTTTGTACTACACTGACTAGTGCCTTCTACTCTTCAGCTGGTGATGAGGTTGTGTTAAGTCGACAACTAATGGTATGTTTGTACAACCTTTGACAGCTTAACCCAGCAAATATGCAGATGTTCCTCAACTATTCATTCATATTGAAATTGTTACAAAAGGTCTACTTCAGTGGAATTTAGTCTATTTAATCATGTCCATCTGGATGTTATGCTTGTATGATGTGAATTCCAAATTATGTTTGTAAAAGAAACTCGAGCCTAACTCATTTCCAAAAGCTAGCTTCTGGAGGAGGATTAACTTAATACTTATAAAGAGTATTTTGGCTCTATTTCTAACCAATGTGGAAATCTTAACACACCTCCTCACGCTCAGGATTAGACATTTGGTGCATGAAATTTGCAGGACTAGACATCTCTGGGCAGCTCAATGTTCAAACTAAATAAGCTCTGATACTATGTTAAGAAACTTGAGCCTAACTCACTCCCAAAAGCTAGCTCATAGGAGGAGGACTGTCCTAACCCTTATAAGGAGTATTTTGACTCTATTCCTAAATAATGTGGGACATCTCAACAATTATTTCAAAATTCTAATCATATTAGTACCTGTACTTTCTGGGATTTTTTAAATAGATTCCTATATGATTTTAAAAACCATAACAAACCTCTATAATTTCAAAATCTCTTTCAATAGGGGTCCTTGATTCTAGTCTATTGTTCAGTCATTGAATTTTTTCTTTGAACTTAGAGGGGTCTATTTATAGGTTTTAAACATACTTGTTTTGAAAATTCTAAAAACTACAATATCTGAAAGAGTTCATAAACACAGCTTTATTGCAAATAGAGTCATGCATTTTCTTCAATCAGCTACAACAGAGAGCAGTTTTAAAGTTTAAACCTTACATTTGTACAAACTTTTCTTAGATGGCTATATTATTTTGATGATTTCCTTTTATATCTTTAATATTTTTGCTTATTTTTCTGCATTTAACTTCTTAGTAACAGGAGACATTATTTAAGATAAGGTACAGGCTTTTCTGTAAATTAAAAGAGTGAATGTTTATGTGAGATTGGAGAGAAAATTTACTTGAGCAAAATTTGGTTCATGGATTTGCTTGGGTCAGAAATCAAATTTGACTAATATGTTCTTATTGGTGAATGGTGATATCTTGCAATGATAAGCTTACTTTTGATGCATTTATAATGTTTTACATAATTCATTGTTCTTCTACTTTGCTTACAATCTAATATTTTGCAGGTCAATGTCTCTATATCTTCAAGGGACAACTATTGCATTGATGTTGTCCTTCGTTGCTTAGCAATAGCTGGTGATGGACTTGAACTACATAATCTCAATGATGGTGGTATTCTTGCCACCATTATGGCTGCTGGTTTTAAAGGTAGCAATATTAGTGCTTTAATGTAATTGGATAGTGTTCTAATATTAATGTAAGAATTTGCACAATTATAAGAGTTGCAATGTTGTTTGAAGCTGAATATTGGACAATATAAAGCCAACAAGAGAATAAATTTCAAAGTAGCAGTGTAGTAGAGATGAGAATATTGTGTTAGGTAAGTGGACATATAAGACAAAATATGTTTAGGAATGAACATTAGGTAAAATGTTGGGGTAACACCTATAGGAGAAAAGATGGTCTTGCCTTAGGTGGTTTGGGCATGTGTGGAGAAAACCCATAGAAGCCTCAGTAAGGAGAGTAGATTAAATGGAAGGGTAATCAATGTTATCTTAGACTTTAAAAATCACAGATAAATGAAAAAAAAAAAACGTTAATTAAAAGGGAATGGAGATAGTATTGTCTTGGGGAGCCCCTCCCTATGACATCTGAACTTTTGTGTTCGTAAGTTTTTGAAAGTTTAAGTTGTTAAAAATACAAAACCGTTTTAGTCTGCTTTGTTTAAGTTTTTGGAAAAAGTCGGTCCTTCAACTTGGTATAGTGGTATTAGAGCCCTCTCACCGACTTAGTGATCAGGAGCTTGGTTGTTATCACTTCCATTCTTCATTATTGAATTAGATCCCAACAGACCAGTGGGTCTGTGCTTTCTTTATGTTCCAAATCTGAGAGGCTGTTGCATGAAGTCGTGTAAGAAATATAAAATCATTCTAACGCCTAACAACTTAGCTTTTGAGATGACTTGGTCATTGAGAAAACTTTCAGTTGGGGAAAAGGTGTCTTCTTTTATGTGAAATTTATTGGTGTAAGATGATTATTATATTCCATAGAAGGATAGGGCATATCATTTTGAGCTTGAGTTACTGTCATAGACCTGCATAACAAATGAGTACAAAATCCATAAGTTTATTACTGATTGCAGGTGAGCTTCCTCGGTTTCAAGCTGGAGTTACAATGGAAATATCCCGTTTAGATGCTTGGTATTCTGACAAAAATGGCACCTTAGAGTGCCCGGCAACATACATTGTGAAAGGACTTTGTCGTAGGTGCTGTCTCCCAGAAGTCATTCTTCGTAGCATGCAAGTAAGTCAACAGATGGCATTAAACATTTAACAACTTGGAAGTTGTTAAGCAAGTGATTACTCATTAACCACTTTTTGGACATTGTAAATAGCTGAATGGTCAATTGTTTCTAAACACAGTTGTTTACAAAGAAATTTTAAAAGTAAAATATTCTTGGTTTTTGAATTTCCACTTGGTTATTGTGTGCTTCATTTTTTGTTTCATCTACAGGTTTCTGTTTCTCTCATGGGATCTGGAGTCCTGCCTGATTGCCACGATACTTTGATTGAGTTGGTTGGCAGTCCTGAAACTGACTTCCTTCACTTGTTTAGCCAACAACAATTACAGGCAAGATGATAATTTCATTTTCTGAAGAAACATTAAAGGCTTCGTGCTTTAAAGTTAATCCCTGGTGTGTTAGCCTATTTTTTGCTTTTCAGAGGATTCATGAGACCTTGCAGCTTTCTTTTTCTTATTGGTTTCATTTTTCTCTAAAACACTAGACCTATAATGTGTCTGAGACAGCCATTATAATGCCTTTTTATTGATTTCTCTATTACTTGCGAAAAGTTGTTTAGGAATAACACCTAGTGATTCATATCTCAATATAGGTATGTCAATGATCCACTGGGTTGTATGTACATGAAAAATATTGGAGGGGTTACTTGAGTTTGAGGAAAAAAATAGCTCTTATTGTCTATTTGGGGCCTGACTAGATGTTCGTCTTTTCACTTGTAGGAGCTTTTGTTGTTCGAGAGGGAATACTCAATCTGCAAAATGGAGCTTACAGAGGAATGATTATTGCCTCTTGAGCAGAGATTGGTTTGGTGCTTATGGAGCTAGTTTTGAAGGATGAAATGCCTTGAAAACGCTTACATTTTCTTATTTATGTAGTTACATTATTTTGCTTTTAGTGAAAATGGGGAAGATGATAGTGCGTGGTGCCTTGTTGCTCTAAGTGTATTATGAATTTTGTTTTATCTTGCGTTCTTAAAAAAGAAATCCCTTTCTGTATATAATTTTGTATTATTTAAATCATTTTTTAAATCAACATGATATGCCTTTCTTATCTATCTGTTTTATGTTAATTCTTATTTGATAGAGGTTATGATTACTGGGGCACGATTCTTAATTTTACATGAAATAGCATTTTAGCGAAGTTTTCTTGGATATTTCCTAGATAAAAGTGACACGACAATTTAATTCAAGGTGATGGCGTTTTGCACCAATTATTTTTATTAATTGCATCATTCTTTATTTTTTAGTTTTTCAAAATTACTCGAGAAAATTAAATGGATGAATCCAAGTTTCTTTTGAAAATTTAATTTTTAAATGTATTTATTTATTTTTTAATAATTGGTAACAATAAAACCTTGTCCTTATTAGATGGAGTTGGCTGAATGTATTATACGGTGTTATTGGCTTCAAATAAAAAAAAAAAAATATAGAGCAAAGTGTTCATTCCTTGAAAAATTATTTTGAATACCAAAATATGGAATTTTGAAAAAATTACGAAAATATGAAAATATTTCAAAATATGCAAAAATTGCCAAAAATTGTCAGACATTTTTAGTTTTTAATTTTTAAAAAATATTTATTTAGAAAAAATTGCTAATGATACTTTTTTATACTTTTTTTTTATTTTGCAGCCAGCACCAAAAATTGTTAATGACCTTTTTTGAAGTTTTATATTTTGTTAGTTTTTAAAATATCATATTTCAGAGTGTATCATTTTTAAATATCATATATAAATAAAAAATTTCATATTTTTGTAATTTTTTAAAATATTATATTTTGGTATATATTATTTTTAAATACTCTATAAATAAAAAAAAATCCAAATTACCTGACTAAATTTCTAAAAATGTGTTCATTAAAAAATAAAGACTTGAGTTTATAATAAAAAGTGTTTATTTGAAAATGTATGGATATTATGGCTTGTAATTTTTACAAAAGGAAATCTGTATAAAAAAAACTCTGAATTGTTTTGACAGATAAGATTTTAATCCTCGATAATATCAGTTAAAGCTTAAAAGTTACAGTAACAACTTTTTACGTATAACTTGATAAGTGAGAATAGGGCAGGCAGCAGGCACATTACCAAAAAGAAAAACAAAGGAGAAAACCCGAAAAGTGATTCCCAGAGAGTGAAGAGGCCAAACACAGCACAAATCCGAGGAACATTGTCTGCGACACTTTGCTGCTCTCTCTCTATGTAACGAGTTGAACCTTTGAACTCAACTCAACGTCTCCATAGCTCTCTCCCTCTTTCGTGTTTTCTCTTAATTTCTAGGGTTTTGCTTTCCCCAATCCAAACGAAAATTTAGCGTTCCCTATGGGGGTTTCCTTCAAGGTGTCAAAGGCTGGCACTAGGTTTCGCCCCAAACCCCTTCCCCTTCCACCCCAAACTTCCCACGATGGCGCATCCGAAAATTCCAAGTCCACCTCACGAGAGCCCCAGGTACGATCAGCAATGTGAAACAACCTTTGATCAAATTGAATTCTTCGTTTTGCTCTTCGATTCCAAAAGGTTGTGTTTTTGCTGTTTTCAGCATCACGTTCCTGCAATTAATTAATTTATAGAAAAACAGTGGGTTGTGCGGAATTTTAATTGTCCGTGTTTATGATTAAGCTTCAATCGTTGTTATTTTCCGTTTCACTGAGATTATGATGACACACCAAAGTACTGAAGAGAAGCTAGTTGCGCCAGGGAACTTATGAGGAGGATGGTAGTTATGAAAATCAATCCCTAATAAGAAACTGGAAGTCTTTATTTATGTATTTTACTTTTCGCCTTTATGAGTATAACAATTTATAATATGGAAAAGTTACTAAATTGCCTCGGTTGGATTGGCAAGTGCCACACAAGCACACGGTTGATACATATCTTTGTCATTTGTGATTTCCAATTTTGGGGTCAGGACCTAAGAAGGGAACGAGGCTAAGAACATATAAGAATTGAAAGCTGCGTTTAATTAGTACGTTCGATTGGTAGCTTGTTCTTTTAAAGGACATGTGTCTTCCTTAAGCTGTGTCTTACCTGGCATAGTGCCTGTAATTTAACTAAGTTTTTGGTATTTAAGTTGCTTTCTTGATTGTTTTAAGTATCTTTTTTATACAGAGTGAACTTGTTGAGGCTTGTGAAAACATTGCTCAGATGCCCAATTCGTCTGTTTTATCTGAAACTCTTTCATTAGCAGGTCAGTCATCAAAGTATATTGTGCTCTTAACTTATGTATAAATCCTTGTTGTGACGCTTACTTGTTTTGACAGAGAGGGAAGCTTCTTTCACATTGAGCTTGTTCCCAGATGGTTATTCTATTGGAAAACCCTTTGAGGTTTGTTTAAACAACAATTAGTATTTTGCTAAAGTTGTAGGAACTACCAAAAATATATAAGCCTCTTCAAACTTGACCTTATATGTTTCTTTTTAATTTATTTACTCTGAATTTCAGAATGAGGCAGCAAATCAATCAAAATATCAAGATTTTCCAAAGTTGTTGCATCCATATGATAGATCATCTGAAAGTCTCTTCTTGGTAATTCTCTTGGAATTCAATAATTTCTTGTTTTTTCAGTTTTAACTTTTATGTTCTAAAGCTTTACAAGTGTTGAGTGGGACATTCAACACTTTCTACGTATGTGTATAATAAGCATTGCTGTATGTATGAAAAATCTCATACTAAGCTTTCAAGACTTTTGGCATGATTCAATTAATTTTTGAAGACTGGCATAATTTAGTTTCACAAGTTGAGTTGAATGCTGCTGGGTTTAAGCTACATGTTTCCACCTTCTTTACACTGTGTTCCCTGGAAGATGGAAATAGAAATAGTCAAATAGGTCTGGATACTTTGATTTTGTCTGGACCCTTCCTTAGGTTGCTTCACATTCGTTGTCTAATTCATCATCTTACTGTTTTTTAATTTTTTTTTTGTATCATTTTTAGTTTGTCTACCTATGATCTTATCGTGTCCTTACTTTCCTCTTTTTTTGCAATGATGGATTTGGAGGCCATTGAGTCAGGTCACTTGCCGGGGGATATTCTGGATGATATACCTGCCAAGTATGTTGATGGAGCACTTGTATGTGAGGTGAGACTTGTTTATTTTTGCTATACTTGACTTTTAAAATTTAACACATAAATTTTGATTTATTTTCTTATGAAAAATTGTTTAAGGGTACACAAATTTTCTTCTGGGCTTGAATTTGGTTTGGTGTTTACTGTTCATAGAGGTGTGTACCTGTGATCAGTATTCCTTGTGGCAGAGTAGCTCTTTCACATTGACGTCTCATTTGCTTTTGTTTCTTTTGATTGTGGAGAGCTACTTATGTGCCAATTTGCACTTTTTTGATTGTTTTCTTTTACAAATTGCTTCTTAGCATTTTCCAAATTTTATCACCATTTTATATTGACTTCTAACAATACTTACTGTTTATGAATTGAGCTGTGTCAATTTTGTTACTCCAGGTGCGTGATTATAGAAGATGCTCCTCTGCAGAAAGTTCTCCTACTGTTAGTAAAGTGTGCCTCAAGATGTCATTGGAAAATATTGTGAAGGATATCCCGTCCATTACGGACAAGTCTTGGACATATGGTGATCTAATGGTGAGTATGATCTATCATTCATGAATGACCGATTTCTATAATTTTATCATTTCTTGGGTATTAATCTCACTTAGTTGTGTTCACATTGATAATAGGAAGTTGAGTCAAAGATAGTGAAAGCTTTACAGCCAAAACTTCATCTAGATCCTACTCCAAAATTAGATCGGCTGTGTGAAAATCCACTTCCCACAAAGGTATATACATGTTACAATTTCCCTTATGAACTCTTTGAATGTTGTGTGCATCTTAATGATGTTGAACTCCATGTTGTAGCTAAATTTGCCAAGAAAGCGATTAAGGCATATGCCAGAGTTTGCTGTTACTTCCAGCAATAAAATTCATGGGAAGAAAGTATGCATAGATAGAGTGCAAGAGGGTTCAATTAGCAGGTTAGGTGATTCAGGAAACACTGTATCCAATACTATTGTGCAGCAGACCCTTGAAAATCCAGCAATGCAAAATCTTAATCCAAGCATTGCCATGGCCTTGCGACCTAAGAATTTTATACCAGATTCTTCCATCCCGGGCTTTTCTATGATGGCCCAGCAATCAAGATATGGAATGGGAGTTGGAACTCCAAGAAGTTTGCAGGAGCATGGATTAAATTCTACTATTAATTCATCAGGGGCTTCTCCTACTACACAAGATGTCATGATTTCGTATGCTGATAATGCTAACTCAAGTGCCACTCTTCGTGCGAAAAGGGATAATCAAGACGGACAAGCATCACCTTTATCCAATATTGCAAAAAGAACGAGGCCTACTTCGACAAGTGTTGATGCAATGCAGCAGCAACAAATAGGCTCACATGTTGAAGCTCTTCAGGGTACAGATATGAATTGGCAGAATACACTATTACATCCACAAGCAATGGCGAGGAGTATTCAGTATACAAGTGGTGGCATTCAGAAGTTTCCCCAGCAGGTTTTTGAAGGGGCGCTGAATCAAGAGACGGGGGCTGCTCCGTTTGCTTCTGGTCAACATGGCATGAGGTTGGTTGCCAAGGAAGAACAGTTTGAGATGGAAAAAGTAGATGGTGCAGAGATAAACCGCAATAGAAGTGAGATGGAAATGGATACCAACAATTTAGACCCCCAACAATTGCGACTTCAGCATCGATTGCCTCAGCATGCATTCATGAGATCCAATTTCCCTCAGGCAACCTGGAATAATCTAGGTCAGCATGTGGATAAGGAAACAAAAAAAGAGGATCAGCTTCAGAAGAGGAAATCAGTACAGAGTCCTCGTTTATCTACAGGGGCATTACCTCACTCCCCATTATCCTCAAAATCTGGTGAATTTTCCAATGGTTCAGTTGGACCAAATTTTGGACCATCTTCAATGGCTGCTGCACCTACAGCATCACAAAAAGAAAAGACAGCAATGGCCTCAGTCCCTGCTGCTGTTGGAACTCCATCCAATGATTCTACACAAAGACAACAGGCACAACTAGTTGCAAAACGGAAATCTAATTCCCTTCCCAAGACCCCGGCAATGAATGGAGTTGGTTCTCCTGCTAGTGTTGGTACAACCAGTGTCCCATTAAATGCAAATAGTCCCTCAATTGGGACCCCGGGTTTGGTTGATCAAGGTCTTCAAAATATGTTTGAAAGGTTTTCAAAAATTGAAATGGTGACAATGAGGTATACTGTTTAAATTTTAAAACTGCATTTCAATATTGTTTTTCACAATTCAATATTTTTTATCTTCCAAAGATTTTTCTAAAATTTTAATACAAATATTCTGTGGTGATGGAAGTTTTTTATTAACATTTTATTCAAGCTTTCTCTTTTCTCACACTTGGTGATCAGAAGAAATTTATTGTGTGCAAGTTATCATTGTAGTTTTTTTTCCTGATAATCGGGTTTATTTTTATGAATTAGCCTTTACTGCTGCTCTTGGTACAAAATTTACGTGTCATGTTTCGTGCTCTTACATATGGTATGAATTTCTATCAGGCATCAACTTAACTTTAAGAAGAACAAAGTGGATGATTATCATATTAAGAAGCAGAATGCCTATTCACCACAGCCTTTAGCGATGTTACTTGCCAATGCAAATAATAATGAGGGATTGATAGATGAGCCAAATTCTTTGTCAAAGTCACTTATAGGTGGGAGTATGAACCCGTGCAAAATGAGAGTCTTGACTTTTTATTGGCCTGAGCATGTAGTTCAAGGTTTGTTGCAATTTTAGCTCTGTCTCTTGCTTTTGGAAGTACATAGTTCTTTTTCTTTCTTGGTTGACTTTCCATTTTTTTGGTACAGGAAATGTTGTTTCTATAATTCCTAGGTTGCGAACTAGGATGATAATGTCTGAAAGGCCATCTGATGGTACTGTGGCTATGCATTATGGGGACATAGAAGATGGTGATTTCATAGCTGCAGAGGATCATCTCCCCACATTACCCAATACTGTAAGTTTCATTGTAGACGTGTGTGTGTGTGTTGGGGTCAGAGGGCGGGGTTATATGTACAGATATTACGGATTTACTTCTGAAGTTAGTTGAATCTTGAATGCATTCTGCCTTAATTATTTGAGCTATTATTCACCTTTTACCATATTATCCTATGTTAAGATTTTAAAACATTCATTTCCCATTTATATTTATCATAGTTTCTCTTCTTTCTCATCACCCTTCAAATCCTTATGTCTTTGATGCCCTTTTCACGGAATCTGTTACCGGTTTATCCTATTGCTATTATTCATTTCTTTTCACATATAATTTGGTGATAATGTTATTTTCATATATTTCTTTTTGAGCACGTGTTCTGCTTCTTCATACTCTCCTAAGTCATGACTGTATTGCCCATTGTTATTTTGGAAAGATAATTCCTTAATTTCTCAGCATTAAGTTGAATGCTCATTGGTCGTTGATGACCATGAAGTTGCTATTAAAATTTAATGAACAATCTAAATTTTAGTTGAGCAAACATTTAAATTCTTGCTATTTAATTTAAGGGAGTTTCTGCAAGTTTATTGCTCTGATTTGTGTAACCATTTGTGGATCAGCATTTTGCGGATTTGCTTGCCCAACAGTTCAGTTCACAGGTATGTTTCTAATCTGAGCTGCAACCATGGGAAGGACATATCTGCGTCAATCTGTTTTTTATTAGTTTAATCTGCCTATTGTAGATGGAACGTGAAGGATATGTGAGGGAAGATGACCGGATCCAACCCAAACCAAACCGTATAAACCTTCCACTGGGCAGTCAATCTAGTGTACCTCCTAATAACTCTGCAGTTGAAATGCAGCAATATGGAGAACAAATTCCTGGTCAGTCATCCAATGAAGTCGTAAAACCAGTCAGTGGCAGTAATGCACCTTTAAACATATCTCAGAATCTTGTAGCAAACCCAAGAATGGTGCCACCTGGAAACCCTCAAGCCTTACAGATGTCCCAAGGACTTCTCTCTGGTGTTTCAATGGCTCCAAGACCACAGCAACTGGATTCACAACAAGCAGTACAGCAGCAGCAGCAGCAGCAACAACAACAGCAGCTGCAACAGAATCAACACTCTCTCATTCAACAGCAGAATCCCCAGTTCCAGAGATCTCCTATGATGCTTGGAACAAATCAGCTTTCACACTTAAATGCAGTTGGACAGAACTCCAACATGCCATTGGGTAATCACATGCTCAACAAGACTTCAGCTCTCCAGATTCAGATGTTACAGCACCAGCAACAACAACAGCACCAGCAACAGCAGCCACAAATGCAGAGGAAAATGATGATGGGACTTGGAACAGCTATGGGAATGGGTAACTTGAGAAATAGCATAGTTGGGCTTGCACCCATGGGAAATCCTATGGGAATGGGAGCTGCAAGGGGAATAGGAGGAACTGGAATCTCGGCACCAATGACATCTATTGCTGGCATGGGAAATATGGGTCAGAACCCGATGAATCTTAGCCAGGCTTCAAGTATTACCAATTCTATAAGCCAACAATTCAGGTCAGGATCAATAACTCCCACACAAGCTGACATTATATCAAAGCTTAGAATGGCAAGTCGTGGAAGCATGCTAGGGTCACCTCAATCTAGCATAGCTGGCATCTCAGGAGCCAGGCAAATGCACCCTGGCTCTGCTAGTCTTTCAATGTTGGGTCAGTCTCTGAATAGGGCTAATATGAGTTCACTGCAGCGAGCAATTGGACCTATGGGTCCACCAAAGCTGATGGCCGGGATGAATCTTTATATGAATCAGCAGCAGCAACATCAACAACCACAACAGCAACAACACCAACAGCAGTTTCAATTACAACAGCAGTTGCAGCAGCAATTACAGCAGCAGCAAGAAACAACTTCACAATTGCAGGCAGTTGTTTCACCCCCACAGGTGGGATCACCATCTACGATGGGAGTTCCACCATTGAACCAACAAACACAGCAGCAAGCAAGCCCTCAGCAAATGAATCAACGAACCCCGATGAGTCCCCAACAGATGAGCTCAGGTGCAATTCATGCCATGAGTGCTGGTAATCCCGAAGCTTGTCCCGCAAGTCCACAGTTGAGCTCTCAGACCCTTGGCTCTGTTAGTAGTATAACGAACTCCCCTATGGACATGCAAGGTGTTAACAAGAGCAATTCTGTCAGTAATGCACAATGAAGTTACAAAGCCTAAAATGTCCCAATCAATGCCCCTGCCACCTCAGTTGTTGGATACTCTGTTGCAGCAAGCAAGCAAATGATGTTGAATTTTTTAGCATTAAAATATGCTAGAAAATGAGTGAATCGTGATGGATGATATATATATATATATATAACATAAAGCATATTTGAATGTCGTAACTCTAGAAGAAATCACATGTATTGTTTCAGTTGTAAATAGTTCCTTGTTTTCCTTGCAATCATTGAACACGAGGAAGTTTTGTGATGTTTAGGCCAAGATTAACATGAAAGATGTATCTATTGCATAGCTACTTTATTGAGTGCAGTAGCAACTAGACTTTATTCTCACCGAAAGGGTAGCGCCTTATTCTCAGGCGCTTGTTTCATCTTTACATTGTTCTATTTAATGTATACAAGTTGATTCATAAATTTGCCTACCTATTAACGGTTTTTGTTGTCCGTTGAATGGTTTATTGGATAAGTAAACCTTAACTGTCATATATTGGTGTGAACTTAAGTGGACATATATCAATGGCAACGGAAGCTTGAGTGCAATCCATAACTATTATACTCCTAACTTGTGAATAAACAGTTGAGAGTATATTATCTTATTTTGCTTGTAGGATGTTGATAATGACTATGTTCGTGAGAGTTTCTGGCAAAAAAGTTGAGTGCAAAGCAAATTAATATGAAATATAAAACACAATTTCCGTTTGTAGAAATATGAACTCAGAACGAAACCTTCAAACAGTCAGGTTAAAATTTAGTAAACTAATGATGCGTTTTAATGGATTTTGTATCTTTAATGTTAAGGTTGCAATAGGGTGCATAATTAACATAATTAATATTGGTTAATTACGTATAATATATTATACATTTTACTTTTGAACTTAATGTTGTGTATTTAAATGTGATAAATAGAGGAAAAAAGATAAGATAGAAAAAAGAGAAAAAAAGTAATTTAGTAAACTAATGATACATTATAATAGATTTGTATTTTTAATGTTTGGGCAAGGATTGCGATAAAGTACATAATTCACATTGGTTAATTATGTATAATCTATTATACTTTTTGCTTTTGAACTTGATGTAGTGTGTTTAAATGTGATAAACAGGGGAAAAAAGGTAAGATAGAAAAAAAAAGAAAAAAATTACTTATTCAATAAGATAGACAATATATATATATATATATATATATATATATATATATATAATAAAATATAATTTTGATCTAATTTTAAATGAAGAGTAGTATAGAAATACGAAAATAGTTAGCTATCTTTTCTCCACAAATTTTCTGGTAAAAAGGGGTGGGAGTAACATATATATATATAGAATACACTACAACTCCCCTCCCCTTCTTCCCTCTCTTAAATCATTCAAGACTAGCAAAGTTGTAATTCAATTTTCCTATAATAATTGCATCAATTCTCATTTACATCAATTATAGTGTATATATATTTTTTATATATAAATTATGTTTTTCTGAACTCTAGTATTTATATGGTTTTGTGATTATAAAACTACTAATCTGTACCCATTTTGATTACCTTTCATTCTAACCAAATTTTCTCAAGCAAGCTCTTTCCAAAATAATTATTTTACATAAATTAAGATTACCTTTTGACTTTACCAATTTTTTCAAGTGCACTCTCTCTCTCTCTCTCTCTTCACCTATACCTTCCTAAAACATTTTAGCTTAACCTTGTATATATGTTTCTTTTTTTGTAAGAATGACTTTTTTTACGTGAGAGTGAGAAGATCAATTAATAATCATTAGATTAAAAGAAATAACTAAAATGAGAATAGTCAATTAAAAACTCACCTAACCTTCCGTTTCTCTGAACCTTTGTATTTTTTGAGTAAACAATCACGTAGTTTAGTTGAAAAATGTAAGAATTCATTCTCCAATATACTCATTTTATTATTTTAGCCTTTTAAGGGTTGCTTGATCTATTTCATTGTCGTTAAAATTCTGATTGCATTCTCTCACAAAAGGTAATGTATACGTTTTTTACTCAAAAAGTTACGTTTTGTCTTTGTTTAACCGAAGGTCTAAAAAACACAGATTTAGCAAAAGAAAAAGTTACGTGGAATTTTAATTGACAATCCTAATCTCAATCATTTATTTTAATCTGACGGTTGTTAATCGATCTCCTTACTCTTCCATAAAAAAGCTATTTTCATTGGAAACATTCTCTCTCTTTCTAGTTGAAGATTGAAATAATAATCAGGATTTAACAGTCTCGAATAATTTTTTGGGATATATTCCTTCATAGCTTTTATTTCTTATATATATATATATATATATTGTAGTGAATAGTATTTGACAAGATTGAAGAAATAAAAGTTACAATACCCTTGACCTTCTCAAGGGTTGGAAGTTCATAAACAAGGAGGCAAAGATTACAAGTTATATATAAACCATTTGCAATTACCGAGAAAGGACATGAGGGAAACACCACAAACCAATATATCTATTTTTCATGTAATAAAAGAAAGCATTCTTAATTCCACGTCAATGAAATCATGTCACAACAAAATTTTAGTTCACGCGTTCCTTTTGCCTCTAAAATCATGTAAAAATTTGCAATTGTCCCCAAAACGGCACCACCCACGGGAATAATGTCTACACAGCTGGTTTGGCTTATAGCTTCTGTTGGGCATTAAAGGGTGAACCTGATTTGCATTTGCCAGCGGCATGTGATGAGCCTTCCAAGTTGTTTGCACCAAGTTCTGGTTTTTCTCAATAAAGGTTGGTTTTTCTCTGGAATGCAGATCAACATAATTGTAGTTTGCACCAAGTTCAGCTCCCCTCATATGATCAATAGCAAAAGTACTCCTATAATCAGATGGGTGCTTCCAAGTTTGTTGATTATGTATATGGTGTGTAAATGATGTTCTTCCTGAACTTGCTAACTGGTCAGATCTCATTGCCACGGTTTTAGAATCAAAAGACATTCCGTGTTGTTCAGTTACAGCTGCTGGTTTATTTACAATAACACATGCTTCTTTTCTTATGTTGGCAGATAAGCCTGAATTTTGAGATGGAAATTCTGACTTCTCTGGATTAATGGATACATTTCTTTCTTGAGGTTGATATGGTGACATTGTAACGTGTGAATGTGATTGACATTGGTTCTTTACTGAAACCTGTTTGGAGACCCTGAACAAGTTGAATACAGAAGTATATGAGATTATTTTGTAAACATGAATAGTTAGTACCACTTATATTGTGTTAGAAGATAGGGGGCTTTAAATCTGAAATTACCTGTTTTCCATATTTGTTTTCCTCTTCTCCTTTTCTTGAATCCTTGCTTCTCTATCTGCCCTAGCAAAAGATCCCCTCGAGTGTTTTTCCATCAATATTTTCAGCCTTTTTGCTTCATCTTCCCATTTCTAAAATTAAGACATGGAACATAATAATAATAATAATAATTAAATAATATGGGACAACTCAATGATATCAAAAGGAGAAATGCTGCCATTTAAGGAACCTGTCTCAAAGTCTTCAACCTATAAAGATTTCGACCCTTAATCAGAAGGGGGTACAGGGGAGGGAGAGGCTTTTCTCCCTTGCTCCAGAGCACTTCAATCTGTCCAGAACAAGATAAGTACAAGAATATTGTTTACTTGAAGATAGAGAAAATGATTCAAAGATGCTTCATAAATTATACAACTATTCAAGATAGACAGTGTATATTTTTTTATTGCGATATAACAAAAAAAATCCTTCAAGAAAAACAGACAGTGGCTCTAAAGTTTTGTGAAGTTTGTTAAACAATTGAGTGATACTCTTCTTGAATAATGGTGGCACAGTTTTACTTTGCAAATGTGCTTAAGTCATTGATAACAATAATCATGAGATAAGATCCATTTAAGAGAACTACCTAAATTTTTCTCACCGTAAAGGTATGCTGTTGTTTGGCAGCACCATAGCTTTCCTTCACTATGCGGCCTGCAACAATCCTTTTGCCACATGGTGGACCACTGGCACTCCTGGATGCTATGTTGAACCTGAGAGAACCAATTCTGTTAAGGAAACTGGACGAAGATGGCAGTAATTCAGAAATAAACCTCATCAACATCATTAATTTCTCCTTTGGAAGTTAGTCTTCCACTGGAAAATATGTCTAATGGCATACACAATAGTAAGCATGACAATGCTGTGTACATCAACTGTAAAGCTTTGCATATATGTGTATGCCTTGAAAAAAACTTCAGTGCATAAAATATAGCACGTGAGATCTCTTCCATTTATCATGCGTTAAGTTAGAAAAAAGTAAAAAGAACAGCTTACATTTCATAGACATTTTGCTCAAACAAAACAACATCACCAGTGCATGCATCACCTGCATAGAGCAATTGTTTTTCAGAATCTGAAGCCTGAGTTGAAATGAAAGAATTCAAGCCAACAAAACAAGAGATAGTGATTGTCAAACAGATAGAAATCATAATTGTAAATATAGACAAATAAAAAAGAAAGTATGTTTAACATTATTGATAATGGAGATAGTGGTAAATGCTACGACAAATACTGGGGAAGTGGGACTGAACTCTGAATATTGTTGTTAGAAGTATCATAATATTTCTTTCAAACTTAAATCATCAGGAATTCAATAAGGCAGTTTACATATTATGTTATTGTTAACCTGAACAAGTAATTTCATAAGTTTAAGAGATGCAACGTTTAAATTAACATATTTTAAAATTCATCGTTAGTCACCTTTGCAATTCAACACAAAGCTAAAACGCGGGTATTTTTTCTCCCCTCCACCATTTAAAATCCTGAAAATCTCAAAGAATCAGAGAAACGATACCAGTTTTCCTTATATAAATACAACTAGTGCACAAAATATTATTACTCTAAATGTTCCTTTATGCGCTGTAGGAGTGTGTCTTTGTTTCCAGTTAACCTCAGACCATGCTTCCTCAAATACACCTTGCACTCATCCACTTTCAATTTCTCTAGCAGCCCCGCTGCCAATAAAAACAATGAGAGATAAGCAAGTTGAGAGAGAGCCTTACACTTGTATAAGGCAACCGAAAAAAACACACAATAGAAGGCTTGTTCACAAAAAGGGTATATCTAATTGAAGCAAAAGAGTATCTTAAACAAGTACGAAAAAGCTAAAAACACACATCCAGTTCTGTTATCACATTTAACAAAACACAAGGGTTTAAGAGAAAGCTTGTTAACGAAAGGGTGTTGCACATCATTGATACTAAGAGTAGCTAAAGCTTCCACCACCATCGATCTAAAAACCAAGAAGAAGAAGAAGAAGAAGAATATCAATACCTTCGATTATTTTTTGAACTTTCTCATAACCCTCCTCATCAACAAAAGATGCAGTCACATCGATCGCCTCTGGCGCTGTCTCACTACATAGACCCTTATCTTTCACAATGCTGCAAGCACCAACTTACCACGAAAGAAGGCTTAAAAATTCCATTTTGAATAATGGGGTCAAATGAGATCATAAGATTACCGTGCTTTTGCCTTCTTAAGTGAGAGGTTTGAAAAGTTGATTTGGGTTTCTTCGAGCAGATCATAATCGGGGCCTTTTTCGGAATTGTCCCAGTCAGAACCCGTGTCGGATTCTTCAGATTGGATGCTAAGTTCTGGAAGCTGCAGAGGTGAATCTTTGGTAGCCATTGATGGTTCTTTAATGATTAGGTTCACAGTTTCAGCAACGTTTTATAAGATGATCAATGTGGCCAGTGATGGGGTATGAGTTCCCAAACGTTGCAAATATATGTAAAAGGATAACTTATATATATATATATATATATATATATATATATATATATATATATATATGAAGCACTATTTTCTTATATTAGTTTAAATTTAAAAATTTTTATATTAAATTTAAATTTTTTATTTAATTTTTATCTAATAGATTATTAATTAAATAAAAGACTTAAAATAATTTTTAATCATAAACTAGCTGATGTAAAAAGATCTTTTCATTAATTATATATATAATGACTTTTTCTTAATCATTTTTTTTCATTTTATAGTTCATAATTTTCATCATATTGTTATTATTGTATAAATATTATATTTTTATTTAACATACAATCTTATTAATCATTTTTAATATAAATTTTAATAAAATTATTTTTTATTAAGTATTATAAAGACACTTATTATTATTATTATTTTAATATATTTAATTATATGATAATTTTATTTCTTAAAAATTAATTAATAAAATAATTATATATTATATATCTATTTAACTTTTACAATCTAAAAAATAAAGTTTATTACACCGTTGTATAATATATTTTTCTTTTTAATAATTACTGATCATAACATGTAACCAATTCCCTAATTATTAATTTACGGTGCATTTACATCTACAACTTAACTAAACATTTATTCAATAAACCTTCTTTATATGATTAGTTATGTCATAATTTTAATCATAAAATTTATTAAAATAAATAAAAACAAATTATTTTAATAAATTATATCAACGAATTTATTAGAAATGTTTAAAAGCCATAAAGTTTTAATAAACCCTTCCAAACAAGTACTTAATCACTTCTTATTCTCAGTACAAGAAAAATTCCAAAGGAGTTAAAAATCTAAAAACTCATCTACCACTCATCACCAAACGAGTTCATCCTCTGTAGCAGTTAGTTCAAGATTCCAGGTCAAAACTAAAACCCAAGTTAGCCTTTTTGTTCCCCTCATTGTAGATTTTTAGTCGGTAATGATGTAATATAAAACGGATCAGGTTTTTTTTTTTTTACTCATAACACCTCAACCAAATATAGGCCTGCTAAAAAATTTACTGTTAAAGAACTGAATGAAGCCATAGAAGCTACATGCTGTCCACAAGTGCCACGAGCAATGGAAAAGTCATCGTAATTCGTAAAACATGCTGAATCAACAGTCAACACACGCACATAAACGCGTTTATGAAATTGAAGATGTTAAACTACCCTATTCTGTAAACAAGTGTGTCCTTCAATTGGCGTTACCCTTCCACCCAAGTTATGCAATTGACGCGTTTTTCCAGATAGCTGTTCAGGTATACTACGAGTAGGTAACTATGATAGTGCAACTGCTTGTAAGCAATATCAGTACAGAACATTAATCCTTAAATACTGACAGATGTTTTCTCCTTCACCTTGTTTATCCTTTTTCTTCAATGATAATGATTTTTTATCTAAACAATACAATTCAATAATTTATTAAACTAAACAATGCTGTATGAAATTTGATAAGCCATTGTTCATTTAAATGCAACAAAACTCGATACCTACAAATTGTCCACATCTTGAACATTTTTATCATGAAAAATTCTGTTTGGTTCAAAATATACTGCATGAAAACTGACAAAAGTCATAATCTCTTCTCTCCTGATCTTGAGTGGTCATGCAGAAATTCTAATTCATTAGTTTCAAATTCGTGCAATTTCATAACGATTAACGACGCATTAGGACTATATACATCATTTCTCCTATTATTTGTAAGTAAAATATATAAAACGAAATGAAATAAGGTTGATCATGCCTTCGAACAAGCACTCTCATTATCATTATTATACTAGCGATATTGCGCAATTCTAAATCAGCTGCTCAAATGGAAACAAGAAAATCGGAGGTAAAATATATTTAATTCATCGACGAAATAATCCTGAAAATAATTGAGAAGTAGAAAGAAGAAATGCCTATATGCATCCCCAAGGGCATCAAGTTTTCTCATATCTTGGCTCCTTACTATAAAGCTAAATGGTCCCTGTTCCAGAAAGCCTGATCCATCCATGCTCAGATGTATCAGAGGGTAGTCTTTTTTTCTAAATCAAAGTTGTCCAGAAAAAGTCGACATCATCTCATGCATATAGGGTTCCCAACAATCTGCGCAAATCTGGATGATCATGTGCTAAAAGCAAGAAGCCACAGCAGCAAGAACTCAGATTTTAAATGTCAGATACTGCGCTCAATCACCAAAGTTTATTTTTGAGCCAGAAAAGTACGAAGACAACTCCAAAAACAATAGCAACAGGGGCCCACTTCCGAATCAGAGCCTGCAGCAAATATTTTATTTTAAATTATACATTCACAATGCTAATTAACTACAATCCAAATAGAAGCTAGTAGCATCAAAGGAAAACATCACTTCTTAATATTAAGCGGGGCTATGTCAGCTCCATTGACCATCAACTTAACAACAATAGAAGGCTAACAGTTTGCATTGAAGAAAACACACACACACACGCACGGAAAAATATCATTGGGATTTAAGAATGGTGAACATACATGTGTCCGTCCAAATAGAAAAAAAAAGAGGCTATATTACAAAAATGGCAAGAATATTAGATATTGTGTGCATGATGCAGTAAAACTGAAAATGACTAACCTGCCGATTTAAATCTCTAGCCTTATCAGCATAAATGCGAGATTCTGATGATAACCGACTGGACATTTGGCTGACCTCTGCATGTTACAATTTGAAATTAAAAGTAGAACATAATTTCATACCTCACAAGTAAAAACAGAAAATGCACCAAAACATACAAATAAAAATGAAGCTGCATTAGAAGTGGAAATAAAAGGACATCATCTATCAGAATAATGGATGTGAAAGTGTGGAACTATAAAAATTTAGAAGTTTCTGGGAAAAATCTTTAAACATAATCTCATGTCCAGGTTAAGAAACTAGGATCAAGAGATCACAAAGATTTGAAGTTTGTGTTGTTAAGATAAAACCAAAATCCTATTTGACAATCATCTTATGTTCCTTCTCTTAAATATTAACTGGGACACATTTTGATTGCTTCTCAGATACAGCAGTAGTTCCTATATTATCATGAGGGCAAAGCATCTCTAGCCTATAATTTAGCATGGCAATCATCCTTGACCAAAATTAAATTTAGATTTCACATTTCAACCAATCAGCAGACAAAATGCTAAAACTAAAATTATTCAGAGAATACAAAGAATATCTTACGGTCCAACTGTTCACCCACACCAAGAACTTCCTGCACATTTCGAGTCATTATCTGGTGGACTTCATAGAGTTCATCATTCAATTTTGCAATATTGCGCTGAGTATGAGTATCCTGGTAAAGTTTCTTTGTCTTCTGTATAAATGTATCTTTTAAAATTAAAAGGGAAAAAGGGTAAATTAATCACTAGAGGAGAAGGAGAATAATGCTGTAAATAGTACATGACGGTATAGAAACTGATATCTACCAAACTTAATGAAGGCATAAGGTCTAGCAGCAGTTTCAATTTGAGATCCATTAACACGCTCAAACTCATTCCTGAGCTCTTCAAGATATTGAAAAGCTAGTTTCTTAGGGTATGCACGATCACACATTGTCAAGTAACAGACCCGTCCTTCTATAATATAACTGAGGCTCTGTCAAGGTCGCATTAGGCAATGAAACTCTTCCAAATAAAGTTAATGTAAATCTTAAAAAATGTAACTAATATTAAATAAATAGGTTATAGACCTCAAAAACAGTTGAAGGCAAGGGAAAAACTGAAGAACTTGCTAAGGAAGCAAGGTTGTGGAGCAACAAGATAGTACCATCTGAATTGTAATTCAATATGAGAATGAAATGCATACCAAAACAGAGAAAACAGACATTGGCTTCTTCTAATGTCCAAAACTCAAATATTTGCAGATACAACAATGCAAAACAGCATTTGAATAACTTAAAAAATACACAGGTAAGCATCTTGAGTCTGATGACGAGACGTACAGAATTAACTGGGAGATAACAGCACATGAAATAATACCAAACTATACAAATCTACACAGTTCTAATAATTAACAATCACTCATTACACTGTCTTATATCCTTATCTACTCTCATACAGTTATTATAACTCATGGTTATCATTACACTCAGATATTACATGTATCTTACAATGCAATAGCACAACAAGTAGAATAATCAAGCAATTCTTATTTGACTGCCACAGATATATTATGAAATAGTTATGAGGATACTGAAAAACGTAAGGGCCAGTTTCAACTGACATCCTAGATGCCTCATAATGTCCTCTTGACAGATTCTTAAACAAAGCCTTGACTTGCTGTTTGTAAAATTCTGCATCTTTAAGATCACGGCCATCATCCAGTCCTTCAGCTAGTGGAAGACCATCGGTAACACGGGCAATCATAGTCAATTTCACCATCTTTCTTACTTCACAATCTCCCACTCAGACTCCAAAACTTTGCAACTAAACCAAAATACACTGCAATAACTATGCAACAGACATAGACAAGGCTGGTCAGACTCAAGAGCTAGATAAAAATAAAAACCTGCTCATTCATTTATATACTAAATAGGCCACTTAAAAAATAATTAACAATTAAGGAATAAAACCCTCATTCAAATAATAGCACCTAAAGTCCATTACATCCTGATCCCACATTTTTTAACCCAGTTTGATCTGTCAATTGCTAACATCTGCAATCAAACCAACCCAACTCTAAACAACTCAAAATTCTCTCTTTTTCTCTTTGGGGATAGAAATTCACAGTCATAAAGTTATTCTTCAGATTGCAAAATATTAAACAAGAAATAACACAAGCAAATGCCTTTAAAATTGACGAAACGCATGTGGTGCAACAATGAAAGGTAATTACTGCCTAAACTAAACGAAATTCATAGGGCAACTCATGCACGATGTACGATGTAGCAGCTCACATCGCCAATTTAGCTAACACCACGCCATTGCTATTATGATTTATAAACTAGATCTGAGAAATCGCGATCAAAAACAAAACGGTAAGAAAACCTAATTTACAATAACCAGATCTTACGCTTATATCATCTAATTTGGTCCAAGGTAAAGAACAAACACATTAGGTTATTTTTGTTTTTTAAATTCAGAAAAACCAAAAAGAATAACGAAGATTTTTTGGTCGAAATACAGTCAGGGGAAGCAAAAAAACCTGAATGGCGAAGAGAGGGTAGTGGCCGGAGCTGCCGCAGCTAACGGCGGCGTGGGATGGTCCAGCCGAGCCGAGCCGAGCCGATGGATGAAACGAGGAAGAAGAGAGGATTGAAATGAAAATGGTGTGAGAATTTTGGACAAATGCCACGTCGTTTTAAACCAAAAACAAAAGACAACACCACTGTATGCCGTAAAGGTGCAGTTTCAAACTTTAAATTCAGTTTTCAAGTGTAATAAAAACAAATAAATGAAGACTCATATACACTGATTGAAAAATAATAAATATTTTCTAATTAAAAATACGGTGAGATATGTTGATATAATATTTTTTTTTTCATAATTTAAGGTCATTGTTATATTCTTTAAAAAGTTAGCTTATTTGTTTAAATGATATAAATGTAAATTCATTGTTTATTTATACTTTTGTTAATTTTTATTTTATCATATATTTTTTATTTTAAAAATTATTTCTAAAATAATAAGAAGAATAAACATAGATAAAATTTGATCATTTTGAGTAAATTTAAAATATAAAATCTTTGTGAATGACTTAAGGTTAAAAGGCAGAATATTTGATGATTAAAATAATAAATTATTTATAAAACACATCGATGATTCATTATTTAAAATATTACTCTTATAAATAAAATTAATTATATTATCATTTAATTATGAATTGATGAATATTTTTTTAGTTTTTATAATAATTAATATAAAAATTATATCAATAATGTATTTTAATTAATTCATCATGTAAAAAATTTTACACTGATTACACTAAAATTAAACTCATTAGTTGTTAGTAAACTGAAAGGTAACCACATTCTGGCATGTCATTTATCAATTTACGTTTGATTGCTCGACATGTAAAGGGAGCTTTAAAACAACAATGAATTGAAATAATTAAATTGTAATGAATGCTTTTTGGCTTTTGCTATCTTTTTATTTTTTCTTTCTACAAGACATTGAAAGATGACGATGTCGATAATCACAGTGACAGAGGTAATTTTTACAAGTTAAGGGTACAATTTAAACATTTCTCACATGATAGTAATATTAATTTACTCATACTAATTTTATTCTATTAATGTTAATAATTTATTTGTATATTCTCTCTATTAATAAAAATAGTTTTATTAACATGTGTGTATTGATTCTAAATTCTTTCAATCAATAATAAGATTAGAGAGATAATTCCGGGCCTTAGGCCCCATATTGAAATAGCAAAACTTAAAGCCCATACACCCCTCTTCTTAATCAATGTTGTCCCTTTTCCATGACCGAAAAAAAACATTTGTTTCCCCTTTTGTTTTTATTATGTTATTAATACTAGTTTTTTGACAATAGCAAGGTTCATCATATAAAAGGAGTTGACATTTTGTGTTAATACTAATCCAATGTTAATATATATTTTTAAAGCTAAAGACTACTAGGTGCTTTTCAATCTAAAAGATTTAATATTAATTTTTTTTGTAATTTGTAATTATTGTTAACATAAAGAAATTTATACATAGTAAATATTGAACATAGGACCTTCAATCTTAAACAGATTAACTCACACATAGTAAATATTGCTGCCATTGAATTACATGTGAATTTTTTCAAAAATAAAAAAAAAACCCAAAATCTCTCTCTCTCTCTCTTTCTTCAAATTCCTCTCTTTTTTCTTGAAATAATTTTATGTTAAAAATAATGTACAATCCTACAGTTCTGATGCTATAGTATGAGTTAATTGCAAACCATGACAAATTCGATGAATAATATTAGGCCTTATTGTCTCTGTAGGAAAGACATCTATCATTGAAAGTGAATAGGTGATCATAATCCTTTAGCTATAAATACGTGATATTAAACTTTATAAGACTTCTTATACGAGCCACTGTAGAACTTGATATTCAATGAATTTACTAACATGTCAACCTAATGATAGTTTAACAGGTTAAAAATCCCCTAATGCTTCTTTTTTCTATCTAAATCTTTTAACTCATGTTAATAAATTATTAAATAATGACGGTATACACAAGATGTTGTAATCTATGTTTATATAATATATAAAACTCTTGTTACATGATATAAAAATATTTTTTTAATATTTTTGTTTTAAAATTGATTTAAATTATAAATTTTTGTTGCAAGGCGTTAGTGGGTGGGTCTATCATACTGTAGGGTGGCTAGTTTTTGCTGGCATTTGGTAGATCTCACTTTTCCTTTCAACCGAGCACTCACAAAACTCCCCCTATTTGGCTGCCAAACTTCAACAGCACTTGAACAAAAACTATAATGTCTAGCATGACATAATACAAGTGTTTTTTTTAATACAAGAAAACTACAAGTTGAACCACCGTTGTTACCAAGAAAATGGTTAACAACCAATATATGTAAGAATGTCAAACTTAACTATACAAAGTTATAACTTTTTCTGTTTATAAAATGCAAGGTAAACATGTGCATCACATTATTACGCAAACTTCTTTTCCTAAAAGAGAACATAACATGTTTCCATTTTCCCAATTCTAACTCTCCAAGTCACTGTTCATGGAAGGAAAGAATGAGAGAGGCTGAACCACGCTGGAGAAGCAGGGCACATGCTTGATTTATCAAAGTTTTGAGCATGTGTCCTGCTTCTCCAACATGGATTCTTTCTCTATCAACTATAATATTGGCAATGTGGTTATGTAAATTAATTTGTCAGCCACAAGGTGAGCTCTTCCACTTGCTTTATGTGCACGTATTAAGATTCCTATTATAACCAAACACTTCTTAATTTCTGGATTTCCACTTTAAGTCAAACATTCTCAATGGTATCACTCTTGAATTTAAGCTTTCTTTTCTGATTGAGTGGCTCCACTTGCACTTTACAATATGTTTCAATAAAAAAATCAATCATATAATAACTAGACTTTATTTGAATGCCTTCAACAACTGCTCTTTATTTTCATCATAATGCAAATTGATATTAACTTCAATTTGGTTTTTTTTTTTTTTTCTTTTTGCCACAAACAGAATACATATGATATCACATTACATTTTGAAAAATAGCTAGCCAAGCTTCCATTAAGCATGCCTGGCTCAACCACATAACATAATTTAACTTATAAATAGCATGAAATAGTACATTGCTTTAAAACATGTTATTGACCTAGAATCAAGCTCGGTTTTCCAAAGCAAATGCAGCAGAGTCAACATGTAGAAGCAAACAAGAATAAACTTTTTGTCTTAACCTGTCAACAGTTTCCACCAGGTCTTCACGCTTCAAGTTTACAGTGCTTCTCAGTTTTTCCAACCATTCATTTGCTTGCTTAAGGTGGGACAACATGAGAGCTATATGATTGGCATGCTCCATTTGATTCCCTACAATGTCCTTACTCACTTTTCCTTTCTTCTCTTGAGAGCTTGTGGAAAACCAAACATCCAATGTCTTTTCCAAGTATTTCAAAAACCATGTTCTTGTTTCACTCAAAAGGACTTCTCTCAGTTCGTTTACATCTTTTAGACCATTCCCTTTCGCCCATTCTTGTTTATCAATTAGTGATAATTCAGTTGAGTGTTTTGGAGACTTTGATTTACTTTTACCAAGCATTAAAACTGACTCCTTTTCAGATTGGTCTACTTCTGAAGGAGAAGTTTTAGATAGTGGAATTGATCTATCTTTGTGTGGTGTTGTACCATTTGACTGGTCCATGAGCTCTTGGAAGGTAAAAAACTTATTCAGTGTGACATGAGGGTTCTCTGCTGCAGCAGAAGAGGATATATTGGCGAACATACTGAAAAGAAAGATACAGACAAATAACTGAAAAATTAAATGGCAAAAGGAAAATTTTCTTCTTACATAAAAAAATTTACAAATAAGTCATGCCATTTGCTTAAATTACAGGATTTTAGATTTCACTGAAATCTCTTTGTTGAGATGGCATGAATCATGATGCCTTGTATGACAAAACGTTGGGCCTAACTTAACAAGAACATAACACTGTTATAATGTCAGCACATCGGAGAGACTGATTCGTAAATATTTTTTCATATAAGGATAAAAATGTGAAGTTTTTTCATCTAGGATCTAAAATGAAAAGTGGTGTTAGACATAAGGACCAAATTTTTAATTTTACCTTTTTTTGTAATTCCATTAATAGCTAAATTTTGAGTAAATACTAATGTGACAGTATTTGCTTAGGCTTAATATACCTTAGGAACTTGACAAGGGTTGCGGTTGCAATAACTTCGTTTTGAGCTTCTGCTGCAACCAGCGAGGCTAGCTGCTTTCTTCTGAGCATTCCCTAGTAAAATAAAATTTAGTAAAGAAAGGGTCAAATACAAGCTAGTATGGTTTCTAAGAAAAGATTAATCTTTCGTGTAATGGCTCAGATAGCATTACTTAACTAAACAAGACAAATAAGATGAAATTTGTTTCAGTTTGATCAATATAGGATATGGTCATTGAAAATGTCTTGTCCCTTTCCTGGCCTCAAAGATTGATGTGAGTTGGCATGCTATTGGTGATACAACATTTGAATTAGAAGAAAAGAAATGGTCATTGAAATCGCAATGTACCTTTCCAGGCCTTGAAAGGTTGGTTGGCAAAGAGGACCATGAAATTGCATCTGTGCTATAACTTTTATCTTCACTGCTAGACATAACATTCAAGTTCGTAGTTTCTTGTTTATTAGAATTACGTTTGGTATATAAGCGCCTAGAAGGTGATATGACACTCTCCTGGATGTTAGATTGAGCAACACCTTGCTTTGGTGAAGGTGCTTCAAGTAGACTACGAGTTGTGGTCACTCGGGGTACCTGTGATGCTAAAAGACTAAAACCAATCATTATCAATATCTTAATTTTAGTCATTACCTGTTTAGCATAGTATACAATTCAGAAGTTAAACATGATTATTTCCTTTAATTTCAAGTAATGTGTCCTTTTATATTTTATTGTCTTTTGGCAAAATTGAAGTATTTTGGGATGCAGTGCTAAAAAAAATCATGTAATTACTCTTTCTGTCCTCTTCATATGTTTGCTATGACACTGTACAGTTTTGTCTATATGAATATACCCTTTATGGTAATGTGCAGTTTTGAATTATTTAATTACTGTTAAGAAACTCTCTAACTGGTTAGATCAACGCTCTAGATAAATACACTTCACACCACTTCCCATTGATCAAATATCAAATTTATTTAATCAACAATCTGCTTATAATGGTCATATATGGGGTTTGTGACAAGAATTTTTTTAGGTGTTCTAGGTGGTTACGTGGTTAATGGTAGGTAAGTTATTGATTAAATAGTTTAAATATTTGCTTAAATAAATCATTCAACTGGTTATATCCAATAGTTATCTCACTGTTATCTGTTTATTTAAATTTTTTAAAATTTTCATTGTTGGGGCCAGTTATAGTTCCCATATTGCTTTCAAATCCTGATCATACTATGGCTATTTAAACGCCAAGTTCTAAAATCATACATTCTTGAGCCTTCAAAAAAATAAAAATCCAAGACAAGAATCATACCTGACCTTAATTTCTTGCAGTTTTACTTTTGGAGACCCAACGTTCCTACCATCTACACCATTCTCAAAATCGTCTCCTTTTCTTCCTTCATTAGTATCTGGCACATTAACTTTTAATTTTGGACTTCTAACACCCCGCAAGTACCTGGATGCAACAGCAGCTTTTTCCTCTTTAATAACAATCTTATGCCTTGGACTTTGGCTCTCTTTGGCTTTTGTTAAATTCATGGATTTTGAACCATTAACTCCATGATTACTAGATTGCACTGGAACCTGTGATGGCTCTATCAATTGCATCAAATCCTTAGGATTGCCAACAAAAGGGTGTCTTCCAGGAACAGGTCTAACATCAACAAGAATAGGGACTGGTGTTCCAGCCTCTATCCTATCCACATAAAAGAATTGGCCAAGTTGCAACTTGTTATTCAAGATAAGCTCATTGTCTTCCTTTGAGAGTGAGACATATGTTGAATGAGAAGAGTCAGAGACTTTCAAGAAGAAACCTTGGTTAGGCCATAATTCAGACCCAGTTATTGCAGGCACAATGCTGATCACTTGCAGAAGAACTGATCTATATTCCCCTTGAACTTTCACATTAGAATTCATACTTTGGAGAAGCTTCAGTAGAACTCCAGGAATGAGGGATGCCATTCCTTCTTCACTCTCTTCTGATTTATGTATTATTGTTCACGGTGTTAGCAAAATTGCATGTCTGTTTTATTGAAGACAAAGAAATAAAAAATCAAATAAAACGTGTTTCAGAAATTACTTATGTAATTCTAAGCCTATGTAAGTTGAAAAATTAATCTATTTTTAGTTTTCTAATTCCGCTAATGTCTAAATAATTTTGCAAATATGTAACTAATTGAATTGTCAATCTTATCATGTGATCTTCAAACCAAGAAAATTAAGCAGCAAGATTTTGCCGAAGTTATAAAAAACAAAGTAAGCAGAAAACATTGGAAGAGTTTAATATACAGATAATATCATGTGTGTGTATCAGTGTATGTATGTATATTATATTACCTATGTCAGAGTTGAAGCATGAAGTGCCAAGAGAAGAAAATTAAAGAGGCCTTTGTGAAGGGGTTGTAAGAAATTCTACACACACAGAAAGGACAAAGGACAACCAGTAGACTTCCAAAACAGAAAGCTTCTGATTACTTCATAAGTGGCTTAACCAAGATTTTATAAATCTCTTTTATTACAGGGACGTTAGCATCAAATTCTCTTGGCACGAAAGCCATGGAACAACAACACACATGCGCGTGGGAAATATACGGCACTTTTTGTGAGACACCAAATGATAAATCAGCTTCTTTACCAAAGAATTATGCTTGCTAACATGGTTAGCAATTTAATGGATATTATTGGCTACATGTTGATGGGGCTCAATCTGGTCACATGTCGTTTTAAGTTTGAGCCAATGTAACCACTGAAAGAGTTAAGAATCCGCTCATGGCCATTTATTGCGTAGCATTATTAGTATTCCCCTCCATATTGAGCATGCACATGCACAGTCATTCTTTGACCATAATCAACAAAAAGTCTAATATATGGAAGTATATAAAGACGTTTTTAGGTATTTCCTTTTCAAATTTACTTAATTAAATGGTACGTAGTACATTTTTTTATTTTTTGTTTATTTGAAAAGGGAAGAAACCTGACCCAAAATATATAATCAAATGTTGTAAAGTCTACACTTCAAAACAGCCAAAACAAATTAAAATGGGTGTTTTTTCTATTTCTATCCATTTGATTTTGGCCAATGGGTCATCAATGTGTTGTGTGAGAATTGCTATGTTGACAATAATGTTATAGGTTCAGATCATTAGGATCATGAAAAGGCATTGGCTTCAGTCTCAGCTCGAACTAGGCTAGCATACAAACCACTTTGAAAGGAAGCCATGAGAGTGTCATGGCTCCCATGCTCCACCACTTCCCCATCTCTCATAACTGCGATCTTGTCAACTTCTCTGATTGTTGAAAGCCGGTGAGCAACTATTATCGTTGTTGCCTCTTCGGAAACATTCTTGAGGGCATCTTGGACGTGCTTCTCTGATTCCAAGTCCAAGGCACTGCTTGCTTCATCCAGTAGAAGCACCCTTGATTTCTTCAATATGGCCCTTGCTATAGCAATTCTTTGTTTTTGACCACCGGATAACTGGACCCCGCTTTCACCAACCTAGTGTAGAGAAAATGAGAAAATAAATCATATGATTTGCTAACAAAAGAGTGCTGTAAAATTCATGTAAAAAGTGATGCATCGTAAATGAGTACATAATCTGTGCAACGTTACATACCTAAGTTGTTTAGAGTAAGTTTTTATTAGAAATTGTATCATTTAATAATATCAAAACATTAAATTACGTTGAATTTTTGTATTTTTCAATGAAAACTTATTATAACTTCTTAACTTGTACAATGTTTTACAGCTTAGAAAAATAAAATAAATAAATCTAGAGTAAAAAATGTAGCACAACTAGTTATGAATATGATTTAGAGTAGTGCTACATACCTGGGTTTCGTAACCCTGAGGAAGGCCACTGATGAACTTGTGGATGTAAGCCTCTTCTGCAGCTGCTTCAATTTCAGCCCATGAAGCATTTGGGTCCCCAAATGCAATATTGTCCCTTATGCTACCAGCAAACAGTGCAGGTTCTTGACCCACCAAAGCTACTTGCCTCCTTAACCACTTAACATCAATCTCCCTCAAATCTAACCCACTCATCATCACCTTTCCTTGGTCTGGATCATAGAACCTCTGAGTCAACCATACGACAGTTGACTTTCCTGATCCACTTGGTCCCACCAAGGCCACTGTGCTTCCACCTTTGACCTTTAAACAGAAATCCCTCAACACAGTCATCTCAGGCCTAGAGGGGTATGCAAATGTCACCATCTTAAATTCTAAGTTGAAAGGCTTTGATCTTTCTACTTTCCTACCCTTTTTTCTATCACTGCCAATTAGTGGCCTACGATTTATGATATCTTGAACTGCAGGAATTGCTGTAGCAGCCATAGAAGTATCCGGTGCCAAACCAGCTAGTTGTCCCACAGAAAATGAGCTCAAAACAAGAATGAGAAAAATCTTGGAAATGTCTCCAAACTTTGCGTGGTCATGTTCTACAAGGTAGGAACCATACCAAAGAGTACAGGTGTATGCTCCATACATGGCACCTTGAAAGAACCCAAATGTAAGACCTTGAATTTGTGAACTTTTGAATGATTGTCTCCTAGGTTCTGACAGGGCTCTATCAAAGGACTTAACTATTTGTTCCTGAGCAGAAAATGTAGTAACTGTCCTTATGTTTGACACTGCACCAGAAGCAATATTGCTAGCTCTTGCATAAGAGTTGTTATCAACTCGTGGTCCAACATTTATGATCAAGCTTATGTAGCTTGCACCAAGAGTCAAGGGAGTTACAGCAGCTGCCACAAGGGTTAGTCTCCAGTTAAAAACAAAGGACACACCAAGGCCAACAGCAGCTGAACTCAATCCCATAAGAAGGACTGAGAATCTGTCACCAAGCACTGATCGAAAGCTAACACAGTCTAATGAGAGCCTTGACACCAACACTCCAGTGGAGTTTTCTTCAAAATCAAACCACCCAGGTTCTTGTTTCAGTATGGATTGAAACAAGAGGTTTCTAACCCTTTGTGTTAACTTTGTTCCAGCCCAGCCACACAAACCTTGTTGTCCTGTCATGGAAAGTATACAACCAAATCCAAGGCCAACAAGTGCTAGACAAAGGTGCCCAACATCTCTTTTCATCTTATGAGTGTCATTGTCAAAGTATACTCCAAGAGATATGCCTAAAACCAATGGGAAAAGGGACAGAAAAGCACCTGCAAACATTCCCATAAGAAATCCTGAAAATAGAATCACTATCTCCGGCTTTTGCAATTTCCACACCTCAGAAAGTCTGTATTTTCTTGACTTTTTGTTTTCATTATCAACCAAGTCTTCTTGTTTCTCCTCCTTCTGTGTAGATTTTAAGTTTTTAGGCATTGTGATATCACCTACATATCTTGATCCTGATAATGCATTAATAGATTTATCATAGATGGATAAATCATTGCCTTTTTTCATGCCATTTTCTTTAGAGAGAGGTTTTGAAATGGCTTCAGTAGCAAGCTTGACAAGGTTGAAATAAGCTCCAGCTTTGCTCATAAGCTGGCGATGGTCACCAATCTCTGTGACAGAACCATGTTCAAGAACCACAATGGAATGAGCATTCTTAACTGTTGCTATCCTGTGAGCAATTACAATGGTTGTTCGGCCTGCAGAAATCTTGTCAATGGCCCGTTGCACTGCTGACTCTGATTCAGCATCAAGAGCACTAGTAGGTTCATCTAAAAGAAGGATTTTTGGATCTTTGATCATTGCTCGTGCCAATGCAATTCTCTGCTTTTGACCTCCTGATAGTTTTGTACCCCTGTCTCCAACCTGCATACAAAATAGTACTTTCAAAGTAAGAGTCAAACCATACATTCTTTCGATAGAAAGGAAGAACGAAAGAAAGCAAGCAAGGAAAAGAAGAGAGGAAAGAAAACAGGAAAGAAACAAGAGAAAGAAGAAAGAAATAAAACAAGAGAGGAAGAAAGGAGAAAAGAAAAGAAGAAAGCAAGAAAGAAAGAAAAGAAGAAAGAAAGAAGAAAAGGAAGAAAGAAAAGAAAGGAGGAAAGAAAACAAGAAAGAAAGGAAGCAAAGAGTAAAGAAAACAGGAAAAGGAAAGCAAGAAAGAAAAGAAAAAAAATACAAGAATGAAATAAGAGAAAGAAGAAAGAAAACCAGAAAGAATGGAAGAAAGCAAGTAAAGAAAACAAGAAAGGAAGAAAAATGATCAAGAAAGAAACAAGGTAAAGAAGGAAGAACAGGAAGAAATAAAGAAAGCAAGGGAGAAAAGAAAAGAAGAAACCAAAAAGAAAACAAGAAAGAAAGAACCAAACAACAAAGGAAGAACAAAAAGAAGTAAGAGAAAAAAAGAGGAAAGATGATAAAAAAGAAAAAAGGAAGGAAAAAAAGAAAAATAGAAAAGAAGGGAGGAAAGAAAACAAGAAAGAAAGCAAGAAGGAAAGATAAAGAAGGTAAAGAAGATTGAAAAAAGGAAGCAAGAAAGAAGATAAAGAAGAAAGAAAGCAAGAAGGAAAAATAGAATAGAAAACAAGGGAAGAAAGGAAGAAAGAAAAGAAGAAAAGGAAGCTAAGGAAAAGAAAGAAAGAAAGAATGGAAGGAAGGAAGAAAAAATCAAGAAAGGAAAAAAATAAGAGAGAAAAGTGTTAGTAGGTGGCTCAGTTTGTCAAATTTTGTAGGCAGCAACTTTGTTTTTTTTCAACTTTGTAGGCACCGGCATTCAAAATCTGTAGGCATTGAATTTTGCATTTGGTAGGCACCGAATTGCTACAGTAATTGTTGAAAAACTTTACAAAATTTTGCCTATAAATACCCAGTGTAAGAATGAATGAAGAACATACGGAAATCGATCATTCACTGATCAGAAGAAGAAATTTGAGAGTGTTATTTTGTAGCTCTTATTCCATTCTGAGAGAGTATTTATTGAGAGAAAAAATAGAGTGATTTATTACTCTTTATCCTCATAATTTTAGAGGACTTTTTGTACTCTCCCTTTTACATAGTGGAATTATTTTGCTCGTCGTTTTCTGTGGGTTTTTTCTCCGATTTGGAGTTTTTCCCACGTTCAAATTTTGTCTCCATTATTCTCTTACTTCTCTTTATTTCCAATTAAATTCGATCCAGTCTTCCGCATTGACTTGATACCCCAACAAGTGGTATCAGAGTAGTTATTTAATTGGAAATGTCTACTGTTACAAAATTTGACATTGAGAAGTTTGATGGCAAGATTAGCTTTTCTATTTGAAAAGTCAAAATGAGAGCCGTTCTCACTCAGAACGGATTAAAGAAAGCTTTAGATGGAAAGTTAAAAAAACCGGCTTCCATGACCGATGAGCAATGGGATGAGTTGGATGAAAAGGCGCTTTCAGCAATCCAACTTTGCTTGTCCAAGGAGGTTCTACGTGAAGTGGCCGATGTAACCACCGCTGCGGAATTGTGGTTAAGGTTGGAAACTTTGTATATGACTAAAAGCCTCGCCAACAAGCTTCGTCTCAAGGAGCGATTATATACGTTCCGTATGATAGAAGGTACTCCCATTCAATCTCATCTTGATGAGTTTAATTCTATTATTATGGATCTGCAAAATATCGATATTAAAATCGATGATGAAGATAAAGCTGTTTTGTTGGTTGTCTCTTTACCTTCTACCTACAAACACTTCAAAGAAATTATGTTGTATGGTAATAATGATACCTTATCCTTTGAAGATGTTAAATCTAATTTATTGTCCAAAGAAAAATTTGATCTTAAAATTCATTTTGAGGACAAGGGTGAGGGTCTAAGTGTTAGAGGTAGAACTCAAGTCAAAGGAAGTACTAGTCACAAAAAGAGTAGATCCAAATCTAGGGGACGAAAATCCAACATTACCTGTCGTTATTGCAAAAAATATGGGCATGATATTTCTGATTGTTTTATCTTAAAGAAAAAAGAAGAAAATAAACAAAAGAAAGAAAAAGGTAAACAACCTGTTGAAGCTGCTAATATTGAGACTGATTCTGATGGAGATGTTATGGCATCTGTTGTCTCTTTTGACAAGAGAAGCAAAAATAAGTGGCTTCTTGACTCTGCATGCATATACCATATGTGTGCTTATAGGGATCTATTTACCACTTTTGAACCAATTAATGGTGGTATTGTCTTAATGGCTAATGATACCCAATGCAAAGTTGAAGGAATAGGTACTATTCAGATCAAGGCTCATGATGGTGTTGTCAGGACTCTGACTAATATTCGCTTTATTCCTGAATTAAAGCGGAATCTTATCTCTCTTGGCACCCTTGAATCTCTTGGGTGCAAGTTTTCATCTGAAGGTGGAGTCCTAAAGGTATCAAAAGGTGTCCTTGTCTTGTTGAAAGGTAACCGAGTTGGTACTTTATATTTCTTGCAAGGTTCTGTTGTGACAGGTTCAGCAGCTGTATCTTCTTCTATGCTTGATAATGATGTCACCAAATTATGGCACATGCGCTTGGGCCATATGAGTGAAAAAGGCATGCATCTTTTGAGTAAGCAAGGTCTCCTTGGTAATCAAGGTATCGGTAAGTTAGAGTTTTGTGAACATTGTGTCTTTGGGAAACAGAAAAAAGTAAGTTTCTCTACTGCAACTCACCGTACAAAGGGTATTCTTGATTATATTCATTCTGACCTCTAGGGGCTTTCTAAAGTTCCCTCTTATGGAGGACGTCATTATATGATGACTATTATTGATGATTTTTCTTGCAAAGTTTGGGTTTATTTTCTCAGGTATAAAAGTGAGACCTTCCCCACTTTTAAGAAGTGGAAAACTCTTGTTGAAACCCAGACAGGGAGAAAAATTAAGAAGCTCAGAACGGATAATGGATTGGAGTTCTGTGACGGTGAATTTAATGAGTTCTGCGCAAATCATGGAATTGCTAGACATAAAACCATTCCAAGAACACCCCAGCAAAATGGTGTTGCAGAACGAATGAAAGGGACTCTACTTGAGAGAGCTCGTTGTATGCTCTCAAATGCTGGGTTATGGCATCGACGTGAATTTTGGGCTGAGGCAATATCAACTGCTTGTTACTTGGTTAATCGTTCTCCACACTCGTCACTTAATTTCAAAATTCCAGAAGAAATTTGGTCAGGTAATCCTGTTGATTATTCCAATTTGAGAATCTTTGGATGTCCTGCTTATACACATGTCAATGATGGCAAATTAGCGCCAAGAGCTGTTAAGTGCATATTTCTTGGTTATGCATCTGAATCTAAAGGATATCGTTTATAGAATCCTAAGTCACAAAAATTAATTCTCAGTAGAGATGTGACTTTTAATGAGGATGCTTTATTATCTTCTGGAAAACAAACTTCTGTGATTTCTTCTACTAGTACTAATAATCTGCAGGGTACTAGCGAGAAGGTGGAGTTGAAGTTGAAATCTACAACTCCTAATGTTGATGTTCCATCTTTTTCTATCAATGAGTCTAGCGCTGATATTTGTGGTAATGATGATGTTGATGAGATTACCACTTCTCCAATTCAGCCGCAGGAAGAGGAGTATTCCATTACCCAAAACATACCAATAAGAACGATTACTAAGCCAGCTAGATATGCAAATTATGCTTGTGATGATAATTTAATTGCATATGCATTATCTGTTGCACTAGAAATAAATGACGACATTGAACCAGCCAGTTATACTGAGGCTGTTTCTTGTGCTGATTCTTCAAAATGGCTAGTGGCTATGAATGAAGAAATTGAAAGTCTTCATAAGAATGGTACTTGGAGTTTAACAGAACTTCCCAAAGGCAAACGGCCTTTGAAATGCAAATGGGTCTATAAGAAGAAAGACGGCATTCCCGGGGTTGAAGATCCTAGATGCAAGGCACGATTGGTTGTTAAAGGCTTCAGTCAAAAGGAAGGTATTGACTTTAATGAGATTTTCTCACCTGTTGTTCGTCATACCTCCATACGTGTTTTGCTTGCTTTTGTTGCTTTATTTGACTTGGAATTGGAGCAACTTGATGTTAAGACAGCTTTTCTGCATGGAGAGTTGGAAGAGGAAATTTATATGGAGCAACCTGAGGGATTTATTGTTCCTGATAAGGAGCATCTTGTCTGCCGATTGAAGAAATCTTTATATGGACTCAAACAAGCTCCGAGACAATGGTACAAAAGGTTTGATTCCTTCATGATTGGGCAAGGTTATTCCAGAAGTCAATATGACGACTGTATTTATTTTCAAAAACTTCCTGATGAATCTTACATATACTTGTTACTATATGTTGATGATATGTTGATTGCATCACGTGACAAGTCTCTGATCAGGAAATTGAAAACTCAACTCAATAATGAGTTTGAAATGAAAGAATTGGGTGCAGCTAAGAAGATTCTTGGTATGGAGATTTGTAGGAGTCGTCAAGCTGGTAAATTGTTTCTATCTCAACAAAAATACGTTGAGAAAGTGCTTGACAGGTTTAATATGTCTAATTGCAAATTTATTTTTACTCCACTTGCTGCACATTTCAAGTTATCATCTGACCTTTGTCCTGAGACAGAGGAAGACATGGAACATATGTCACGCGTTCCTTATGCTAGTGTTGTTGGCAGTCTTATGTATGCTATGGTATGCACTAGACCTGATTTAGCATATGCCGTTAGCATGGTGAGTCGGCATATGCATAATCCTAGAAAGGATCATTGGAGTGCTGTAAAATGGATTTTTCGGTATCTCAAAGGTACTTCTGATATTGGCTTGGTATTCGATAGAAATCATGCAACAACTGAAGTTACAGGTTTTGTTGATTCGGATAATGGTGACGATCTTGACAAAAGAAGATCTCTTTCTAGTTACATATTTACTCTCTGTAACTGTGCTATTAGTTGGAAAGCTCAGCTTCAGTCTCTTCCATCATTATCTACGACTGAAGCTGAATATGTTGCAGCAACAGAGGGTGTGAAAGAGGCTCTTTGGCTTAAAGGTCTGATTAATGAACTTGGTCTTACACAAGATGTTCTTACTATGTTTTGTGATAGTCAGAGTGCTATTTACTTGACCAAGAATAACCGCTACCATGATAGGACAAAACATATTGATGTGAGACATAATTTTATTCGAGAAATTGTTGCTAAGGGTGAAGTCATGGTTCAGAAGATTCATACATCTGAGAATCCAGCTGATATGCTTACTAAGCCTCTTCCAAAGGCCAAGTTCCAACATTGCTTGGACTTGGTTGGTCTCTACAGCACTTGAACGCCCTTCGGGGTTTAAACAACGTCGAGCAATTTATCAAAACTGATCCAAGGTGGAGATTATTAGTAGGTGGCTCAGTTTGTCAAATTTTGTAGGCAGCAACTTTGTTTTTTTTCAACTTGGTAGGCACCGGCATTCAAAATCTGTAGGCATTGAATTTTGCATTTGGTAGGCACCGAATTGCTACAGTAATTGTTGAAAAACTTTACAAAATTTTGCCTATAAATACCCAGTGTAAGAATGAATGAAGAACATACGGAAATCAATCATTCACTGATCAGAAGAAGAAATTTGAGAGTGTTATTTTGTAGCTCTTATTCCATTCTGAGAGAGTATTTATTGAGAGAAAAAATAGAGTGATTTATTACTCTTTATCCTCATAATTTTAGAGGATTTTTTGTACTCTCCCTTTTACATAGTGGAATTATTTTGCTCGTCGTTGTCCGTGGGTTTTTTCTCCAATTTGGAGTTTTTCCCACGTTAAAATTTTGTCTCCATTATTCTCTTACTTCTCTTTATTTCCAATTAAATTCGATCCAGTCTTCCGCATTGACTTGATACCCCAACAAAAAGAAAGGAAGCAAGTAAGAAAGAAAAGAAGAGAGGAAAGAAATAAGAGAAAGAAGAAGGAGAACAGGAAAAAAAAACAAGAAAAAAAGAAAAGGAGAAAGAAAAAATGATCAAGAAAGAAACAAGGTAAAGAAGGAAGAATGGAAAAAAAGAAAGGAAGCAAGGAAAAAAGAAAAGAAGACAGCAAAAAAGAAAACAAGAAAGAAGAGAAGGAAGAATGGAAGTAAAACAGAAAAGGAAGAAAGAACAAGAAGCAAGAAAAAAAGAAAAACAGAAAAGGGACAAAAGAAAACAAGAAAGAAAGAATGCAAACAAGGAAGTAAGAAAGAAAGGAAGGGAAGGAAAAAAAGAAAAGAAGGAAAGAAAACAAGAAAAAATGAAGAAAGAAATGGAGCAAGTAAGAAAAATAAAAAAAGAAAGGAAACATGAAAGAAAGAAATATATATAGGAAGACAATCAAGAAAGAAAGAAAGGAGAAATATGTTTTTGGTTGGTAATTGCACCTGTGTGTCATAGCTTAGTGGTAGGCTAGAGATGAAGTTGTGAGCATCAGCAGCAATGCAAGCAGCAATTGCCTCTTTCTCGGTGGCATTATCTTTTCCCATCATCACGTTTTCTAGTATACTTGTGGCAAAGAGAACTGGCTCCTGACCAACCATCCCAATCTGATCACGTAGCCATTTTACTTGCAATGTCCTCAAATCATGACCATCCAAGGTAATAATGCCTGCAAAGATATTGAAACACAATGAAGTTAGGAGCATAACTAACTCTGCTTAGCCTTCACAAGATCTTTTGTAAATCATCATATTGTTCTTTAGGTATATGCTTACCTTCAATAGGGTCATAAAACCTCTCTATGAGAGCAAAGACAGTGGACTTGCCCCCTCCACTTGCACCAACCAATGCCACAGTCTTTGAAGATTGTATTACCAAATTAAGGGAATGAAGTATCAAAGAATCAGGCCGAGAAGGGTATGCAAAACTAACACTTTTCAACTCAATCCTTCCACGAACAGAAGAAAGCCTCCTACCCTCTGGGTTATAGGGATCAATCTCAGGGATTCTCTCTATAATAAAGAATACACGACTTGCTGCAACAGTCCCTTGTGCAAATTGTGCAAAATATGAAAGTGCCAGTGCCAAGCCTCTGTCAATTAAAATATAAATATATAAACTTTTGAGTTAAACATAGAAAGTCCATGTAGTCATTAATAAACTACTTAAAGAATCATTTCTTTGTATAAAAGTATAGTTAATTTTTTTTGCTTCCAAATTATATATATATTCAACTAAGTTAAAGAGAGAAGAAACCACACCTTCCCCCAACATTGACACCAAAGAAACAAGCAATAGCTGAACCTCCTTCAAGTTCATTCCTAGCAATTAAGAGAGAGCCATACCAGAAAGCCAATGCCCATGTTGAATATGTTACTAAATAGATCACACCCATGCCTATACCCTTAGCAAAACCAAGTTTTGCTCCTATTGGTACTGATTTTTGCAATAATTCAGAATATTTTTCAGCCAATTGGCTTTCTGCCACAAATGAAAACACTGTCCTAATTGAACTAATGGCCTGCTCCGCAATGCTACCAGCTTTCCTATAAGAAGCCTTTAGCCAAAAATAATGAACAAAATGTTAAGACATAAAACATCAAATTTAATAAATGATACATAATTGTTTGTATCTTTATCTTACTTCCTCTTTTGCTGCTAGACCACCATAAAGTGCTTTGTAAGCCATACCACAAAACATTGTCAACGGAGTGACTGAGAATACTGCTAGAGAGACTTTCCATGATCTTCTAAACCCAACTACGTACCCAAATATGAATGTAAATATATGATGAACGAAGTGGGCCATCTGCAGTGACAAACAAAAAAAAGCATTTATGGATTAGTCTCAACCAAATGTTGAGCACATAACTTGTTAGCTTAGATCTCTATGTTCAGAAGACTTTGAAACATGCTGAATTAAATAACAGTGGAGTTTCAAGCACACAGTATTTACATAATGATCAATGACTGTTAACTCACAATAGTATCCATGAAAAATATGGTAATGGATGCACATGAACTAAAAATTGGAATGACAATTATCATGCTTAAATTAGGAGAAAAAGTTGTTGTGGGAATGTTGTTCAAACTAATTGAGAAGAGAGGAATACATGGACATGTTGTCAATTCAAAATGATGTAATACTTTGTTATTAAATTAATGTACGGGTCTTTAATAGATCCTTATAATTTGAAAATTATAATTCAATTCCTAAATTTTTTTATTTGAAAAATCAAGCCCCACTTTTATTATATTATAAGGATTTATTTTAAAACTCAAATAATAGTTGGTTTAAGTTTTCAAATAGCTCTCTATTATTAGATAATGATTAATGAGGTCTCAATGTTGTGAACAAGTAAGAATTTGTTTAAAAAATTTTAAAAGTCTTGAGATCTAATTCTAAGTTTTTAAAATATATGAATTTATTTGAGAATTTAGTAACCTTTTAGGGATTTTTGGAATAGTTTAAATTTATTTTATAGCTAAAATTATAAAAATATGAGTTTAAAAATTGAAGAGAAAAACATTTAAAATTGTGTGAAAAATATACATAAATAAATTAAGTAAATCTATAAAATGTAAACTAAAATATATAATTTTAATCTAAACTATAACGAGAGATCAATTTACTTGAATTAAGAATATCTATAATATGGTGTAATTTCATCTCTTAATGGGGTGGGCATTTTAAATTATATATATAAAGTATAAAATGATACACATAATTTTTTAAGAGAAAATAAACTAAAAGATTAAGCAATTATAAAAGAATTGATAAGTATTATTCTAAATTCAACAAAATTGAAAAAGAATTTTTATAGACTAAAGGTCAATTAGAAGTAATATTGTGCTCTTCCATGCATGGCTTTATATTTGTTCAAAATCTCCAGATCAAAAGTCAAACTATTTTGTTAATTATATTAATTAATGCAGTGTAGCCAAGTAATTTTGACAGCAAAATAAGAGAAACAATAATATTAACCTTCTCTCCCAAAACTTCTTGAATTTGTGCAACATCACTAGCAATTCCGTGCATAATATCACCAGTGTTGCCCTGTTTCAAATAGATATGAAAAATTAGAATTAAGTAAATAGCATAAGATAACACTAATAATAATAATTAAGAATATATTTTTTTAAAGAGTTTTGTTAATCTTAATCCTAATAGTTAAGAATAAATATTTATTAATAGTAAAAAAATTTAGAAAGAGAAGTATTTATTATATTTTTATAACTTCAATATAATAACTATGTATTTTTTTAATAAAATTTTTTATTTATAGATATTTAAACTCGACCCTAAAAACTGATATTAATAAAAAAATTAAAAATAAAACTAATAAAATTATAATTATTTAAATAATACACATATAAATTATTAACATTAATTTTATAAAATTTAAATTTAACTTATTCAAACGATCAAGTTTAACTTAAAAATTTAAGGTTTATTGAACATTTATCAAGTCAAATTCAAATAAATAATGAGAAACTCGACTCATTAAATTCTTACCTATCATGTCATGCTTTAAGGATATAATCTTAAAAATATGTTTATGCAGTATAAGTTTTGAAAGGTTTTTCTTTTAAAAAAACTTTTACTCTGTGAAACTAAAAAAGTAAATTTATTTTTAAAAATATTAATTAAGCACACCTCTAAGTTCCATAACTCCCTTTCCCCCTTCCAAAATAAAAGGGCCTACCATTTATGTTTCTCCAAATATGTGATTATGTCATGATTACAAAATGTTTGATTGGATTTATTATTAAGAAGAAATTATAGGCAAGAAGATATTTTTTGAAAATTTTGAGGTTAAACTAAAAGGTAGAACCCCATTTGTGTTATCATAAGTAAATGGAATTCTAGCAACCAAAAAGATTAAAAGGCAAAGCAACTAGAGAACTACCATATGAAAGAGGTGTGTGATATTCATGGTGTATGCTAATGGCTTGGTCTTGTTTATTTGTAAATGGCCCCCACAACAATCCAGTATATTTGGATCCGAGGGTCCATACTCCATCATAGTGGTTATTTGGGACCATGATTCATCTCAAATAAACAGAAGCTGATCATATTTTTGAAAAATTAGTTAGTTATCTCTCAAACTCAATAGATAGCATTACATTTTATTATATACTATGGAGCCATCATTTGAATGGTAGGTGGTATAGATGCATGCACTGACCAATACCATTTTTTTGAGGATGTTGATTTTCATACCAAAATTGATCTTCACCTTGGATCGCTTTTGATTTGCCTTGATGCTATTTGTCCTTTTTGATCCAGTTGTATGAACAGCTAGAATAATTATTCTGTAAGCATTGATTTGTGATTTGAGAGTCAAGGACATTATAATCTACACTTTGAGACCCTTCATCATAGCTTTGTTCCCTAAATTCAAATAAGAGATTGCAATGCATTTATAAGATTTTAAGGAAAAATTACACTCTAGATCTATTCATATCTACTTTATTCATGGTCTATGAAAGTGGATCCCTGATTCATTATTAAAAAATTATAATAAAAATTAGGGATGGCAATAGGTAAAGTACCCAATGGGTACCCGCAAAATTTATCCACAATGAGTAGGGTATTTACCCGCTATACAGGTACGGGTATGGGTGTGGGTAAAAACCCGCAAATTTTAATGGGGATGGGTGCGGGTATGGGTATCTAAGTACCCACCCCGCCCCATACCCGCATATATATATATATATGCTTGAACTTTATTCTACAATTATGCATTGAATTTTTGTATTATTATATTACTTATGTGAAGTTATATAAGATTAATATAAAAATATAGTTAATAATAAAGCAAACCAAAAAATTTATTTTGGTTTATATTTTTAATAGAAAAATTTATTTACTATTTTATATAATTTAATTAGGCTAACACAATTTAATTATTACATAGTTAATATAAGATTGACTTTTTTTAAAATATTATTTATATATGACACACATAAAATATTTTTTACACAAATATTTTTGTTAATAAAATCATATTGATGTTTAAATCATAAAGTGAATGATAAATAATAAATATATTATAAATATTTTATACATTTTACAATCACCTACTATTACCATAAACTTATTATTTATTAATAATATTTAAATTTTTTTTTTATATTTTAATTTAAAATAATATTTTTCTATATAACATATTTATTACAAGCACAATTATAATCTATTGAATCTAAATAATATTATTCTTACTATTAATTCACATTCAAAGAAGTTTTTGAAAAGATATAAATATAAAAAGTTATTGTTAATTTTTATTTGTTAATTTTTTAAAGATAAAAAAGTATAATTTTTTAATATACACGTATATTTCTTTATTATAAAATTTTATTGTAACTATTTATCTTTTATTTAATTTCTTTTTTTTTAAATTTATATACATTATAAATATTTAATTCACTAAAATATTTTTTCAAAAATTTATATTTTTGATAAAATACTTTCGTATAGTATATGAGTTAAAAAATACTAGTATTAATATATATATATATATATATATTAATTATATTATATTATTTTAATTAAATCTATTATTTTTCTTACAATTTCAAATTCAAAAGTTAAAAAAAATATTTTATGTATCAACTTTCTGTTATTAGTATTGAACTTCTCTACTTTAACTCTATTCTCATTCTTAATGTCTGTCTCACTAAAACTTAATAACTATAAAATGTTATTCATTAGAGTTAGTTGTTAATGCCGTCACAAAAGGTTACTAAGTGATCCCACGTGAAGGGACAACCATTGTATAGATTTATTTCGTTGTCGTTTTGCATAATATCACCAGTGTTAATCTCTGTATCAAAAAAACTTATGTCCTGTCGAAGAACTGCTCTAAGATATTCAGTTCTGATCCTTTGAGCAGATCGCTCCCCAACTAACCTCCAACATGCGATCTCTGCCAATTTCAGTGATCATTAAAAATTATTATAACACCCCTCTAATATAGGGCAAGAGTTTACTCAAGTGAAACTCTTGGTATTTGTGAAAAACTAAAACTAAAAATGAAAATAATAAATATATATTATTAAATCCTACTTAAATTATCAAGATTAAAGAAAAGATATATATAACTTTTTTAAGTGATCATATCATAATCAATCAACTATTAATCTTGATATAAAATTATATGATTCAAATTTAGAGTTCTGAAAATTGCTTTCACTGAACACATCTCGTGTGTGTATACATAATGTCTTAATCTCCTTACGTAAATATGCTCCAACAATCACAACAGCAGCAAGCCCGGCCATATATATGCATATCTGAAAATTACAATTGGAAGAGGAAAAAATGAAAATATCCTTCAACATGCAAATGTTTGACCAAGCAAAAAGAGAGTAAGAAATACTCAGTACCTTCTCTACATCCTTCATCGGGACTTCGTCCTTGTCAGCTCCTGCAATCTTATTTATCAATTCTCCGAAAAGATAAGAATACCAAGGAAGTGATCCTCCATTTATGAGAGCACCTAAACAGCCCACAAACACAAGCACCAAATCCCACTTAGTTGAGTACCTAAACAAGCTCAACAACCCAACTGTCTTTGGAGGCCTTGCATCTTCCTCTTCCATATCCTCCTCACCTTCTTCATCATATCCTGAAAACTTTTCAATGTCATGGTGACTATAACCACCACCACCTCCATAAAGTTGGCTACCAGATTTGCTACCATATGATGGTGATCCATGATCACCAACAAAATAATTCCCACCATGAGCATGTTTAACATATGGTAATTCAAGATCATGATCATTCCTATAAGGTGAAATAATAGGTTCATCTGTTATGCTATAATCTATCATTCCAAGCTCATCTTCCTCAGCCAAAGGACTACTCTTATCTTCTCTACCACTCCTCTCTTGAGTGATACCCAGTTTTGATAACCCATGAGGCTGGCTATGCTGATCAAAGTAACTACGATCATTCACATTGTCCCTAGCAACATAACTCCGAAGTTCAACTCTACCATAGCTAGAATGTTCATAAGAAGGGTTCGTGGGGCCTCTAAACCTACTTGTTTGAGAAAGGTAATAGTCATTGGCTGATTGGCGAAACACACGACTGCGATCATAAGGGGAGCTAGTTGGCCATGGACTCAGAATAGAACCAAAGTTTGTGCTATACTCATGCAACCCAGTGGCGTCGAACTTCCATGAAACCTCTTCTTGCCATGAATTGTCATCATCTGAAGCAAAGGGTGTGGTAAGAACTTTGTTGCGGCTAGCTCTTCTGGATCTGGAAGTGGCATTGCTTTGAGAGCTGGATGGTATGAAAGAGCCTGAACCAGACACACTACGATAACTCACTGGTGTTGGATAGTGTCGTGTGTGGTGGCTTGTGTAGTGATCACCCTCAAAGGAAGAAGAATCAGCCATGCGACTATAGAAACTAGCTTTGATGAGAAGAAGCAGTGTGGGAGGAATGAAACGGGCCGGGTAAAGGAAAAATAAGAGTTTTAACTTTGTGATTAGTTGTCCATTGAGATTAGTCCAATGTGTCAAACAACATAGCTCGTTCCGCTCATGTTTTCAAGCATAGCCGGACAACAGATTGAACAAAACACCAACACATAAAGGGTCTTTGGTCTCTGTGGCTCACGTAATGAACCAATGGTATATACTATAAAAAGGGTCTATTTTATTGTTTCGTTTGGGAATATATTGAGCCTATAATAATGCTGTGCATGGACGGCATCTTGCAAAGGTTAAGTTGCCGGCCGAACATAGTCAATACTGGCTTGCCATTGTTTGCAATTCTTGTTTGGAGGATAATGTGTAGATTCAAGTGACTTGTGTGTGTATGTTTATTGTAATGTCAAGTCAACCTCCCTCTGTCTCTCTCTCTCTCTCCTAATCTAAACAAAAACTAACAGGAACTATCCATTTGTCATGTAGACATGATCTCGTAACTACAAGAATATGTTGTGTCATCATCTCTTGACTTGAGCTCATTATATCTTGCACTCCTTGAATAGGTAATAATGGGTATGTTGTCATTTAATTAAGAAGTAAAAGAATTAACCAAGTTTGAAAGGAATGTTTCAGGAGAAAAAGAAAAGGAACAAACAAAGAGTAACCATTAAAGAGTTAAATTGTAAAACCGGAACTTCCAAAGCATAGTGTTATTCTCAAGGCCATAAATACATAAAGGACGGTAAATTTTATTGTAGGTTTCACACGATGCGAGCATACTTGAAGGGTGAAATAACAGTATAATACGTTTAATCCAAGAAAATCAAATAACCAGATCGCTTATTGTTTCTAAGAATTTTAGTTTAGAAAATTATTATATTAAGATACATTTAATATTTATGATCTTTGAATATTTGTTTTTATCTATATTTGTACCTTGTTCGGCAACTACATATTGAATTTTTGTATTATTATGCTACTTATGTGAAGTTATATAAACATATTTTTCTTTATAAATATTTTTTCTCAAACAAGCGCGGATAATGGGTACAAGACGGGTATGCGGGTACCCAGAGGGTACGGGTACGGGGATTAATATTCATACCCACGCGGGTATGGGGCCAGGTATGGGTATTTTTTTAAAACGCGGGTATGGGGATGGGTACTGTAGTACCCTACCCATTGCCATCCCTAATAAAAATAAACTTTCAGCTACGAAATCCGTGATGCTTAACTTCAGTTTAATCAATTCTTTTGGGTTCATTATATTCCACAAAATGTTTGTGATTCACCCTTTTATGAATAAATGTTTATTTTCGTCTCTAACAAAAATTACTTGTCTCAATTTAACAAGTTTTATCTTAATTATTTAAGTTCAAACTTGACCTAATCAAGGCATGAATATATGATGCTTGATTTGGTGATATAATAAATTAATTTTAACATCATATATTAGATAAATTAAAAAATTAATAAGTATACAATTAAAATTTAAATACATTTTACAGTATACATTTTAAAAAATAAATAATATCGATATAAATATAATACTGTATAATATAAAATATTATCTACATTAAGAAGTCTTATTATTAATAGATAAGTAATATAAAAAAAAGCATAAAAATTTAAAGAATACAAGACATTAGGTTGGGTTGGAATGTATCAAAAAATGATTTTGAATTTATCTTCAAAGTACACTATATTTAATTTTTTTAACTGCAAACCAATAAAACATAACAGAGTCCAACTGAATTAATAGGACAAAACGAGTCATGAACAGCTATAATTAGTGATATTATAGACATAATAAGTTATCCATTTGATAGTCACCTCAGTAAAATTTACAACATCTTCACTATGATTTTAGAAGATATTCTTCTTTTAATTTGAGCTATTTGTCTTCATTATAGACAGAAAGCTTCGATGATGTATATTATTGAGGAAATTCTAACATAAGAACACTTTCAAGAACATCTTTGCCTAATTGGCAAATTGGCACAAATGCATGTGCACTATTCTAAATTATGTGAGAGAAGTTACAATAAGTGCCTACATTTTTTTTACTGGTTTTACGAATCAACGTCAGAATCCAACGCTTTTTAGTTACGGGTTTTCTTGACATCATCAATCAAACTGTTAAAAGTGTGATCAAGTAGAAATTGAAGACGTGGTCTCATCAAATTAACTCAATTTATTTGCAGAGCTGATTAAATATAATTTCGGTGTCCCTCTAACATTCAACATTTGTCTACAATGTTAAAATTTATGATTAAATAAAGTATACTGGGCACAAAATATACAACACTGAATATGATTGGGGAGCCATAAAAATCCAAACAGAGATTAGGCATAGTATTAGAGTCATGAGATCAATTTTGACCAAGAAGAATTTTAACTTATAAGAAAAGTAGTCATTCGTAATAGTGATTAATGTTTTAAGATTAGCCTAACTTAATGGCAAGTAATCTCTTAACGTTGTGTTGAATATATTTGCAGCGAATAACACTTTAATATATTGTGTACGGATAGAATAACGTAGGGATTTGACTCTTGAGACACGAGATATATATTTTAGAAGATAAAGTAGAACTGTTAAATTAAAAAATCAATGACATATTTTAATAATTTCTCATTATTTGTTATTTTATTTACTTGATCTATCAATAATTATGACTTTGTACAAATGTGTCTTTGACATTAGAGGTCAGATGTACGGTAAAAGATACCAGCTCTACACTCATTTGACGAAGCCAGTTTATATCTGTGGTATAGAATGCTTATAGAGAGAAGCGTTTTCAAATGATGATGAATCAATGTACTTAATAGAAGGATGAATAATAGAAACAAGTAAAGAATTGAACTAAAATGCAATCCATCAGATTGCATATCGAATATGTACAATGTATCAAAGTAGAGCTATCAATGATGATATGATCCCTGATACTCATAACTTAGAATGGTGTTACACATCATAAGTGATACATCTGCTGCAAAGAGATTAAATTATTAAGCACATACTCCTTTTTTTCTTGCTTGTTTTGGGAGGCAGCAATCCCACTAAGTTAACTGTAACAATTAAGGGATAATAGCAACTAAACACATACAAAGTCTTCATTCACAGAAAGGCTAATGAAATTGGAATCTAACCCTTAACCTAATTATCCCTCCCTCACTCACTCACTCACTCACTGTCACTATTATTGTTATGATGGTTGTTATTGTTGTTGTTGGGGGTGGTGGTGCTATGGTGATTGCTAGGGTTACCACCTTTTCTCTCCAGCTTGAGCTGCGAAATCTCCAACTGAGTCTTCATGAAAAACTGCATTCTCTGCAACTCCAAATCCTTAGCGAATTTCATCCTCTGCTTCTCCATCTCCACCACCTGCTGCAGCTTCGAACTCTCAGCTTGTTCATAAGCTTCTCCAAACTTGAGAATCGCCTGCGTCAATTCCCTAACCGCACTTCCCCAACCTTTTCCTTTTTTTCCACCTTCCTTTCCCTTCACGGCGTTTGAATTCATCACTCTCGGCCTCTTCCTCTCGTAACTCTCCGGCGGAAAACTGTCGCTCGACACCGGAGACGGCGGTTCTCTTTCCGACGAATCGGAATCCACCGGAGGAGCGCGCCGCCGGAACTGAATCTTCTGGTTCTTTAACTGAACCTGTTGCGGTTGTTGCTGCTGTTGCTTTTGAGGATGGAACTGATTCGCGCCGCCTCGACCTCCTACGGGAATCGCTAACGGAACTTTCTGCAGCGGCAAATTACTGTTTCCGACGGCGCTGGTGCCGGCGGCGCCGGGGATCTTGGCGGTGGGACCGATCAACTGGTCCAATCTCTCGAAGAACGGCCATTTACTAGTTGCGCCGGCGGCGATCTTCGCTTTCTCCGATTTGTACTTCTTTTTCACGGTGTCGATCCGGTTCTTACACTGGATGTCGGTCTTCGGTGCCTTGGTGTAATCCTCTCTGCCGCTCACGATCTCCGCCACCTCCTTCCAGTGCTTCTGCTTCAGATTTCCTCTGCTAAGTTCTAGATACCTCTCTCCCCACGCGTCGATCAGCACTGCCGTCGCGCCTTCGCTCCAACAATCCTCCCTTCCCCCTCCTCCGCCGCCGTTTCCCTTCGGCTGCTGCTGAATCGGAAGCGCTAATGCCAAGCTGTTCGGCGCCGGCTGCGTCTGCGGCGCCGGAGCCGCTACCGTCACCGTAATCCGACCGTTGGCCCTCGGCGAAGAAGCCGGGGATCCGCTCGCCGGCGACGGATGCGACTGGATCTCGTCGTCGTCGTCCATAACCTCCTCGCCGCCGATCTACCGCGAAAATTCGCAGAAACGAATAGGGAGAAAGAAAGCAGTTAGAGAGAGAGAGAGAAAGAGAAAACGAAGTTAGGGTTTTTATTTATTTTATTTTTTATTTTTATTTTGGCCGGCGAGAATATATCGACGCCTTTTCGTGCTTTGTATTTGTTCGTTTTTATGATTTAATTTTTTAAAAATTGGGAAAAAATTGTTTTCGAACCTTTTTTGGGGTTTCGTTTGGATGGATTGACGGAATGGGGTGAGTTGACGGTGACCGTCGACACGTGGGGAGAGGGCAGAGGAATGATGGATGACGTGGAAGAGTGTGATTGGAGGGTAGCGAAACTCCGTCACCGGCTCAGTTGGTGGACCTTCTCTGTTATTATCTGGTGTCACTGCCCTGGTTGGTTCACGAGTTTGACGATAAACACAACACTAACCTGCTTCCGCGGTCTCCGGCGATATACCCAATTTACCCTCTTCATTTATTATCCCCCTTTTTTGTGATAAATATATTTCTTTTTAATATACTCCGAAAATTTGCAGATTATGGAGCGATTTTGAAGATATTGAGAATGGGGATTGTTAATTAATTTGAATTTTTATTTTTGTTGAGAATTGGAGAGGAAGGGTAAAACAGGGAAGATTGGTAAATGGGTGAATGAAGGAGAGATGACGTAGAGGAACAGCTTTTTATGCTGTTTTAGTTTTGCCTGTTTAGAGGCGTGACGTCAAGTTGTTTCCCGTTATGTAATTTGTATGTGTGCCTAAGTATGGTGTGCAGTTTCTTCCTCTTCCCCACCTCCTCTCCTCTGTTACAAACTTACAATACATGAGAATTTGAGAATCAGACTTTCAAGTTTATACACGGTGTCATTCTGTATCCAAACACCCCGATAATTATATAAAAACATAAGAGATAAAAATCAAAAATCAAAAATCAAACCCCAAAACATTTCAAAACTAATAGACTCCTGAAATTATTAAAATAATAACACACATATGGAGATGCGGGGTATCGAACCCCGTGCCTCTCGCATGCAGAGCGAGCGCTCTACCGTTTGAGCTACATCCCCATATTGCTTTGGGTAGTGTATTCTTTCTAATACCTTTGTTTGGCTCGGCATCGCCTCATATATATTATTTTGCTTTGTTCTCATTATCAAGACTTATATAGCTTATTCAAATTTCTCCTTTTTTATACATGTAATAAACTTATTATTAACATGAGAATACTTTTTTATTACCAAAAAAAGAACAATAAACATAGATCATTATATCTTATTTGAATTGTTAAAATTAAGAGATAACTGCATATAGCTTTTTTTTTTACAAATACAAAGAAAAATTGATTTTTGTCAGAAAAAATATAATAAGAACACAATTTTACGATTTTTAATCAAGTTTTATGTAATTTTTAATGAAATTTATTATTTTTAATTTATATATATGTATGAATGTATGAAATCATATCAAATGAGAAAATTTTTTCTATAAAAAAATCTCATATTAAATCTTACTATGAATATTTAAGGTTAAAATATAAAATTCTTATGACCTTTTTTTTTTCAAAATCCATACAATTTATAAAATTCATCATTTGAATTTAATCAATTCATAATATTAACTATCTACGCATATTGTATGGTATAAATTTATTACTTTTATTCTTATATATAAAATAACTTTCTTTCTAACTACTTTTTCTCTATATATAATATTCAGTTCCATGATGAAATATAGTGCATTACCAAATTATATACATTTGAACCATGTTAAAAAAATCTCCACTGAATAGGTATAAGAAAGCAAAGGCATAAAGCTCAATTTTATATTTCTTATGATTATATTAATTGCATAATTCAATAGTTAAAAGAACACCTAAAAAAAATAATTTGAACTATAAAACATGTATAGTTTAAAATTTTTGGAAAAGTATCTGTTTATTGACTTAATTTCATTAGCTAAGAAAATTGGTGATTACGATAGAAACTATAACTGTTATTATTATTGTGAAAAATATGTTTTATTTTCTTAAGAGACACTAGATATATATTCTCACTCATTTTAAAACATTACACTCCTATCTGTCAAAAATAAAATGTGATTACAGAAGTCTGGATTGTGTTGTTACAGTGTGTGGATCAATTCAAACGCAGACAAATTAGAATGTCCAGCATGCACCGTGAAAACACCAATAAAGGGAATGCCTTGACCTCGTAGAATTTTAGGGTAGTTATATAAACCAGTAAAAAAAAATACTACCATTAAGGCTCTAATATACTCTCTTAAATATATTTTTTATTATTAATTAAAATATATTAAAAATTATAAAAATTATGTAGACTTTATCTTTAATTTAATAATTCCTATTCATACTTTTAGAATTTTTAATAAAGTTTAATTAATAAATAAAATTACATAATAGAGTATATTTCTAGAACACTCCTTAAAACAAAATGGCTTAGCTCATTCAATACCCCATCTACATCTACAAAAGAGACACATTTTCTGGTGCACTCCGCCCAATTTATCATGGCTCATAAAAAAAAGGTCCTTCGTAATCATCGATTCTATAATTCATAAGGTATTAGTTGTTGCAGCTAAATCGTTATATATAATCTAAATGACACGAACCATTTAACATCTAACTTATTATAATATAGCAAAAAATCATTTTTCTAGTTCAGTGCTTCCCTAAATAAGTGGCCATGGCTTCTGTTCTGTCCACTTCATCAATTCCATTGGCTATCATTTCCTTCAATTCTGGCTTCAAAACAACAACCACATGCCAAATGAAGAACCCATCTCCAATTGTAAGACATGCACTCTACTTCATCAAAACAAGTTTCTATGTTGAAAGGGTTAAGGTAACCCATCAATGGTTCATATATGTAAATATCATTTGTTTCCTTATGCAGGCAAGCACTAGGTTTGGTGGGCTAAAATTTGTGAATAAAATCCCGTTCAAAAAGTCATGTGCACTCTCTTGTGGCGTTAGCACTAGAATCTCTTGCTCCATTGTAATAATTTCACCACTTTCTCATATTAAATACTTCTATGTCAATATTGGTTTTCTCTAATGTGTTCCATCTTTTGGCTGAAGGCTAAACCAGAAACTTTGCAAATTGTCCAAAACACCATTGCAAAGCAACTTTCGATTGATGAAACCACCGTGACTCCCCAGACTAAATTTTCGGATTTGGGTGCTGATTCTCTGGACATTGTGAGGCTTCTGATTCTAGCAATTCTTTTAATTTTATCTTTATGATATAAAGTAATTGATTTTTTCTTAAAGACACGTAACGAAAACTTCTATATAATATATTTTTATTAAAAATTATAAAATATTATATAATTTAATGTATCGAGAATATTAAATATTATTATTTTGATAAAAATTTATTATTTATCAATTTTTTATTATATGTCTCTAAACAAAGTGCATTGTCGTATGTTTTGGAATGCATGTTTTTTTATCAGGTTGAAATCATGATGGCTTTGGAAGAGAAATTTGGCATTTCCATTGGAGATGGTGGAGCTGAGAACATCTCTACCGTTAAAGATGCTGCTAATCTGATTGAAAAGGTAAAGACTGCTTCAACCTAGGCCAAGCTACATGCTGTTACACCATGGCTTTGATCACTGCCCTTCAGATTTTGACCAAATTTGATATATAACTCTTAGTTTCTAATGGATTGTCATAACCACATTTGTTTCTTACATCCCTCAAATGAAAATTACTCTTTAGTCTTTGTATTGAATCAATTGATTGCTTGATGTAATAAATTTTCATGTAACGATTATCTACTTGAGTTAACAGCTAATAATACATGCATAACCTTTGAATTATCCATGCATGAAAAGATCGTTCATTGAAATTTCTTATAATTAAAATGAGCATTACTTAGGTCCTAAATGGAAAAACAAAATATGGAAGAATCACCTTAAACACAGACTTTCAAGCTTCATTGAGTTGCATTGTTAGAAAGTTTATGGAGCAGAATTCATATTTACAACAGCCAAAAACTTGGAAAAATAAAAACAAAACGATATATACAAACATAGAGAAGCTGCTTTCTACTCCTTTTAACCTCATAATCCCATGAAGCATTTGACTCAATCAGCTGCGGAAGACCTGCATTGTTTGAGCCATTTTATTTGTAGGTACTCATATATACATATACAATATTTCATATACTATATAATATACATAATAATAATAGTAACAAGATGCCATATATGTGATGCGTAGCCGTGTGTACAGAAAAAGTAATCCCTCTGCCTATGCCGAATTTGATTAAAATTTGAAAGCAAATTATTAAACATCTCAGTTCCCCTCTCAATAGCGATCCAAAGCGCTCATAATCACCCTGCAAAGTGCAAACCATAAAGAAAGAAGAAAAGTTAGTCACAACAAATGCAAAGGGCATGTGTGTCATCTCACATCACAAGGGATAGAAATTATAAATCAAAAGTAAAAATTAGAGAACCAATCGTAAATTGTCGGACTTCTATTCTCGGCGTTCTCCACAGTTTCTGCTAATGATTTTCTCCCTGTCAACTTCTTGAAATCACTGCCTGGCGTCTCCGCTGCAATTTTTTTTAAAAAATAAATTATTATGTTATAAAATATGACAAAAAATTAATAATAATTTTTTTTACATGATATTATAGATAGAGCTGAAGTACACTTAGGGATAAGTATACGGGTCAACTCGGTCCAAGTTAACTATGTACCAATAGACTCAAGAAATTAATGGCTAGTTAGTATATCGGTTCGTTTAACAAAAGAAGAAAAAGGAATACTTGATCAAACTCAAGTTCATGGTCAACTTTTTAAGGCTACCGTCGCAGACATGACATATCCTCTTTGTAGACACTAGTATCATTCTAAACTAGTGTCAAACATATCAAGGTAACCTAATTGTTGCCTAACACAATGCACAACCATTTTTTATCAAATTCAGCTAGTTCTCACAGCTATATATTAATATGTACAGTAATTGAATATATTTAAAAGATAGAGCAACAAAAAGAGAATCAAAGAGTGAGTTTTACAAACTTTGATAATATCTGTTTTATTTTTAATTATGAAAACATCACTTAATTTTATTTTATTATTTTGTATACAAATATAAAAATAGTAAAACAAATAAAATAAAAGAAAATTCAAACCAAACATCTATAATCATAAATATTATTTTTAGTGAACTAACCTCTTGTGTTAGGGATATATAAACCCCCATTATGTTGTGTTAAAACAGGAATAAAAAAAAATCACAAAAGTTGATGAAAATAGAACAAACAAAAAAAGCATTCAGAATATCACAATGCTATGAGATTATGCATCTTTCGTTAAATTAACATAAGAAGGTTCTGCTTGTTTGTCTTATCCTATCATGCAAACCAAATAAACAACCTAGTACAAACAACACAACAAACGAAAATATTCTGAAAAACCAAACAACAACGTTAAAGGAGAGAGAGAGAAAGAGAGGTTACAAGTTAAAGGGGTGCGAGGGGTGACAGGCACAGAAGGAGAAGCAGGATCAGGAGTAGTGGTGCTTCTGAAACCGGACTGGGTCCGAACAATGGTGATGCTGCGACTTATCGGAATTTCCTCCGCCATCGGTAACCGGAGTGCGGCGCCGCCGGAGAATGAGTTGTACTTGCGGAGCTTGCCCAGACCCGTTTCCGGTGTGGGCCCGGCCAACGTTTCGTCCCAAAGCTTGTGAAGAAAACCCATCATATATTCTTATAAATATTTATATATGTGTGTGTTTACTTCTTGTAATTTCAAAATAAAGAACAAAGATGGATGGGAACGAAACGACAGAGAGAAGGAGACGAAGAAACAAAATTTGTTCTATTTTTATTTTTATTTTTATTTTTTGTGTGCGTTTGGTGAGAGTGTTGGGATACTTATAATGAGAGAAAGAGAAGGATGAGGATGATGACTTGATAAGGTTAATTGAATTATTGACAGCTTAGTTTGTAAACTTAGCTCCACCGGCTAATATGGCTTTCTTTCCAGCCGTTAAATTTATTTAATTTTGCTCTTTCCTATATTTTATCTTCTATATATATATATTGGCTCTTCCTAAACTTGCACTTTAATTGCAAATCTAGAAGCTCAATTTTGCATTTTTATATTCATGACTATTCTCATCTTTCTTTCTTTTTTTTTTTAATTTCCGCTATGCATGTCAAGAATTGAATTCTAGTGTTGCCATGTTTTTGACGATGAAATAATAAATCTCTTGAGAGACGTGTAGCATGTGTTAATTATAGTTATTGACTTTATCACATGTATTTCCAAAGCATGTGAATGAGAGAAACAAAACAGAATCTATATGCTATGGTTTGAAAGTTGAAATTTGAAGAAATGGAGCTTGCAACTTCTGAAGGGGATTTTGATATATGGTTTCGAATAATTTTAGACTGAAGAAAAAATGATTAATTAATAATAAGTTTAGGATAAATTAATAGTGAAATAAGTGAGCCGAAGAAGAGACGAGCTTAGCAAGCCTTGCAATTAGGATCCAAAAATATTGGAAAGAGGTTAAAAATAAAAAAGACTGAGTCAGGGAAAAATGGAACAGTTGGGGCCCATTTCATTATCAACGATGCAATAAAGTTACGACGACACGTCAATTGGATAAGTTCCCACGAAATATGGGAAGAGTCCACCCTACCTCCACGTAATATTCTTAAATATGTGCTTATCATATAATTAATAGGTAAAGTGTAAATTTCAAAACTTCATTTTTAAGTAAATAACTCTCTCACTCTCTCTCATACACACGTTATCTGATACTCCTATTCTTCATAAACTTACATCTTTAACAACTTTTGTAAATAATTAATTTTAGCAATCTCATTTATCAAAAAAAAAAATTTTATACCTTAATGAATCCAAGTTTTTAGAGTAGAATAAATGTAAGTTTTTTTTTCTGAGTACTTTTTAGTCTAATAACTTTTTCTATTTTAAAATAAGACACCGTTCTCTTTTTGTAAAAGTTTTTTTTTTTAAGAATACACCTAAAAAAATTATTAAAAAATAATTTTCATTTCACTATATTTTAATTAATTAAAAATATATATAAAAGGATTACGACTTTAAATTATTTAAATTTACAGGTTATATTCTGCCTCCAAAGTTTAAAATTAATTTAAAAATGAAAAGACCAAAACTTAAAACAAAGGGTCAAGTCAAAATATTAAAAAAATGTATCACATTAAAAAAAAAAAAAGAGTAAGTGCAGTTAATAAAAAATTTAAAATTAAAATATAAGTTCCAATAAGTCGGATTTAAAAGAAAACATTAGAGACGAATAGATGGTGATTTTATTAGTTTTAAATTGTGGGGGCCCATTACAAGAATTAAATATTTTGAAGCACGTAAAATACAATTCATCAATATCATTATTGCCTAAATCTATTGAAACTGAGGAAATGTGATAAATTGTTAAAAGAAATTCCATAAAAGATGAGCCTCTAGTAACCCCTTCCACAAGCATTAGAAAGAAATGTGATTTTTATAAAGATAATTTTTTATATAAAAATGTTTATATAATGTTATAATTTAATTATTAACGCTATTATTAATCTCTCTATATATTGAATTTTAATCCTTACTCTCGAAAATAAGGATATCTTTTGATTTATTCTATCTCCTATAATGCATCACACCACTTTTTATATATCAAGTATCTTATATTTTATTATTTTTATTAAATATTATTACTTATATATATTTAATCAATTTCTAGCTATCCAATAATAGTAATTTTCTATAAATTTGTAGTTTATAATTTTAAATTTTCATCATACTGTTTTAATAATTAATTCGGACAAACACTAACGGAAATAAATAACGTCCATATTGCGAGCATAGTTAATAATTAATTCTAAGAAATATAATCATTTTGAAAACTTTAAAAAAAGTGATGATAAAAAATAATTTTTTCTCTTAAATAATTTTAGGATGCATTGAGATAATTATTCGTTTAAGCACTAAATTCAATAAGTTTTTTTTTTAAATGATAGTTTAAGTAAAAAATTTGTCAACAATAAAATTTAACGAGATAAACTAAAAATAGTTTATGAAAATGATAAAGTAATTTTTATAAATTATTTGCATAAACTTTCAAACACGCCCTAGCCTTTAATCAAATACGCGTTAATACTATCCCTTTCATTCGATGTTCACAGACTCATAATTGTCAAGCATTAATTCCACATTCCTTAATGGTCTTATTATTAACACGTGTTAAATTTTCATTACCGAATGCATTCGAAGTTTGAAACCGAAGATAGAATGCTGATTTATTGCATAAGAGAGTCTCATTAAGTCATTATTACTATAGAGCTTCCATAAAACCCTAGCATATCATCATGAGTGTGTTCTACGTATGTTTTTTAAATTTTAATTAATATAAATTAAAGATAATAATAACTTTTTAACAATGATAATAAATCAGATATATAATACTTTAAAAGTAAAAATTATTTAAACATAGATAAATGATTTTTATCAATATAATGATTCAACTGGGAGTATTATAAAATTGATGAATTTTTTGCCCAGTTGCAATCATGTATTGGGTCTATTGTTAACATCAGAATAGAGAAAACTTCAGTGTCATCCACTTCCAACTTTTGCTGTACATGTTGTTCCATCTTAAAGGACCCCACAAATATAAGACTTTGGTGTTTTATGGGTCTCAAACTATAAGAGTATGGACCCGTAGGATTTCTGGTTTCAGGGTCTTTGCTGCCTCCAATAATGTATCAAAGTTAGGTAATCTATGATCATGAAAGCCACCCCACCCAATTATAGTGTTTTAAACTTATCAATGTTATGGCTTATTTTACACTTCTCTTCTTCTCAAGAAGACAATATTCAAAAAGTTTTATTAGATAGCTAAGTAGTGATGCCCCCACACAGCCAATGAACTTGAATATCTCGTGGCAGTAGTGGCAAATGGCAAATCACTGCCACAAAGAAGGAGATGTCAGACAATAACACAGTAAAAAAGTAAGTTTTTCAATTTTGAGATGACAAAATTAAATTATTAAGATGTAATTTGTGAATCGTAACTATGAAACTGTAGAATTACAATTATAATATTAATTTTTATTTTTTAAGTTGAATATATTAAATAATGTTCAGCTATGATATAAAATGGGTACCAATTAGCAAGTAACCGTACTTGCAGGTAACTTATAAATTTTGTGAATAAATATGACATACAAAAATATATTAAAATAATTAATGTATAATGTGTGTGTGTAATTTTGAATGGGCCATCTTAAGGCTTATGTGGGCTAAAAGTCAACCTGTAGATTGTGTCATTGTTTGGGTTGGCTTGTGCCTACTACCCAATTGTTTATGGGCCACCAAGTTTTGAACTGAAAAACCCAACTCTTATAGAGTTTAAAATTTTTGGACCATTGACCAAAAATAGTATATTTGGACAAAGAAAAAGAGTTTGATGTTTTCTAAGGATATACTGAGAGACTCAGAGAAACATGGGCTTTATTGCAATTGGAAAATAACCCAATAGCACAAATTTCACTTGAAATTATTCAGACCATATTATATTGTCATATTACATGCTATTCTGAGCAACTCAATCGAAAATACACCAGAATTTGTCTATCACATTCAATATATTATGATCCACTTTTTTTATTTTATATTGGAATATAAATTTTTGAATTCGACAAAATTAAAATCGAAATTTAAGGTATTTAATTATTAAAACTTCGCTTAATCACTAACCCAATGGTCAATGGATTGTTTTAGTGATAGATGAGAGTTTGTGCCGTGAAATGACTAGAGTGGGTGAGGGAGGAGGGGTTAGTGGGTTATGGCACTTTTTAAAAATTATTCTATATTAATTAATAATTATATAATATAAAATACATAAAAGTTACAAACAAATTTTTATCATAAATTTAAAATATTATAATAAATTTTATTAATTACTTTTAAAATAAAAAAATGGACTACCGATTTTTTTCTTTATATTTAATCTCTCGTCTAAGTAAAACATTAATCTCAACGTGAATGGTTTGTCTTTGACCATAACTAGATACATTATTTAGTTGAAGCACACACAATTTGGCTTAAAAGTGACTTAACCATAGTTTATATGCATAAATAAGAACTTTTGAATAATTTATTGTGATGGGTCTATTTATTAATGCATAAAGTGGCAATCGTAATACCAATACCATTTAGCTTTGATAGTTTTGTAGCAACTTGGCAGTTGGCACCACCGATCAATGTTTGAAGCATTCAACTTTTGGTTTTGTCTGTACGGAAGTTTCCCTTCTATAGGGTGCGCCCCTTGTCTTTAAAACTATGCTCTACTCTCCAACTTGTCAATTGTTCATTTTTTTAATTACAAGTCTAATATACTACTATATGTAGCAGTGAAAGGACAATGGATCGTATTAGATTCTATAAGATCTTAATTAGGCTTAAATTTTTTCTTCAATTACTTAAAAATTCTTTTGTAACTAAAGAATTTACACTTGATTTGACTACTTGGCCTCACTTAGACTTTTAAGTTAAACAGCTTGACCTATTTTATCCCTAATTACATGTTTATTTCGTTTAATTTATTTTAGAAATAATATATTTCTTTTATCAATTCCTCTAAGGTGCCTAAAAAATATAGATGATTATTCTCCTAAAAAAACTATACCAAACATGCGTTCTCCACGATGAAATAGTGATTATTTGAGTTTAAAAAAATCTGAACTCCCTCGTTTGACAGATCCAGAACGCTGCATTAAGTAACAACTACCAAATAGCAATCAACTAGAATGACAACAACACTCCAAGTTGTGGGGTGCCATGCTATTTCCCTTTTTGCTAAAATACTTGGAAATTTATGCACACCCATCAATATTCTATGTTAAGCACAAGTTACCCAAGTTGTGTGACTAAAGCCAACCAATTATTGTACATCCAGGACCCACAAATCACAACGCTAGCATTGAAAATGTTTGGCTACTTGCTATGAATTGGGATCCCAAAAAGCTTTCAAAACCAAAAGTGAACTAGAAGTGTGTATCTGAATATCTACTTTCCTTTGAATTGACATTTTTTTGTACATAGCACGTGGGGTCTCTCTCCACGTGCTGTAGGGCCACCCCATTTATTTAGTATAAAATTAATATTCACCACCTGCCATTTTTCTTTTCTTGGATTCATCTTTTCCATGCCATACAACCACAATCTATTATTAGTCCCCATGTTTTCATGATGCATGGAAAATATCTTAAGGGAAGTAACAAAGCAAAATGCTTTCTACATCATATAAAACAGTGAATTTGTCAAATTTAACAGTAAATTAGTTTTAAATTGTGCTATTCTCCTTATCCTTTCTTTCCCTCGTCAACTTTAGGCAAAACAAGACGAATATTCCTTGAAGTGAACATTTCAACTGTGTCACATCACTATGATGTATGGCTAATATTGCACTTTTGAACTAATTATCAGAAAATGAAATAGTGGCAACTGCATAATTGACGAAGCTAAAATGGGTTCTCAATTAATTTCAATTTAAAGTAGTAGATGAGTGTACAATTGCCACCATGGGTACAAGAGATTGAATGCGCCACTACCATCAATTTTACAAGGCATGGCAGCACGTTACAATGGCTAACAACTAACTTTATACCTCCCTGATCCAATATAAAGCCACGCTCTTCCCTAGTTCTTTCTCCCTAAATTTTTTGTTGTATAGCTGCTTTGATCTTCCAGTGAAATCACAATTCTGCCACCAGCTTAGCAACAAGATTATGGATTTCATATAGCCAAAATGTCAAGGTTGATGCACGTCATTACTTGGTGGAAATTCCAGGGTAGTCATTAGATGAAACATCATGGCCATAGGACATTTTTCGCTTTCTACCATTTCTCTGTCTATTGCTACCTCCTCCTTCTGGAATTACCCCCCTTCTTTTGTTGATATCTTGGAGGTGGTGCTTCACCTGTCTTCACATCAAGATCAAGAAATACTGAATCAACACGATGCTATGTGTACTGGAGCATTCTCCCAATAAACAAAGCCATCATTCTAATGCATGAAATATACCATGTGTTTGATGCATATATGAATTGAGGCTTTCACTAAAACACTTCATTACCAGCCAAAGAACCTAATTTAGATGACATTGTATAAGCACAAGATCAGAGGGGATTACTTACCACTTGCACATACTCCACTGTATTGAATCCTCACTCATTGGTAATGATAATTTACATGACCAACCTTGAGGACATGAACAACAGAAAAGACAACACTGATTAAAAGACTCTTCTGAAAGATTCGACAAGAATAAACTACCTTTTCCCTCAATCAATTACCTATTTATCTTGGCATAAAGCTGCATACCCGGAAAAAGATCATGCAAATCCTTTTTTATCATTTTCGTAACTCATACATGGTAAACCTACCCTTCTGGTTTCCAAAACTGATTTTGCTATATTCAACATAGGCCTAGAGAGGAAAGAGTCACACAATCCTCAGCAATCATACAAAACACATTACACATATAACTTGAAGAGAAAAGAAACTCGGCTGAACATCACATTTATATGTCTTTTCCAACTTCACTTTTCGCAATCATTATGTATGCCATGGATGATATATGATATATCAAATGAAAAATATGAAAAATGTAATGTATTGTATATAGTATATACTAACCCCAAAACAGAAATTCTGGTAACTGGCATCAAAGTGAGAAGAACCCTCTGCCTTCCCAAAATTCATCTCAGTGGAATTGCGTTTATTTGAATTAGAACTTTCACTATATGTCATGTAGGCAGATGAAGTAGAGCAACCAGTAGCTGCAAGAGAGGGGCTTTCATCGAATCGATTATCCGCTTGAAACATGTCTTCAAACAACTGTTGCAATTCCTCAAAGCTCTCCTCTCCATTTTCCTGTTATTTAACACATTTAAATTTATCAATTGTCTATGCTCCGCCTCCAGTAGAATTTGGCATAAACCTTTAGATGCCTTCAACTCTTTACATTCCAAAAAGAATATGGGAAAAGCAAATTTTAATTGACCAACAGGGCAAACATAAATTGTTATGCAAAAATTTCTTTATTCTAATTTAGACGAGAACGCTAAAAGCTGTTGACTATTTAGCCTCAATTACTCCTTGTTTTGGTATACAACAAGAAACTTCAATAATAGCCTTCCAAATTTCCAATTTTCATGCATCAGAACCAACAACATAGGGGCTCAATTCCAAAAAAGAAGAAGGTCGACTCGTGACACCGGAATGGCCCATTGAAGACAAAAAAAAAGCTATAAACTACATAGTATTTGACAAAAGCAGACACTATGTTCATGTCTAGCTTTATCCACTAAACAAAAAATATATATAAAACATTGGGATTGCCTAGCTTTATCACCCAACATGCCACTAATTAGATGAGAAAATAACGGTAGCAACGAAATTAGTGAACTCACATTTGTTTTAGTCTTACTCATCATTGTCACCATTTCATTCAAGAAATCCCCCATGCCCTGCAAAAGGAAATTCATTATTAAATTAGCACATCAAAACGATTGGATCATGACTCCTACGTTTGGTGGAAACAAGATCCAATTCCACCCCCTCAATCAAACTCGATTCTATGAATTATTCCCCACTTATTGAAATCTTTTAGCAACATACCCATGTGCCGTGTGACACACCTATTGACTTGACTTATAAGAAAAATTGTGCCTTTGTGACAATCCCAAGGAATAGAATCAAGCATTTTTGGGACAAATATGATTCTTATTAATCCCGAAGAAAGATACCTCTTTTCACATGAAGCGGAAAAAAAACATGGACGGTGCAAAATGCAGAAACGTGACAAGATTTTAGATGAAATGACAATAGCCCCTATCTCCCAAAAATAAAATATAGAAAATGCCAAAAATAAAAAATATTAAAAAAATACTATTAAATACATATCCATCATAATTTTCAACATATTGCTATTATGATTTTCAGTAAAAATATTTTTTTATTTCCTTAAATATACCCTTTAAACACGTTCTGAAGACCCGAAAAAATTAACCTCAAATAAAAAATGACAAAATTGAAAAAGACAGATGGACAACCAAAATTGGTCAATGTTAAAAAAAGGGGTCAAATTAAAATTGCTTCTGAAGTTCAAGAGAAAAGCAAAAACAAAAAAACTAAGGCCGTTTCTCATCAAGAAACTGTAGAAGTGATAGGAGGGGAGTGACCTACATTTTCGTCGTCATCACTGTCGTAGACTCCTACGTCGTACATTAACCTTTTGTTGGCATCAGATAAAACTGTCAAGAAAATAAACAGTGTCCAATGAAATTATGACAAAAATAAAAAATCCAACTTTTCTTCAATTTGCGGGGAAAATAAACAAGTGAATCATGGGTCAACAAAAAAATCGTGGAAATGTTCAAAAGGAAGAAAATGGAAAGTAGAATTACCAGAATAGGCTTGCTGAATTGCCTGAAATTTTTTCTTAGCTTCTTCCACGAACTTTGAATTCCCGGATGCTGAACAACGATCTGGGTGCCATTTCTATCCCATCAAACAAAATATTTTTCTTACAAACAATTCCAACTTCCATCACACAAATTTTCCCTCAAATTCAGTTTATGCAGTTCTCACAAATCACAGAAACAGAAACTCTTTTTCTGGAGAGAATGCAAAAATTCAACCATGATCGTGTTGTTTCAACTTAAAAAATAATGATTTTTTGGGAACACCCACATGACAAAGTAACATAAAAATTGTAAAAACAGGGTTATAAGAAGAGAGGGAAAGAAACATGAAAGTTCTATAAGAAATAAGCATTTAGATTCAATTATTCAATTCTAACCAGTGCAAGTTTCTTATAAGCATTCCTTAGCTCTGATTCAGTACACTCCTTATTCAAGCCCAGGATCGCATAGAAATCATTGCTTTTGTTTCCTTCATTAGCCATTATTATTCCCAACAACAACACAATCAAAATTCCAAAGTCCAAACTTTGCACAATCAGCAACAGCTCTGAAAAACAGCACCAAGTTCCAACCAACCACACCAAAGGAAAACTCTCGGAAGGACCAATCAAATATCAAACCAAGGTTTCTTGTCGACGAATTGAATCAACCAAGATACATAAACTCCGTACAACTATATCATTAAAAAAGGGTCACGAAAATCACACACACACACTTGCACACAATCACAAGAATATCACTATTGTTATGTGACTAATACTATTATATAATATTAAACTTGGATCACACCTTGGGTTTGGTACTACATATTTGTGAATAGGGACACGGAACTTAGCACTTGGCTTTTGATTCCGTGGAGTGAAAGGTGAAGGGCAAAGGAAAAAAAGACCCTCTCCACTCTTAGTCTCGTGAACACTCCAGAACCCTTCAGCCTTGCACCTTATATAGTTTATTTTATTTTACTTTTCATATTATTTAAATAGATATGAGAATAATGTTTGGTTTTTAATAATTAAAACTAAGGTAGTTGGTTTTGACTGCGGGATGAGGAACTGGGGTGGTGATGAAAGGCTGAGATTCCTTCGTAATGCAGATATTTAGTGGGAGAGTGTGTCCAGAAGGTTCGTTGTGGATGTGAAAGTCCTTTAACTCCTTTTTTATATATGGAAAAAAGTTTATAAGCTGTTCTTTTGTTAATTTGAATTTATATTTTATTTTAATAAAATATTTAATATTATAAAATTGTTAAAATAAAATTTTAATTAAATAGATAACATTAACAGCACATAAAGATTAAATAATTAATTTATTTCTTTTATTCATACATATGTGTATGATTTTGTGAAGTGTTAAAATTAAAGATAGAGATGAAAGTTGAATGCACGTGTGGGCTCCACTATATTATCAGGCCGTTTAACAGCTTGGAGAATTGATTGCCCGGTCTCAATTGTCATTGTCACATAATGCAGAAACTGAGAAAAGGTTGTGGAGCTCACTTTTGGAAATAGGTTATGTTTGTGGAAAAATATATTGCAAATTGCGAAGTAATTTTTATTTAATCTTTAACAATACAAACAAATAAAAGTGACATGGGCTACAAGCCTACAATAGATAAGGCTTAGCACTGACAAATATGGATTTGGACCTTTGAACTAGGGACAGCCTGAAATGTCTTACAGCATCCATTGAATGTATGTTTTTTTTAAAAACTTTAACTTTCCATGTAATTTTGTCCTTGTTTATCTTAAAACTATGGTCTGGTCTGGTTGTTTTCTTTTTCATTTTAATGTACTTGATTTCTACGGAATTCAATGCTTTGTATCACCATACCCATTGTATCACACGTCATCATGTTCTCATGGTTAAAAAAATTAAATTACAAGTTTCAGCCGTGGATTTAGTAGTCTAACTTAAGAGAACCAATTAAAAATGAAACAAATTAAAGAACTGAACCATTTTTTATGTGTGTAAAGTATAAACACACATAAATGAGATTAATGATATGGTTTAGAGGCACATGCGATGTAATGAAGTAGAGTTTATGTGTGATCAGGTGGGACCAGAAAGTGTTGAACCACAGAAAATTATGGAAATGACAGAGACAAATATGGGGTTACTGACTTGCTGCATATATAGTTCTATGGAGGGTGAAGTTGTGGTCCCTCATGAAATTCCGGCATGGCCATATAGGACTAGAAACCCCTCGAAATCACGTGCCACACCGTGACACGAGACGACTATAATCTGAATTCTGAACCAGATACTCCATGTTCAGTTCAAGAAGATAGGAGACAGTGTCTTGCAACTAGAACGAAAAAGTTGGTATATGTGTGTGGACCACTTATGGCCATTGCTTGCATCAAGTGTCTACCACAACCATATATGGAAAGAGAGTGTCCATCTCCACGATGTGATCGTCAACTTTTTTAACTACGTTAATCAGTTTCAAATCACAATTTAGATACTCAATTTAATTAAACAATTATTTAATGAATTGTTTTCAAATGACATTTTATAACATCAATTTAATCATAAAATTTATTTGAATAAATTAAAAATAACTTATTAGAGTGAGAAATTATTTTTGTAATTGAGTTAGACCGTGCTGGTTTTAAATTGTATTTACCAAAATCATGATACATTGATTAAATCAATTCAACTATGTTAATTATTCGAAAGAGTTTATCACTCGTAGTAATCTTACCATATTTGAATAGGAGTGTCTTCCGTAAAAGATTCTTATAATCTATAAAAATCATTTTGCACCCTTTAATTAAGATTTGAAAATTTCAAATTAAATATGAATTATAAGACACAAACATATGCTTGTTAGTTGTATACAGTGAAGAGAAGAATAGGTGAAGATCAAGTGGCCAATACACATTTTTGTCCACACGATCATATTTAATAAGGTCATTTATTAAATATTTTTAAAGTTAAGAAGTTGTAAATAAGTCAAACTAGACATACCTTAACTGAAATGACTACTAAAACATATTCTTAAAAAAACTAGATCCTGAATAAATATAATTCCTGCAATAGCCTCACTATATTTTATGCAAAATTCATTGATTTTTGTTTTTTCAAATTAGATTATCATATCCACGATGTCTATTAAATCCCATATTGGCATCTAAATCGTCTAAAAGCTTGTGGGTCTCACATCATTATATTTGAGCTCTCTAAAATTGACCAATAAGGCAATAACTACTTATGGTAATTGCAACTATTTCACAAGTTGCACATTCAAGAGTCACTAAGGGACAGCATAACGCACCCAAGATACAGCCATTTTTGTTTAGTTACTTATGTGGCCCCCTAAACTTTAATCACATTTCCAACTTTGGTAATGATTCAAAGAAACGAAAGAAAAAATAATTCAAAATAGCAAGTTGCGGCAAGAATAATAAGTTAACTGTCAAGTAGGTCTAGTGTGACAACCAAGGACCTTTATTATCTGAATCAATTCATAAAGTCCCTTTCAATTCCAAAGCTCATAGACAACTTGCTGGTAGTTTTGCTTTAGTTTAAATTAAATCTATAAGTGTAACTAATTGATTTGATTTACAATTATGTAATTAAAATTATTCTTTAAAATCATTCTTAGATTAATAAATAATTTTCATTACATAAAAAATATATACTATTTTATTATATAATTTTATCTTCTAAAACTTAACTTCTGATTATCATATAAATTATATGATTAATTGCACTTTTAGCATTGAGAATGATGTAAAAATGTGAAGTCTTTGATTTGTTTTTTATTTTTATGTAAGTGTATGTGTACAAGCATGGTAATATTGTACCAACAAAACCTGTCACAATTGATAGATGGTTAAATCCTTTAAGCATATTAATTAAAGCTTAATTCTCACTAGTGTGTATGTATAAAAAAATGCTTTATTGAATGAGATTATGCCAATTTTAGTGATTCCTTCACCTTCAAAGAGATTAATATCTAACTGACGACTGAAAGATACCTTTGATATCGAACAAAAAAGGACCATTTTCTTTTTATTTTTTCCGTTTCAAAGTTTCTATTCAACGAAAACGAATTAGATAGGCACTGCCCTGTCATAAACACCTAATTCATTATTAAACACGTGTGTAGTTAGTAAGTTATACTATTTTCAAAAATACTTTTAACATGTTAATTATTGAATAAACAGTAACAACCTTGAAATTTCAGCGTTAACCTTAGGTTTGGCTGATAGCACTGTGATAAGATGAGATATTTCTTCTGAAAAATGCATGAGATAAGTCATACAAATAATCAAATATCCCACCGGCCTATCAAATATCAACTGTTCAGATAAAGCCATAGTCAAGAAGATAATAATAATAGAGTAAGTAGTGGCATGTATTCAAAGAAGAAAAAAAATCTTCTACCCCTTTTACAGGGCGTTCCATAATGTGTCAAAGTTAACACTCGGTATTCTAAGTATGACAAATCACAAGATGCTTGTGACAAAAGATCCATTAAATTTCAAGCTAAAGTTGTCAGAGTTATAACAAACCATAGTAATAAGTAAATATCCTATAGCATGAGAAGATCACAGTTGCATGAAACCAGCAAGATTTAATTTAGGCATGGGTGCAAGACAAGTTGATAATGATATTTGGCCATATTCCAAGGTTGGTAGTAATCCGCCGTTATATCAAATTCACACCACTTATTGACGACCGACAGTCCCATTATGTCTGTGATAATCAACTATTTTCAAGGTCATATTCAATCTTGATTTTCTACAATGAATATGATGAAAACAATGAATTTTGTTTTCTGTAAGTGCTTTCATATGAATATGAAAGCCATTATTGGACCTACTATAGCAGTAATAAATACCAGATGAACATTGACACTGGGATAACTACCACATGTACTTTTCCTTTATGAACCATAAAGGCAGTAAATGTCCAAATTTATCCTTGAATTTGTATGAGTCAAGCATTTAGTCTATGATTTTTCAAAAATCCTACATTAGTCCTTGATTTTGCAAAATGACAAAAAAAGACTAAAACAAATAACTTCTTCCGGGTTAAAATCTCCAGTCAATACAATCTCGAAGACTAACATAAGGATTTACTCTACAAAAAGGGTCAGAATTTACCACCCTGAAAGGAGCAAAATTTTAGATTTTTATTTGCAACCTATACTTCATTCTGTCTCATAGCTTTGATCCAATCAAGTTCAACTCTGAAATCACCTGGCCCAGATCTAGCACCTGGGACTCCACCCTCAGCATTGACAGACAGAGACATGCCCAGAACACGGGATGGATTCATTTCAATTTGTGCATCTATAACATTCCCTCTCCAAGTAGGTAAATATCGAGCAAGAGGAATCTGGTCAATCAATGAAATTACTATGCACATCCCCATTGCTTAAAAGTGTCAGAAATTCACAATAGAAAAGAATGCAATCAATTGTGCAAGTATTGCCACTTTAGAGCTTAATATGGGCCAATGATATCCATCACTTAACTTTCACATTTCTAGAAAATCAACAGGGTACAAAATCAAATGACAATTATTCTATCATATGTTTTTCACTCAATTTCAAACTGTAAGATCAGCAATGCCTAGATCAACCTGGTTTACTCACTCACCATGTCAATACTAAATTCTTTAATGAGTAGCAGCCATGACAGATGATGATAACATTAACAAAAGCAGTTTTGAATATAACAATACAGAAATTCCAAATTTAAGCATAGGCTCCCTGAAACAAGTAATACACATTTCTTATGCATAAAAACTGCCTTCTAAAAAGGTTATTCTTTATATGACATGGAAGTAGGAACATGACAAATTTTAAAAGTTATAAGACTATATAACTATAATCTAATGTATAAAATTAGTATAAATTTAACATAATACATGATTTTTAGGTCAACATTGAATCAATATTTAAAGAGCAAGCATGAATCATTGTAGACATAATAAAATGGATACGACACAAACATAACTACTATTTTGAAGTGTCAATACTTCTTTGGCTGCCTCCTATAATGCCTCAGAAGCTTTCCAACTTCCAAATTCAACAATCATGTATTAAACCGTCAATGCTCTACAGATTTGTATAATCATAGCAAAACGGCTCACTATTCCTAATCATAACCTAGACCTTTTGAAAACATTGCGGTGGTAAGGCTTATAAGGAAGTAGATGCAAAGGTACAAGAGCAATGATCAAAGAGCTTTCATTATATCTGGTATGAGTTTCCTAGTCCTTAGGAGTGAGCAAAAAACAAAAAGGCCTGACCAAACCTGTCTAATCTGAATCGAACCAAAACAATGAGTATCAAACTGGTTTGGGTCAGAATCGGATGGAAAAAAATGTTTAAACTTTAAATATGGGTAGTAAAAATTTCTTGTTGTTGGAAGCCCATAGCATTTTTGTACTCTAGAGTTAGACCAAAATTAAAAATTTGAATTTTAAGAAAAAAAAAAACCTAGATGTGGGTTTTGCTCTCTGCTCTTAGCCACTGCCACACACCTCCTTCTCTTCTCTCTCACTTCCTTCTTTTCTCTTGCACTAGTGGGACTGTTGTTGGGCTGAGATTTCTGTTGTTCTCTCCCCACAAACCATAGACCTCAACCTCTTACTCTCACCTACTTGAGAATGCTCTTGCGCCACGTGTTACCCATCATATTCATAATACTCGTCTCCAACAGTGCTTCATCTTTTATGGATTGATGGTGTTTCATCTCTAATGGTGGTCATCTTCAACGGTGCTTCTTCTTTGGTGTCACTTTTCAATTGTGGTTGTCTCTGATGGTGCTTCATCTTTAGTGTTGCTAACAGTGCTTCATCTTACGTTGATGTTTGTCTCTAACACTTCTTCATCTTTTGATGATGCTCATCTCTTTCTCAGTGTATCTCCTGCTTCTCTGATCCCTTTGTGTATTTTTTATTTTTCTCATATTTCTCTCTCTAAGTTCATTGCTCATCTCTAGCTTTGTCGGCAACAGATCTCTTCTAAGATGTGGACCAAAAGTTAATCCAATCCAAGATTTAGCCTATACCCACCTTAATCCACCCAACTAACCCGTTACCTGTTGAGCCTGCTACTCGCCCAACCCAAGAGGCTATTCGGATGGAAGCGGTTTGGATTGTTAGACGATTGTATTGCTTCAGTTTTGGCTTTTTGGATCCAAACCCAACCGTTGCCCAACCCTACTAGTCCTATTGTCCCAAAGGAAAAGCTTTCGCATCAGGGTAACTATTTTTTACCATTTACATTGCCGCATAGCTAGTAATATAGTCTAGCAGGAAAAACTGTCACAAGTCACAAGCAATGGAGCATCAAATATGTCACTCAAATTATAGAACAGGCATCCTACATGAGAACTTAGTCCATCACGAGTTATCAGGTTTTAAGCAGTGAGACACTAATGGAACTTACCTTTGCAATAAACCAGTTGCCTTTAGGCACATAAACAAAAGCTTGCCATGAATTATCTTCCATCTGCCCAGGTGAATTAACCCAATTCTCCGTGTAGATCTGCAACGAAACCATATCAGTTACAATACTTGCAAAACTAACCAAAAATGAAATTTAAGTCCTCCAGATTTCCTAGCAGAGTAATTTGACACTGACAATGAAAAAGGGCACTCACAGTGGATATATAACATCTTCCATCTCCTTTAAGTTTCATAGCAATAGTATCATAAGAATCCAAATCAATGAAACCATCAAACTGCAAAGATGAAATAATTGCTTAAAAATAACACATTCAAATCAAAATTAAGCACCAATAACATTTATTAAATCCGATATGATTGTTTAAAAACAAGATGCAACCTTTTTTGAACGCATTCCACAGAAGCCACCCCTTCTGATGTTCCATTTAGAGCCCTCAGTGACATCCAGAGAAAGATTCCCAGAGAAGATTCCAGAAGTTACTCCATTTTCAGATTCAGTTATCTGCAGAGACGCAGAGGACAAACCTGGGTGGGTAGTAACAGTGAAACATTAAAAACCCTGAAAATCCAAACATTAAAATAATACAAACTTTAGTAATAGCAAGTAAATGGAGCCCAAAATAAGCCACCCCACCTCCAAATTCAGAATCAGAATACAAATGCCATTTGCTTAACTCTTGCTTGGAATTGAAGCTGAATATGTATCTTTCAGGTGGTGGCATCAAATCATCAAGATTACCAGATATAACTTTTGTTCCAATGCACACAGAGTTAGCGAATAGAGAGCAACAATATCAATAAAAAAACTTCATCCGAATTCAAAAAAAATGTTTTAGTTACAGAGAATGAATGAAGATTGAAAATCAGATACCTCTCTTAGTAGCATCCACAGAAGCTTGGAACAGTTTTCGCAATCTTGACATTCTCTCTCTCTCTCTGTGACACCCCCAACAGGTGGCGAGTGCCTCATCGATGTCCGTAAATGGGCCTAAGGGTAGGGACCTTATTCTTTTTCTGGGTTTCTTCAACTCACTAGGCCCAATTTTACAACCTAAACAAGTTGTGTACTGTAATTGAAAAAATAACTGGTTTACAGTTATTCTTATTTCACAAGATTATATAGTTAATTATTATTAATAATTAATCACTATGGCGTTTTGGTTCTGAGTTAACAGTTTACGATTAAAAAAAAATCTTAGTGTTTTGATGAGGATCTTTCATGTAAAGGTTTTCTCTCATCGCTCGGTGTCGTAAGATTTTTTTAAAAAGAAAAATAATAATATAAATTAAAATATTTAAGAAAATATTAATTTAATTAATACGTAACCATTGTATTGATATTAAAAATAGAATTAAAATATAAGAATTGGGCATTTTTAACTATGAGTTAAAAAACTCCAAAAATTAAATAGAAATTTTTATCAGGATTCTTAAACATTTATTGAGCTTAATGTTAAGTAATCGGAAAAACATATTTTTATTTTATAAAAAATCATAAGACATGTTTCATAAAATTGAAAAAACATATAAATTACATGAGGAAAAAACCATGTGAAAAAAATCCCATTCTTAAAAATAAGACTAGGATTTAATATATAAGAAAAAAATATTTATATTCATTGTTTCTTTTATAAATTTTTGTTTTTATATTCCTTTCTTTTGAAACAAGGTTGTATGAAGCTAAATATCTCACATTATTGTAGTTATATTTAGCAAATTCACAAGGCACGTGTCATAAACGGCTTGTTTGATTAACTATCAATAAAAGTTATATTTAACTACATAAAGATGGATTAAATACAATAATGATTTTAAAATTATAACTCAACATGCATGCATAGTAGTGAAAAAGAAATCATCATTTTAAAACGTTTATTTAAAATGAATGGCAACAATCAAATTCACCGTATACAGCCATATACTACTGCTAAAAGATTGTGATCGCAAGATATTCGAGTACAAACAATTTTTTTTATATTTTTTCAAGAAGACAAAATTCAAGTCTCTGCCAACAAGATGAGTTACGTCTAAGATTAGTATACGAATATTAGTAGGCAAAAAGTAAAAATTAAAAAGTATATTTGAATTCGATAGAGTAACGTATAGTATTTTCTAAGGTCAGTTCGTTAATATTTTATAAATAAGTTTATGTAATTTAAAAGTTTTAAACGGGGTTTTTATCCTTTATCTTGTTTAGAAAAATCTTTATTTTATTATCTTTTATTATACTCACTTCAGTTAACAAGATTCATGAAAAATAGTTACTTTAATCTCTCAAATTACAAGAGTTTATTAGTTTAGTCTCTAATTTGATTAAAAAAAAAGAAGTTCACTTTAATTTTTAATTTTTTTAAAATTAACTCTTTTTTATAATGCCTTTTTATTTTATGTTTCGTTATCATTTTGTATGGGAAAAAATTATAATAAATGCTGTTTGTGAAGTTAAGAATTCAAGTAATATTTTTATAAAATCAAAGATTGAAATAATGGATTTATAATTTAAAAGATTAAAATAAATAATTACTCAGTAAAACTCTATTTATGAACTTAGTGGAACTAAAAGGAATATTATTAACTTAAAATAAGCTACCAAGATTGTTGTCACGGCATTCAGCATCGAGGCAAATTATAGAAGAAACGCATCCCCATCAATTTAATCGTCATAGTGAAAACAAAACTTCTTGAACAATCAACATCAACATATTTATTTATGGGACATGCAATATAGGAAGAACATGATCAAGCATCTCACGGCAACATTGGAACAAAGCCATTTTAGATCATAAGAGTGTTTTGTTATCAATGGGAGCGATACTAAGCAAGTTGAGGAAATGGGTGAGTGGTGGCAGTGCTTTTAAGACCATAGAGAGGCCTTTGTTGACACCTAAAGGTTATGTTCCAATTTGTGTTGGCACAAATGAAGATACTTGCAAGCGATTTATGGTTCACATCAGAACACTTAGTGATGATTATTTCTGCGAGTTGTTGGGTAGGTCAGCTGATGAATATGGGTTTAGGAATGAAGGGGTTCTGAGGATCCCATTTGAAGCACAAGATTTTGAAGAGTGGTTGATCAAAAGGTCCAATGAAAAGATCAAGATTAAGAGGAGGGTAATAAAACCAATTTGATTAGAGATGTACAATTCTACTTCTTGTGGGGCTATATATATATACACACACAGGTGGGTGGGTTCTTGTTGAATGATTTACGGTTATTCTTGATTAAAATACGGTAAGTGTAATTAATGTTGAGTGCCATGATAATTTTTCTGTAAATGTCGAGTATATAACTTTTATTTAGTTAAAATTTTTATAGTACATAGATGGATGGACGTATGTTTTGAGTCACGTTCAATGGTACTTTTGGCTTTTATCATTTAATAATATATATATATATATATATATGTGTGTGTGTGTGTAATTTTAATTATTTGTACATAATTTTATGATTTTTTATTAATTTTTTATCTTAAATTTTGTCTATTAATTAATGAAAATGTTAATATAACAGGAGCATAATGTGATAGTAGTTTTGTATGAATTGATAAAGAACATGATGAAAACATGTTTAAATAAAAACAGAAACAAAAAATAATGCCCATAATCGGCACTTTGAAAATAATTTTATTTTCAAATATTTTATACAATTTTATTTTATTCGTAGAAGTTATAATACGTCATATTTTTCTTAATTTTAACCAGAATTTGAGATAAGAGATATTTTAATAATTGAAAATTTATAAAAATTAAATGCTAAAATTTATAAAATTCGAGGAACTAAGGTAATACATAAGATAAAGTATGGTAAAGAAAAGTATAACTGAGCCTTTAATTATGAGTTTTTCTATTGTGTGGATATGAATAGATGGAGTGAATATTAAATATTTTAATTAATTAATAAAGTGAAAGTAAATGATTTTGTGTTTTCTATATAATTAATACTTTCTTAATTGTATTTATAAAGAATATAATTTTGAGTCTTCAAAAGAAATTATTTAAACGAGGAGAAACTTCAATATTCTAACGGCAGGGAAATCAAATTTACAATTAAATGGTGCGATGAAAACTTCTAAATTTTCAATAATTAAAAGAAAAAAAATGATGGTGTTAAATTAACATTTTTTAGACAGAAAGAATTTTTACAATTAATTCATGGAAAATGTAAGGTTTCAAATGTTACATTGAACGCAAGAACAGAATAGAAAGCTACATATTGCAAGTTTAATATATTTTTGTGTCTCTCTCAAACTCCCATCCATGTTAAATTATTTATTTTTAATAATGATTCTATTTTTCTATAAAAAAGAAACTGAGCTGTATAATTGTGAGAAAGTTAAAAATAATATCTTTGAAAGGGCATAGTAATATTTCATTGGCCCTACCGAATTGATGTACACTTTGAGTATACAAACTTTTGCTAATAAGCTCAAATCTCTCTCAGACTTATCCATTTATAAGTTTTTTTTTTATTATTTATAAATAAAGGATCAGAGAAGAGAAAGGGCCACAAATTGCTCCTGGAAAAAGTGCCAAGAAAAATAAGAAAGCGATAGTCACTATTTTGCACTCACAATGTTTGGTTTCTACACCTAAGAGAACAGCTAGCAATTGCCACTTGGTTGTACTCTTCTAACATTTTCCTCTAAGCATTTCGTCATATTTCCTAGTTGATTCTTCCTTCAATGATATACAAACAAAAAGATTACGTACTTATACACATTATATATGCATAAATATTCCAATTTAATCTATTTTAAATTAAGCTGTGGATATCATCAACTATATTATTGTACAAGTTCGATGCCCCCACATATATCATCTCATACACAACTAGTAAGTTCAAATCTCTCTCACCAAATCTTATCAATATCATTCAACCTAGCCCATGATGTCGTGGACCTTAAGTCTAGTACCAGCTAGGTGCCATTATTTTGCTCTTAAAAACATTCCGTGAAGAAAAGAGGTGTGCATGCATGCATGCATGCATGGATAACACACCTTTCATTTATTTATTTTTTATTGCATCGGATAAAGGAAATCCTTCATTATTATTAAGGAATAAGTCATACTCATGTTATAACTAGTCCCTCCCATGATTTGAAATGCTAGTCATGCACCCATGTATAATTATAGATAGTTAAAAATTCCCTATTGCAATTTTAGTACTTTAGTTTGGTTTATGTGTAGTTTAATTTTTTATTTTTAAATTATACAAATTTACTCTTTAATTAATTTTTTATTTTTTTTCATTCTTTTAGAAAATTTGTTATGAAATTGGAACATAAAATTATTATAAAAGTCTAAAAATAAATTTTTTGATATTTTATAGTTGGTTAATTTTGAAAGTATGACAATTTATTCAATTCAATTTGTAAAAAACTTAAATAAAAAATTATAGTTTAATAATCATGCATTAGTTATATTAAAAATAGAAAGATCTATTTAGTTGAAAAAAATTCAGAGATCAAAATCGTACATATATAACCTAAATGAAAGAGATTAAAAATATAAGTAAATTTTCTTTTTGGAAAAAATGTATTTGTCACTTGCATGTGAGGTTGAATTGGAAATAAGGTTACAATTGAAAGAAAAAACTTATGAAGCTGATATAAATTTGTATGTATATATTTATCATTATGTATAAATGGAAATATAAAAGTATACATTAATCCTGCAGAGGTGAAATTTTCATATATAAAAAATGTGTGCATACGAAACGGTGGGCGAGACCCACAGTAATATATGACAAATGATGAAAAAGACTAAAAAACAGAAAAACAAAAGGCTGTGGCATTCCTTTGGCCTTTTGTGTGAACGAAGCACGGAAGACAGGCTAGCTTGGCTGCGTTTACAGTTGTGAATAAAAGTTCTTTGGGTTTGGGACAGAAAGCCAACAAGAATGTCCAACCTTGTATATACAGTAAAATTAACTATAACTTCAACTCCAGCTACAATGTCAGAGAAAATCTTCAAGAGAGACTACATCTTGGTAAATTAATTGTTCAAAATAAATTTAGTTTTAATCAAAATTATTTTTTTTATTTCCCCAACTTTTTTATACACTTACTAATTTTGTTGGTTGATACATTATTGTATAATATGTTTTTAAAAATATAAATAAATATCAGATATAAAATTATATATTTTTATAAAAAAAAAGTATTCAAATTTGATATATACGTACTTCAAAATAATTTCATATGATTCAATGATTAAATATACTAATTTACAATTTTCATAAATTATTAAATAAAATAAGTATATAGATGACAAACACCACTCATTATTTATTTATTTATTTATTTATTTTTGCTTGCTTAATTAACAATCTTTTCATTAGGAAACAGACACGATACCAAAATTGAGTCTTAACCAAGCAAGCTTTGAACCACAATGTTCCATTTCATAAGCAAGAGGGTTGAAAAACGAAGACAACAAATGCTAATTATGCTAAGTTTCCAATCCAGCATGAGTTTCTAAATACAATGGGGACTCCTTTGGCCAGATCCTGTAATTTCGGTATTGATCTTCGTTAGTGTCGCACCAAACACATGTTTCGGGTGCAATTTTACAAACATGAAAAACACTTATGGCTGCTTTCATTTTTCTTGTTTATTGGTAATCCCCATGTTCACATAGTATTGGAATTTGATGTACAATTGCACTAGACTATAGTCCTCCATGTCCAAGACATTCAATTCTTTGAATCATATTCTTAATGTATAGTCAAATATCCTCGATGACAAAAAGTAAGGTCAAACATCACTGTCTTTTGCTTGGTTTTGATCGATCCAATTAGATGTATCAGATCTTGGGGACATCCGTTAATGTTTGAGCTAAGCAATCATAAATATGTATATAATGAAAACGTGAGTGTACCTAAAGCACAATAGATTAGTTTACCAAAGCATATTAAAATTAGACCCCACTTTTCTTACTTTGTCATCCACAAAAATCTCATTTATTTGCTTACTTTTTGTTGTTTGGATCTCGTAGTGGTGAAAAGTAGTTGAAATCTTAGGTTTGAATGTTACAAATCATAATTTAAACCTGTTTGCGTAAACACTTTTAGATGTAGGCCGTGTATATTAATTTTTTGCCTCCATCATCACCCTCTTTGATGAACAAGTAAGACAAATAATAATAATAAAAGAATTTATAAGACATAAACCCAAGAAAACTCCACGGTACTTGTATATCAGCATCTAACTGATATGGCGGTAACGGTTTCATTGAAAGGACTTCATATTATATTAAGAGTCGTTTAGAAAACTTTATGTAAAAATTGTTCATGATTTTTTTAATTTCAGTTTATGCCAGTAAATTTTATAATTAATTTATTATATACTTTTTTATGAAATAAATACTTAGTAAATAAACACTTTAATTATTATTGAAATAATCTCTAATATTACTGTCAATTTGATACAATAGCTAGGACATTAACGCAAGGGAAGGAGCAAGTCAAAGAAAAATAGATGAAACAGAAATTAACTGCTCACCAATGTCGGCCACTTTCATTAGAAATTCAAAGGATAAACATTATGATAAGTACCATGTTTACAATAATTACTCACTTAACATCAACATCAATAATCCTCATGTATCTCGTTGCCCACAAGCAACCAGCAACTTGGAGTTATACCTCTACCAAAATCCAACCCACCATATACTCTTGACCATATTGCCGGATTCTCTCAACAATCTTCGACATGACATACTAATAATTCCTCTCCTATGATGCGTATCAATAAGATGAAATCATATGTCCCCTTCCTTGTTTTTCTGATTAAAATATATATAGTTTGTTAGCTTCAAACTTTAAAATTAAATTTAAGACCTTAAAAATAATACATGCACACATTAAAATTATAAAACTATAATAATTTTTTTTAATAAAAACTTACTATTTTTTAAGTGTTAACATTTTCGTTAATATATATTGCATCTACAAGAAAATTTTCTCTCTCATTAAGTGATGATTAATTAGTTGTTAGTTTAACTTTTGATGAAGTGTCATTTTTAATGAAAGAGACAAGGAAAAACACAGGTAAACGAGACAGGAGATATGAATTCGCATTAGATTCACCTCAAAGGAAGCATGAAGAATAGCACATCCATGTTAATTAATCGCCATAAGATGTTCACTGCAATTAATAACAATATTTATATATATAACATTTGATCAATCTGAATTAACAAAGTCACAAATGGTTTTGTTTTCTTCTTCTGTCACCACATGAAAAACAACTAAAGTCAGTTACTAGGTGTGTCAGCAAGTGCATCAGCATGCACAGGAGTAGAACTCAACCAGCTCATCCATGGACCCCAACTGGGTCTCAGTCTCAGCACTCTCAAGCATCCACAACAAGTGCTCAAACAGAACCACCTCACAAGAAACCACAACTCCATCATTACATCCATTAGAAGACGACTTATCCACTAGCTCTTGAAACACAGGATGATCAATGACTTCGGAGTTTACGAGGTACCTCCTTCGAGACTTGCCAACATAGACCGCATGAAGATCTTGTTCATGTTCATGTTCATGTTCTTTGGAGGAGTAAGTGGCTTCTTTGTTGGAGGAGGCAGTGCTGTTGTTGCGGCTGAGTTTGGTCAATGAGGGCCACCTTTTGATCGCTGACTTGAGCTTTGTTAGTCTTCCAACTTTGGCCATTTTTGGAAGGTGTTTGATGAGTGACTCGGTGAGAAAGAGTAGAGAGAAAAAGGGGTTAGTTGGTGTGAAGAATGATGAGAAGGTGTGAGGGAAGGTTCATTTATAAAGGGGCTTAGGGGGGGAAGAGAGGGAAGTGTGGTGAATGATGGAATGGGAAGGGGTTAAACATGTGCATGGCCCACTGTTTAGGACACAGCTAAGAATGAGATATTGGGTGGAGAATTGAAAAACCAGTTGCTCTTTTGTTTGGCCTCTAGTGAGGGGTTTGGCTTTGGCAAACTTTGCTAAGAGACAAATTCCCTTGCTTCTTGTGCTTTCACATTTATGCCCTCCTTTTATTTTTCTTCCTACCTCGAGGACCATGAGATTTTCCACTTTTCTCTCCCTACAGTTGTTTTATAATCGCCAAAAAGTGTATAATCGTTACATCATTTCAATATGATAAAATATTTTACTTACTGAGAAATGTTAATTGCAAAAAACTATTATGATATATATCAAGTATAATGTTTGTGCCAGTATTGAGGGGAAAATGTACAAGTTCAGTTGGAACACGGGTGTGCACAAGAAAAAAAAAACCTCCAAAGTCCAAGCGACTTTCAAAGAGTCTTAGGAATTAAGAATAGAACATTATGATTTGAATTAACTAATAGATGCATTAAAATAGATAAAATTTCCCGGTTATATTTAACAATTTCAAGTTTGTCTATTATTATATAATTAATAGTAGCATCAATTGAGGCACTGTCCAGAGCCATGCAATCAACCACCATCTGTTGTAAAGCAACCTTGAAAGTAATAGCACTCTAACCTTACAATATTTGAACCTTTCTTATTATTATTTTACAAAATTGGAACCGATGATAATGAGGATATTTATTGGATATAAAAAATTCTTTTAGGTTGTTGGAACCGATTTTTCTTTTCATGCTTGTTCTCAAAAGTATTGAAAGTATATTATAACAACGCAACCTTCCCTTATTATGATAAAAAAGAATAAAGCAGACCAGAGAACAAAAATGAATCTGATTAGGTAATGGATTTGAAATGAAATTAGGTACATACAATGGTTTTCTTTGTTATTGTTTGTTAATGGCTTGGCATCATGAAACAGCAACAAATTAAGGTGTTGGTTGGTTAGCAAGCCAGCAAGGATCGCATCTGTGGAATGCACTCAACTGGGCATTGCTAAAACTTAGGCAAATTCATCTACCTTACACACTACAAAGTGATGGTACCCACATAATTGTCCTTTTCCTGTATCTGCTTTACTAGCTTTCTTAGGTACAGAGGTACCATTAACAAGGTTCTAAATGCATATGGGGCCAAGGAACCTCATCTAGCAGAGCACTAACAACTCCAATCATAGACTTTGTCAATTTCTCCAAAATTCAAATTCAAGGACAATTAATAAAATTTCTCAGTAGTCCCATATATGAAAGAAAGAAAGAAAAGAAATTCTTTTATATACAAATTAATGTTGTATACAAAATTTTGCAGTATTTGGTGAGTTCACTATAATTCAAAATTTCAAAAACTACTATGTGTATACTTAATAATAATAATTTGTATCAATTAACGCATACCTTATACATGAAAAAAAAAATGAAACATTTGCGTATGCAGAGTTTCTGAAAGGGAAACATAAATTTGGATGCGTCATGAGTCATGTGTGAGCCCTTTTTGTGGTCCAACACGTGTGAGTCATGGATCACAAGAGTCTCTGCAGAAGCCAAATTCATGTATAATTTGCATACCATTACAAGCCAGTGGTCCAGTAGTTCCAACTATTCCCGCTGATTAAGCTGGTGCTTGCTGTTGCTGACACCACCTTCAAGCCTAGCCTTTCATTCAAATGTTTATATTTTGATTGTACAAGCAAGTTTAAATCGTTTCATGTTAATTCTTAGAGTAAAAATCTGCTTGGCTTCACTTCCTTCTATTGCTCCTTAGCTGGACATAGGCTTTTCTGATTGCTATTGGCTAGGACAAATAGCTATATCACTTTACATCAAGGTTATAAAGCTTTCATTATTTATTAAGGTTTGAAATTCAAATAGATACAAACGGTGAAATACAGAAATTTTTATTCATAATTTGATCCTTGAAATGGTATGAGTGGACACATTTATGAGAAACTAAAGAGAAGGAATTTGAGAATGTGTATGTGTATTTTGGCTTGGACAAATGAGTCCAATTTCTTTTTTTCAATGTATGTATCTGTTAAAAAAAAAAATTGCTTTCTAATAATGCCATTTGCAGCAAATCACATATACTAAAAATCTTACAAGCAAATATGTGATATTATATATAGCTATGTTGGTGTTTCTGCAAAATTAGGCCCATTTCCCCTCCTCATTAGATGGTTTAATAAATAAAAAAGGTCTCAAATCTTTTAAACGGAATATTTCTTAACTGATCATGTGCTTGAGAAGATTGTGATGGTCATCCAAGACAAGATTAGTTTTAGAGGCTTGGACCATATGTACCATAAGAAATGCATTAAATTTGAAGATCTCATTTGGATTTGCTAATTATAAATCATGTGCCATGAAATTATGTAGCATACAAAATGTCAAAATCATTGTCAGTTCAGCCATAATTGGACATAGTATTTTAACAACTTAATTAAACAGGGCACAAATGCTGTTTGAGAACTAATTAGCTAATTAGCAGACATATATCAAACACTTAGGTAGTGAGATTGTTTTTGCATGTAGCATGCCAAACGTTAGAAGGCTTAATCCTTGTTTGTACTCATACAACATACAGCAACCACGAGGTTCTTTTTTTTTGGACGGTGATGATCACATTTCAAGTTCTACTAGAGCATTTTGTTTTCTTGTTGCCAAGAATATTTGTTCTTGATATATTGGTAACTGTATGTTTCTAGTCTTGTTGAGGAAAGCACTAATTTGAATTTGGTAGCATGGTTTTTATTCTAAATATTTTTAAAAATTCACATTAAAATTATATGTTTATTGTTGTTATAATATTGGCAATTTATTAGGTGTTTATTTATTTATTTATTTATTTTATATACCGGTTTAAGTTTTTTTATTTTTAAATTTTTACCCAAATAGTTTGATTGTGTCAAAAATCTCAAAATGGTGTTAGTTAAAAAAATTATATAAAATAAAGTAAGTCACAAGTTAAATATGTTAATTAAATATTTGAGTCGTGTATGATATTCATGACTTATTATTATTTTTTTAAAATTGTCTTATCTTTTTTTTACTAGACTTCACATATTAGTAAATAAAATAATAACAAAATAAATTCATGAATGTGAAACACGATTTTGTTATTATTTTAAAAAGAATAGCAAGGCATGAATATCATACACTACCCAAATATTTGCATAATTTTCTAATTTTCTATTTAAAAGAATGGTTAATAACTTAATCTGTGTACATGCTCTATTTAGCAGTAGTAAACATAGCTGAAAATAACACACATGAATTGTGCTAATTGTAGCATTTAGTCCTTCGATTTATATTTTATTATCTGTTTGTGAGATAACAAACAAAAAAGTTATGTATTCACCACATCTAGGTTTGCTGGTTACAAACCATGTGCATTGAAATAGAATTAATGAATTATATAATAAAAAATTTGTTAGTTTAATTATTATTGATTAGAGCACATAATAAGTAGCTTAGCATGTTAAACATAGCATATATGCTGTTTGAGAACTGATTAGTAGACAAAACATCAAACACTTACTAGGATAGTGATTCTGCTGCATACATTTTAGGGGCAAAATCTTCCTCCCTGGTGATTATGTCCATAGAATCAAAAACTAGCATCCTTCTTGTGATTTGTGCTTCTTCTTTTTTTTCTTTTAAATGGCTTATCTTTGTGTGAGTAGTATTAATTTAAATTGTACGTTAGATTATTTTACTCTATAAGTAGAGTCACAATTAAATTCGGTTTAAGTTTCCATTTTATAAATTTTATTAGAGGATGTTGCCAATTATTTTTATACTAAATTAGAATAGAAGCTTAGAAAGTTTAGCCAAAACATATGCTTCGTGTACTACATTAACTCTTGTTCTATGAAATTTTAGACATTTAAATGCTAAAACTTAAGATAATTCGAAACCACCTTTTATGAAACGAAAATATATTGATATAATTTTTCTTAATTTTACATAAAAAAAATCATATTTAAAGCATTATCTATAATAAAATTATAATTTCTATATAAATATGTTATAAGTAACTTTTCATTTTTAGGGAAAGAATTTACTGTTTATAATAATTCTATCCAACTCTAATAAAACTTTTATTTTATTCAAGTATTCTTGATAGATTTTGAGTTAAAGATCAAACACTTTCCATCAATTTAGGAATTACGACGATGAAAAACACAATTTTAAAGTACTAACTTAACTGTTATTATTTATTTTAAAAGACTACCTTCAAAATAACTCCGCTTACAGAATTTCATATATCCATTGCATATACTATTAAAGAAATGAAAACCTTGACGGAACCTTTATTTTGTTTTGGATCTTCATTTTATGGACACTTTTTGTTGATCATCCTATTTCTTTTCCAACAAAGCATTCACCACGCGATAAACCATTTGCACTATTAACAATATACCATTATGTTGAGACCTTTATATGTATAACTCTGTATTATTAAATCAGCTAAGGACTTTTCCTGTCTATAAAATCATTATTTTTACTTTCATAAATTACTGAAATTTTTGCAAAAAGATATATATATCATGGCTATTTACTTGTCACTCCATCCATGCATTAAGCTTTGCATGCTCTTCACTCCATGAATTGTTCTCATCAACTGCTCTCTATTTTAGATGTACTCCAATTTTTATAGGTTTAATAATTTTAAAATCTTCCAAATCTTTATTATTTTATTTATTCCATCACTTAAAATATGTGATGATGATGCTTATGTGAAATACAATCACAGATGCAATACTCTTGAAAGCATTTCAAGAGCGTCTATCTATGGTAAGCTTCAAGCCATGTGCCATTGACAATATAGTCATCATCCTGTATTTCACTGCATGACCAGGCACCAAGTTGAACTTGTAAAATCTGCATAAAATAGCTAGTACCATCCTCATTTGGAGATATGCAGAGTCCTTGCCAAGGCATATCCTTGGCCCTGCCTGTAGGTCCAAAAGCAAGGTAAAAGTAAGTTGTTTGTTGCATAGAAGAATGTCAGTAACACTTTTCAACATACTTTATATAATAGGTCCATTTTTAAATGTTGATAATTTTTAAACGTCACACACTTTTCGATACACTTTATAGAATGTCAGTAACACACTTTGTAAATTGATAACTTTTAAAAAATGTTGCTTTGAGTTTTTAAAAGATGAACTAATTCTATAAAACGTGTCCAAAAGAGTGTGTTTGTTGCAGATTTAGTTAAAACTTAAAATGCATGCTTTGTATTTTCTTCATAGATTATAGATTCCAAAGCAAACAAATGAAATTACCTGAAAAGCGGTGAATTTGAATGGAGATTCATTTCGGAGAACACCATCCTTGAACCATCTCTCAGGTATAAATGAAGCTGCATCAGGGCCCCAATTATACTCCATTCTTCCCATAGAGTATGGAACATAAGTTACCATTCCCCCTGCTTTTATTTTGGTTCCATCTGGCAACACATCATCTTCCAAGATACCCTTTGGATCCTACAATTGGATATGATTGCATAACAAGTTCATTATTATACAAAATTTAAAGCATCAACCCTAGAGAACCCCCTCTTCCAAACTACATAAAGTGCTTTGCTTAATAATAAAAATGACGTAGCCTAACCTAAGCAACTTTATTTTCCCAGCAATCACTTTTGTCACTTGGGATAAAAAAATATATCTAACTTTATATGCAATTTCCAGAACAATCAACAAATGAGTTGGGAAATGCATACCTGAGGAACTGCTGGATACAATCTTACGGTCTCCGTTATGACAGCATGCAGATAGTGCAGTCTTTCTAGTGAATCTTTGTTCAATAACCTTGAAAATTGCACTACTCTTTGATTGAATGATTCAGGATCCTCTTTGTCACATTGATGCAAGAAAATGTTCTCTTCTTTTGCTCGATTCTCCTCAAAAGATTTTAGCTCTGAGTAAAGTTTGTCAGCAACATGAGCATGTGTCATAACCATATATATGGCCCACGATAGGGTTGTTGCGGTTGTGTCTCTACCAGCAATCACGAAGTTCAATACAACATCTCTCAGATTCTTGTCTGTTGCATTGCTTTCTCCCAGTTCTATGAATCTTGATAATATATCATGTTTTATCTGTTTTATAATAAGATATATTAGAGTAATTGATTAATAATATGTAAGCTTAGGCATGAAGTACATTATTTAGTTTGGATACAAGGTTTCTACGAAACTACCTGATTTTGTTGGCCACTTGTTTTAGCATCTTCTATCTCTGCCTTCCTTCTCCGAATTACTGAGTAAGTGAAATTATCAATGACTTTGATGCTCTTATCAAGTTGTGCTTCTGAGCCTATATTTAGCATTTTCTTAATTTTCCAGAGTGGATCAATGAAGCGAAGGGTTACTATGACGTTTGCAGTGTCAAAGGCATGAGCAAAACTATTGTCTGGTAAATTGGGAGTCAAAGTTCCAATTTCCACTCCAAATCCCACCTTACATATGGAGTCTAAAGTCATTCTCATCAACAATTCCTAGAAATTGACATTGCATATATCATCAACTACTTAATAGAACTAAGGAATAAGTTATAAATTTGAATAAAAATATAAGCATGAAGAATGTTTGTAGCACCTGCATATCTATTTCATGGTTGAGGAAAGATGCTTGACTGAGAATGGCAGAGAGTTTTAAGGCATATTCCCTGAAAACTCTGGTACTAAAATCCCTCAAATTTCTGGATGCAAACTCTAAGCTTGCAGTTTTCCTTTGCTTCTTCCAAAGCTCTCCATCAACATTAAATATCCCATCTCCAAGCAACACTTCCATATATGAATGGTACACTTCACCCTGCAGTTAAATTCACAAGTTTTTCCATCAAAAGTGCTAATTATGCAAGTGAAAACAATGAACATTAAACATTATTCCATATGATTTATAATGCATTTGGATTTGCGTTAAAATATCTACCAATCCACGTTTAATTTAACATTAATAATTATAGCTTTTTCCGATTACTGGTTTTCTAATGTATACTATTTCCAAACACGTACTTAATATTGAAATTAATAACAGCCACTGAAGTTAAAAATGATGTAATGTAGACTACCTTTGGATAATTATTGAAGTTGGTCTTAAGTACATGTTCCACATTAACAGGATCAGCAATGTAAGTGTAAGTTGTGAATGGCATAGGGACAACAACAGTTTTTGACTTGGACAAATAATGGACAAGCCAATCATGCATCCTATCATAGTTCACCAATTGTTCAATGGCAGCTCCAAGAAAGGGCCAAGTTTTGGGGCCTTTCTTGTTCCTTTGACTCCATCTGTGTATGAACATCCATGAAACAACCATGAAAATGAGAAGTACTAACCCCCCCATGTTGCATAGATCCCTAAAGGGAGCAACTAAAGTGAGGTTCCTTTCTTCTCTCATTTTTAAGACATGAAAAGACGCATGCTTGAGTGATTACTTAATGAGTATCTTTATATTAATTAAGGGGAGATATGAGGTAGTTAGAATGTAGGTACCTTAACTGGTTTATTTTATATATGATTTTAGCTGTGTATTAGCGACTTTGTCACATTCTTTTGGTGCTTATTGTTTGTGAAGTTGAAAGATAAAGAATAGCTTCATTTGTTTCATGCCATTTACCTAAATTTCATAGAACTACCAATATGACCAAAGGCACTGTCAAGGCACGTAACCTGATATTTGCATTTTTGTATAACAGTTTACTAGTCTATTAACGAAACTATGCATGTTATTGTTAACTAATAAATTACTCATATTAATTGGTATAAAAATGATAAGGAAAAATTATTACATGGTATAGGATTATGTAATAACACCACTCATACTATACCATATAGATCAAAATTTTACAATTTATGAGAAAAAAATACATAATTATGTGGTCACACCACTCATACTGTACGCCGATATCCTCAATTAATAAAATTATTTATTTATAAATATAAATAATTTTTATCAAATTAAAAAATAATTTTTGTTTTTACAATTTTTAATCATTTAAACATAATTATCAAAATTAGATTAGACTAACCAATTGACTAATTATGTAATTATGTAGATAATTATTAAGTCATTGGTTGGGAAACTCAGGATATTAACGAAGCAACATAGCAAATAAGAATCGATCAAACTTACAAAAATATTAATTTCTAAAAACAAGTTTGAACCAATCTTACTAAAAATATTTTTAAAATTTTATTTTAAATAATTTTTAAATAAATAAAAGCTCATGTATAAATTTATGTACGAATTGTTATTATTTAACATTATAAATCTATTTATGTCATAGAATATATAATTTTATATTAGTTTAAATTTTACCAACTTATTTTTATATTATTTTATTACTTAATATGTTATATAATATTGAAAAAATTATTTATATAATTATTATTTATTCAACTCAAATTTAATTACACTAAATTAATGAATTATAAATCAATATCATTATTAGTTTAATAATTTATTTAATATTAAATAAATATCATTTTATAAAAAAATAATATTTTAAAAAAATTAAAATATCTGATTCATACATTTTTTTTAAAATAACTTAAAAGTTTATTCTACAGCACATTGAACTATATAATTTTGAGTTATACACATCTGAGTTTAAGACACCAAAATAAAAAGAATTACATAAGAAAAAAAAAACATTAAAAACACATCGATCAATAAAACAAAATCTTAACTGCTAGAAATAGAAATAAAAGATTATGTTTAATAAAACAAACTGAATACTACGGGCTTGTATTTTTTTAATTGTAAAATTAGTTAAAAGTTTATAATTATAATTTATAAAATTAAATTATTTAACAAACTAATTATACAGTTGACTGATTTATACTAAATAGTTTATATATATATATATATATATATATTATGTTTATATAATATTAAAATTATACACAATTTATTTTAATATATTGTATTAATAAAAATAATGTTATTAACTTAAATAATAACTTAATTTTTTTTTAAAATTATTATTTTAATATATTATATTATTAAAAATTAACATATTAAACTTTAATTATGTAAATAATCAGTTGTCTTTCATTAAAGAATAAAGATAAAAATATTAATAATTAAAATTTAAAAGTTATGTTTTAAATAATTTTTAAAAACTTCAAACTCTTTTTATTTAAAATTTTAAAATTTTTTAAATAAAAAAATAAAATGATTTTTTTTTGGGGGGGGGGGGGGGGGGGAGATTCTGAAAAATGATACTTGATCAAAGTGCATGGTGAATTACCATCTGATTCTGACACGTACAGAGAAGAAAGGGCCTCCAGTTTCCACAACTATCCAGAGGATAACACGTGCAACCAAAAATCCAGGAGATGTTTCCAGAACGTATGGGCAACCACTCTCGAATTTTCTTCACTCTTCACAATTTTTTTCTCTTTATATATACAATCCAACACGTTCAAACTAAGTTTTCCAACATAAGATGCCCTTTTTTTCCTTGTTAGATTCTCGGTGGCACAAACATACATAGTAGCATAAAGAACCCCTTTTTTTTTGTGTGTATGTGTGTGTCTGTGTTTTTTGTTTTTTTTTTTATAGATACTGTGGTGTTTGCTAACTTTTTTTTAGTTGTGTTTTTGTGGTGAATTCAGATTCAGTGTATAGTGGGTTGAATTAGTGTGAGAAAGCGGTGAAGATGAGCAGAGTAGGTGCTACATTGAACTTGGATTTGGCTACTGCAGTGAACAACCTGTTCAATCTTCCTGAAACCATGGAAAAGTTCATGTTCTCTTCTCGGCCTTATGAGAACCAAGAGACCAGAGGGGTCTCTACCATTCCAGTTGACATTTTGGATACCCCAAAAGAGTATATTTTCTTCATGGATGTTCCTGGTCTCTCCAAGTCTGAAATTCAGGTACTTATCTACATCGATGATGTGACACCCCTATATTATAATAAAACTAAAGAATTATTTATTTTATGTAGATGTTATTCAGTATTTTTTATATATTTTTAACGTTCGCAAGTTTCTTTGTTTATTTTCAGTTTGTATCTACATGGTTCTAGAATTAAAAGCTTGGATGTGGTGTAGTGCCAATAGATAGCTCAAAGTTTCAATTGGGTCTTGTACTAGAATTACGAAACTTGGACTTGCCAAAATGGGGTATCACTAATGCGTTCACTGCAAGTTGAGTTATAAGTAAACTAAACTAGTCTTTAATAATATGGAGAGTTATGTAAGCAAGCATAAAGTGTGATTTTGTGATTACTATGGTGAATTAGGGCTAGTGTTTATGGTGTGATGTACTTATGTGATGTGGCTGTTTTTGTAGGTGACAATTGAAGATGAGCATACACTTGTTATAAGAAGCAACGGGAAAAGGAAGCGTCAAGATGGTGAGGATGAAGGATGCAAGTACCTTAGGCTGGAGAGGAGAGGGCCTAAGAATTTGCTGAGAAAGTTCCGTTTGCCTGAGAATGCCGATGTGTCAGCAATTACAGCTAAGTGTGAAAATGGAGTTTTGACTGTGATTGTTGACAAGCACCCTCCTCCTCCCAAATCCAAAATAGTTGAAGTAGCCATTGCTTGAGGGATAATTTGTATTGGGAGCTAGGCCCCATGATTATTTTTTTAAGTTTGTTTTTGCCGCATGTTTGTTAGTGAAAGGATTCTAGCTTTGCCCTTGAAGTTGTTTAGGTAGCAATGTAAAGTGTTCCCATGTTTGTAGTTTCCACATGCACTTGTTCCCTGTAATAAAATTTAATTAAATTTACAGCTACAAGCTCAATTGCTACCAAGGTGGATAGATCAAAATAAAATGTTCCACATAACATGTTGAAACACTAATATATTAGAATTGTACACTGCCCAAAGGATGAGTCCAATTATAGGACGCCCTTAATATGGATGAATATATGGCAATCAAGTTTAATAGCTAGAGGCAAAACTTGTAAAAAGCAATCAAATCTAATCAAATATAAATTACAAAGGCAATGACATTCTTCGTTGCCCGACTTAAGTTCCTAAAAACTATTAAAAAAATCTAGTCGATGCCTTGCCAACGCAATGTGTTCTATAGCTGTCTCTAGTCTGGGAAGAATTCAGCTGACTACTTTTTTCCTTTTCTTAGACTTGCTTTTCTTGTGGGTAGGTTTTTTCTCAGAATTGTCATCATCTTCCATTAGATGCTCAAACTCTTCATAACTTGCAAATGGGGACACACCACTCTTACCACCAGTTTTTCTTTTTCGTTTTCTTCTGTCAACATCATCCTCATCAACATCAGAGACATCATCAACATCTCCAACCTGAAGATCATTGCCATCATCGTCATTGCCAACATCATCAATTGGTGCATCCGCATCTTCCTCTCCCATATCAGAGAGTATCTCCATCTCCGCGTCACTAACATCACCAAGCAAGTCCTCATCATCCTCATTGGCAACTTTATCCAAATCATCATAATCATAGTCACTGTCTGATTCCATAGTTTGATCAGCAGAATCCAACAGATTCTCAATCTCTTCACTATCACTCTCATCCCCACCATCAACGTCAAACAACTCCTCAGCAGCCTCCTCATCAGCTGATTTCTTCTTTTTCTTCTGTTTTGTAGAGGAACTCATTTTGTTTGTATAGAACTTGTGGAAGACAAGATCCTCTGGTGGGACATCAGCCTCAGCTAGTGAAAGAATTTCTGATCCAATCAATTGCTTGTTAACATCCATCTGCAAAATAAAGAAACGTGTTAACCAGCTGAATTAAAAGGCTAACGGACGGTGCATTAACCTAAGAAGTCATGTTGCTGAAAAAGCAAGCATGTAAATGGTTGATTAGTGAAAAGTTGAACACTTCTACTTACCTGCTTAGCAGGTTCAATCTGAGAAGCACCATGCCATGTGCTTTGTTTCGGTTTCTTCTCCATGAATTTATCTAGGAAAGCTGTCAGAGACAGATCATTTAAGGGGTTTCCGTTGTAGACAATGTGAGCCCCAGAAAGAAGAGTTTTTGCCATAGTAGCAACTGAAGGGTGTGCATGTGAAGCAAGCACCAGTAACTCCCACCAACTTGCACGGTCTGCATTGCTGTTGAGATGAACAAAATATGTAATCTATGGTGTACAAAGATAATCAGGTGATACAAACAGAAAATGAGTATAAAAGCAGAATATTTAGTCATAAAAATAATCTCAACTCCAAACCACCCCCCCCCCCATGTGCCTGCTATTTCAACCTGTCTTTGCTTGTGTTGTGTATTATCAAATATGCCTGTATCATCCAGCATTGTACCCTCCTCTTACAGTGTACTCTCTTGTGAGAAGCTATATGAAATATGTCATGAAATACTCAACCCCAGTGCTTTGAACAAACAATTGCAAAAATATTATAATATGATGTCTGAAATGATGACTAGCGTGAAAGCAAATCACGAAAATTACCAGTAAGAAGGTTCTCTATGTCGTGGATCATAGCCTCCAGGCAGGGAAGACTTCTTGGCAGATAACGGTGAGTGCAGACCTTCATTAGCATACATGGATTTTGATTTCTTGTGATTCATTTCATTCTTAGCAAGCAAAAAATCTGCATCCTCTGTTTCACCATCATCTGAATCATCATCTTCAGAAGATACTGGAAGATCATCTTCACTTTCTGAAGAAATGGTGTCAGAAGTGGCACCCTCGCCATTCTGAACAAGCTCAATATCACCTTGTTTATTTGATACGGTGCTAGGTTTATTATCAGTTTCTTCGATAACATCTTCAAAGTGTTCAAGTTCCTCATCAATAGATTCGTTCTGCAACACCACGTTCCTATATGAAAAGTGAAAGAGTATATGATTTTCCTTCTGGTCAAATGAGTGGTTGGTCAATTCCATGGCAAACTTCTCAGTACAAGAATAACAATGCACAGAGAATAGTGTTCTATGCCCTCACACCCACAACTATAAACATGTAGTAAACATGGCAATGACACAGAAGAAAACATAATCGGCTTACCATAAAGGTGGTCTGGCTTTAAGGAGTTCAGATAGAAGGAAAAGACATGCACAGGCATATTGTGGTGGCTGCTGAAGTGCAATCTGAACAAATAAAAATCAGCAGTGGTATCTTGTAAAAGGAATGAAAGGTAGAGAAGGAGCTATTTAATTGATAATCACCTGCAATAGACGCTTGGAAAATGCAGTCACACGCTTTAAGTTAACATCCCTTTTCATTGCTCTGAGAAGAAGTGCAATAAACATCTCTGCCTGAGGAAAAAAACATTAGAAAAATTCTACAGAGAATTGAACAGCATAAGCACAGGCATTTTTTTAGCGGAAGGTAAAAGAGTTTGCTTACCTTGGATGTATTCATGGCAGCTGGAAGCAAAAGTTTGGAGTACAAAGCACGGTAAAACCGATCACTGGCTATCTGATTTTTGGATGAAATTTTATCAAGAAGCATCAGTGCTTGAACACCTACATTAAAATTCTTTGAATGAACCTGCAAGTTTGCAGTTTGGGTTAAGATATCTAAGAACCAAAACCAGGTAATGATAGATGCTCGTGCAACATCTGTACCATACTGCACACACAGTTTCAACTATGTTATCAAATTATTAATTACCAATTGGAAAAGTACTGGTGTTTGAACATCAACAATGTCATCAGCTTCGTCACTTGAGACAAAAGGAAATGCTCTATTCACTCCCTGTAATGATATCAAATGCAAAACAGTGTAAGATTGTACAATTCAAGACAAAGGTATCAGAAAACCCAGATTATGACTGAATTTGTTGTAATTAAAAAATATAAAAAATTATGATATTATCATCATACTTACTGTTAGCAGAGCTGATAGAAGCCTAGAGTCCAATTCCACATGTGATTCTGACAACCCTTTTGATTTTTCTTCTTTTGGAGTTGCCTTGCCACTTTTATCAGACTTCTTGCTGCTTGTGCCAGAAATTAAAACCTGAAGATCCCCAAAAGTAAATCTTTACTATTTTGTAGCTTTTGTAAAAGAAAATCACATCATGTTACTTCAGTTTGATATATAAGCTTACAGAAGGAAGGATCCTAGGGAAAATCAATACCTTAAACAGTGCAAAATATACGTCTATTAGACGTTTTGCAACTTTTGGTCCATCTCCTTTATTTGTGAGACGGATTTGGCTCAAGAAGTTAACCTAAAATTGTAGAAAAAGCAGTCAGTGAGCTTCTTTAGTGAGACCATCTCTAAATATATTTTAATATAGTCCAAAATTTATCTTCAAAAAAGTCATTTAAATTTGAAGGGACACTTCTATAACCACAGAAAGTGATTTCAAACAGATATACTATTGCAATGCAGAACATTAAAATTCAACAAATTTACAAATGAAGATACAAACAACAAACAAAGTCCTCGTGTTCAAGAGCTAGTGTTAAAAGATGCCAATCAGATTAACAATGACACAAACAATGATATAGCCACAAACTTTTAGAAACATAATAGGATGCACAATGTGTACCAAATATGAAACATTAATAAAAAGAAGCACTGGGCATTTTACTTTGCATTGAATGATATAAGAAAAACATCAAGGATAAAACTTTAGGACATACAGCATGGTACTGTGAACGTGATCCTAAATGAGGCCGAAAGAGAAAAGAATCCACCTCGTCAATAACCACAGCCTGTATGGGGGAAAAAAAGACATGAATTAACAAGAAGCATAAACTTCAGCAACTAAAACAAATTATGAGGTAAATAGGAGCCTTAATGTCAAGCATGTATATCATCACCTAATAGCATGGAACGTTGGAAACCTAAAAGTCAATATCTTCTAAAAGAAGGAAATGAAAGACAAGCAACCATATCAGGCATGCAAAGCTTTTTGGCTTGTGATGTTCGTTCAAGTATATATTAATTATCTATCTGCTAGTAACATTGAGAAACTCCAAATATTGGTCCAAACATCTACTATAGATACATCCAAAACTAAATTAAAAAGGTTGTAACAAAAGAGGTGATATATATTTATACCTTCATGTTTGGGTGGTCAGACAAAAGGTTGGACAAGTGAAAGTCAGCATTAGATGCTGCCTTATTATCTGGATCCCCAAGCTGAAGTAATTTCAAAGCCCCCATCCACCAACAAAAGAGAAAAAGAAAGCCAAAGTAAAATGAGACAGTCTTAGTAACAGTTTATGGTAGTTCTAGTGAACTCACTAACCACCTATTGTAACTAGACCAAATGAAGATAAAATACAATAAATTCAGACAGGCCATAGCTCAGTGTTAACTCACTTTATTAATTAGTGCAGAAAGTAATCTGCGCTCTTGCTCTGACTTCCTACTCAGTAGCACATATATGGACTGCAAGCAACAAAGGAAAAGGCACTCATCTAATCGTTATTAATTTTTAAGAGTTAATACATTTGATATATTTGAGAACATGTTACACTATGGTGGCATTTGGAAGAGCTAATGGAAGTGTCAAATGACCTTCTCATAAGCTCTTTTTTATAATTTCAATAAGCTTCAAGGAAAAAGGGTGAATTTTAAGTCTAAAATAGGAGCACAAAAAAGGATAAAGAAACAAAGTATGAAAAGAAAACTAACCTTTAATGCCTTGTTTTTTAGAGCAGGTAGCATGTCTCGTGATGCTTCTTCAAGTGCAACAACAAATCTTTCATATCTGAGACATTAGAAGCTATTCAATGCATCACTAACAAAAGAATTTGGGTGGATGGCAAAAATGAACAGTGTCATTGACAATAAAAAATATTCCTCAAGCAAGATATATGTTTGTGAAGTGGTATGGAGAGACTGTCTAGTACTTGCATTAGTAAGCCCTTTCTCCTATTCTTCCATGATAATATTATGATTCCTCAAGCAAAATACTAATGAATTCATGTAAAAGCTCATTAGAACTCAATGATTCTTATAATGATGGAGCAACTAATTAAATGTATAGACAGCATCCAAAGTTAAGGAAACGATAGATCCCCTTCATAAAATGCACTAACATTTAGAATTTACTCAAGAAATCTTTAACCAAGTCAAATCAAAGAATTTGACTTAAGATGAAAATGTGATTATGAATAATGTGTTGTAACAAATACCTCTGTTTCAAACATTCCTCCCAATACCAGAAAAGGAGAAGGGAGTAACCATCTTTAGTTTCAGGAATATGATTTAGGGGCCGCTGTATCAGAGTCTTCAATTTGTGATCTGGTAATAAGCTGCAATGAAAAAAAAAAACAAGATAATGTAGTAGATCAGAGCATTGAAACATCGTATGATTCAATACTATGCAAAAGCAGACTGTCAAATTATAACTTACCAACAACATGCAAACCACCAAAGTACATGACATATAACACTAGAACAAACAGGGACGATTGGCAGATTAATGGGAGTTGTTCAAAGGAAAGGTAAGAATCTATATTGATATTTTCAAATTTGATTATTTCCACAACTAAAGTCACGCATGAGATTTTATCTCATTATTCTTTAAGAGTTTTTTGAAAAGATTTTATGAATTATACTTTGATGATAAAAAGATTTTATTTTTTTCATAATGGGGAGAGAGGTGTGTGTGTGAGAGAGAATGGGGAAATGCAGACCTTGCAATAAATAATTCTTGAAGTGCTTCAAAACCTGTCAAGGCATGGCGCTTACCAACCTTAGATGTCACCATTCCTGAAGTATTAAATAAACTGTGTCAAAACCTCGATTCTAAAGCACATATGGGGAGGACAAAAGATAATATATAATCTACTGTAAAGTACAAGTATAAAATTATAAATACAGTGGGAGGCAACCTCACTGCAAACAAATATAAAATCATGAAGTTGAATTGATTAATTGCTATAATCAAATAACATTTGGTTGAACGTTTGATGCAAATGAAACTCCCACCAATTGCAATGCTGGACTGTGTGTCTCATCTGCTTCAAATTCGGATAACAAGCAGAGGAGCATTGCTTGGAAATAGATCAAATTTTCTTTTATAGCATTAAATAGAAGTCTAAATATGAATAATGATATGTCACATTTGATAAAGAGATGTGTGCAAGATAAGATGATTAAGCGACCAAATGCTTAGAAGCAAATATAACACACAGACATCATAAGAATCACTCACCTCCACCAATAAAAATTTAACATACACAAGTTCAATGCACATAGTTCGTTTAAGTGTCTAATTAGTTTCATAACAAAATGGATTGCACCCCGCTCCATCCTCTCCATGCAACCCCCCCCCCCTCCAAAAAAAAATTTATTTTTATTATAATAATAAAGAAACTTCATTGCCTAGACAAACAACTCAGAACTTGAAATACGTCCACAAGTTTCCTCTAGCAACACTCATTGCTTATAGAGTTTGCATTTTTACAACACCCTCAAGAAAGAAAACCAATATAAATACTATTATGATGACTCAAACTAGGGATAAACAACATGCTAACAATCAACAACAAAAGCCAATTAAAAACAAAAAAGAGAAAAGAAAAAAAAAACGTGAGAACTAAAGTTACCCAAAAGAGCATCAAGAGAACGCAAGTTTGCAATTGGATTATCCCCCACCAACACAGAAAATGCAGATACTTTATCAGCAGCAGTCCCTGACCTCTGTGTTGAAACCAACATCTTAATATCACTGCTTTGACCCCTCGATGACTCATAATCCTGAGCATACTGTGCCATCAACCGCTCACCCATTTCCCTCTTCTTCTCAACAAACCCTTTCCACTCTTCAACATTCCTTATCTCCAGCTTCTTCCCTTCCCCAATCACTTTCGCTTCCAACTCAGCAACATCCTCAAACCACACACCCAAAGCACTTGCTTTCATCAAAGGAACCTTCGGAACATTCCTAAACTTGTTCAACCCTTTTTCCTTATTCCCATCTTCCAGTGACAAAACAGAAGGTTTCGGTTTCGGTTTCGGTTTCGGTTCGGGTTTGGCGTGGCTCTTAACATGGGGTCCATTTTTTTTGCTCAAAGTTACGTTTTTTGGATTCTGGGTTTTCTGGGGTGTAACCTTTTCAGGTTTTTGCTTCTTCTTCGGGGGCTTATTTGCCTTCGTTTTGCGAAAATCAACATCATTGAAACCCGAATAGGATTGTGAAGTGGATAACCCCAGCGAAGAAGCGAAAGAAGCTATGTCGGATTTGAGAAGGTCAACATCATCTTGTTTCGTCGACAACTTGCTCGAATTCGATTTCACCATTGTTGCTTGTCCGAGAAAGAACCACTTCCGAGTTTCAGAAAACGAAGTAGACACACTCAAGTAGGGTTTAACAATCTTTTGGGCCTGCCTCACTTGAAAAAAAAACTTCCAGCCCAAAAACAAAACACTGAGTTGGGCCTTTTTTTATAGACCGTAAACAACAAAAGCCCACGATTGAAACCCATTAGGGTTTTCCGCGTTATATTATAAACGCAGCGCAGCACAAGTTTGTAAAATTCCTTGCAGCACTCACTGAAACACTAGGGCTTGCGAACTCGTTGTTTCAGAGTTTGGGAATTCGCCATGGCCACCGCCACCAACACCACCGCAGCACCGCCGCGCCAGCTGTCGCAGAAGGAAGCCGACATCCAGATGATGTTGGCCGCCGACGTCCACCTCGGCACTAAGAACTGCGACTTCCAAATGGAACGCTACATCTTCAAGCGCCGCAACGACGGTAACCCTTTCTTCTTCTAAGACAAGGTGAAATTTGAGAATATGAATAGAACAATAAGGTTTTGAATTGGTATTTTGTTGAATTAGGGATTTACATTATCAATCTTGGGAAGACTTGGGAGAAGCTTCAACTTGCTGCTAGGGTTATTGTTGCAATTGAGAATCCTCAGGATATTATTGTTCAATCTGCGAGGCCTTATGGGCAGAGAGCAGTTCTGAAGTTTGCTCAATACACTGGTGCTCATGCTATTGCTGGAAGGCACACTCCTGGTACTTTCACCAATCAACTTCAAACTTCATTCAGCGAGCCTCGCCTTCTTATCCTCACTGATCCACGAACAGATCACCAGGTTAATACCACAACGGAAATTTGAAGATTTTGGTTTTTGGTTTAGATTCGTTTGATTGGGGTGTTTATGTTTTAAGTGCAATTTGTATTTTGTTTGTTGTTTTGAGGTTAATGAGTTTTGTTTTGTTGCAGCCTATTAAGGAAGCTGCTCTTGGAAATATCCCAACCATTGCTTTCTGTGACACTGATTCTCCTATGCGCTATGTTGACATTGGAATTCCTGCTAACAATAAGGGCAAACATAGCATCGGTTGTCTCTTTTGGCTTCTTGCCAGAATGGTGTTGCAGATGCGTGGTACCATTCGCCCTGGCCTTAAGTGGGATGTGATGGTAAAAAATATGTCTTTTGCTGCTTGTGTTGTTATTGATGGACTGGGTATGTGTATGCATCTGACCCCCGTTCAAGATCCAGAGGTCGGATTTTGGAAGTGGTGAAGATGTGTGCTGGTTTTCTTAGAGTTGCCTGTCTCAATGTTATATTGGTTGCAGGTGGATTTGTTTTTCTATAGAGAACCCGAGGAGGCCAAGCAACAAGAGGAGGATGAAGCTCCTGCGGGAGATTATGCCATTGCAGACTTCAATGCGGGTGCTATTGCTGCTGATGGCCAATGGCCTGCTGCAGTTGATCAGTCATGGAGCGATGCAGTTCCACAACCAATTCCAGCAGTTCCTGCTGTCGGCTGGGCGGCAACAGATGCTACTGGTACATGATTAATGTTCTTTTATAAAGATGGCTATTGTTTTCTGTTTTTTATGATCTTGATTGATCCTTGCAGCATGTGCTATATTGATTATCCATTTATTGTTGTAATGTTTTTTGTATGCTCGTTAATAATGTTCTAATAAATATTTAACTGGTTACAAAATGATGTGGCATGTTTGCTTCCTCCTTCAAGTTTTTAGTTATTTTTTGAACCATGTATATGTAACTCATATATGGCTGAACAAAAGTTTCTCCTATAATTGCAGGAGATTGGGGTGATTCCGTTCCACCACCGCAACAACAAATCCCTGCGCCTGGAGTTGAGTCTGTCCAACCTTCTGGCTGGGACTAAACAAGTGTTTTTCATGTTATGATTTTTGCCCCGTCCGTAATTTAGTTTACTCTTTCCTTTCTTTGAAGTAAAATATGGATCAGTTTTTTTGTAGCAAAGGAACTTCTTTTTTTTTTGTTTGGTATGAGTGGCAAAGATGTTACTATTAACCTGGTATATTCGCTAAGATTTTATCTTGTTTTTATTTATGCCCATGATTCATGAACGTTTTGAATGATACCCCGACTTTCTTTTCTTACCAATTCCTTCAATATACTATGAATGTTTAGCAATTTTAAGATTGGTTTCGATGGAGGCAATTCAAGTTTTCATTTGTTTATCTTATGGCAACTTTCGTTTCTTTAAAATTTTAGAATTAATTTTGAATCGAATTGGTTTGAAACCATTTTGAATTAGAATTGATAGAATTCATGTTTATTTTAATGTAACTTAATAGTTGATTTTGCATTTGAATGTACGCGAGAAATTAAAGTTCGCTATATAATAGACGGGTAGATAAATCAGTTTCTTCCTGGAGATAGTGTATAAATATATTTTGGGTGCACTTAAACAATAAAAAGCGCTGAAAGTGTACAAAGCTATTGATCTAGCGTTAAATTAAAATGATAAATGTACTAACAAATATAATATGTTGAAAGAAATGAAGTGTTTGTATCAATGGTGTAATTTAAGTTTTTAATGGTACGACTTTATATTTTCTCTTGTGATATGTCTGTTCTGGCTTCTGTTTCGTATTTTCTTGTTTGTAGTTTAATTATCCGTTCTTGATTTAACATACCGGAGAATAATGCTTGCCTCTTTCGGTGGAACTGAATTTTGTTGACTAATATTTGTATAGGGAAATAGTTTTATGTTTTAACGCTTAAATCCTTAAATCGTCGCATCTAAATTTAAATTTGTCCGTAGGTTTGCAAAAAGATTGAGAATTGGAGTTCGTGTAGTAAATTTGCCTGTCGCATTTTCTTTTAAGATTGTTCTATGTAGCGTAAGATACGTTGACAGGCAAATCTCATTATTTAAGAGATTCTAAATTTAATTACAAGTTATGCATAAATTATTTCTTTTTCCCTCGAGCATGCTAAAAAGAGAAAAAGTAATAATATTTACAAGTTTACAGTTTAATATAACTAAAAAAAGAATACGGGAAAGTAACGAATGAGTAATGTGAACTTGAAAAAACAAATTAAAGAATCTTTTATAAACATGGGTGTAATTCAAAACCGAAAGCTTTCAAAGTGTCTTACTTCAGTTACTAAGCTGTGATTTGAATATATTGGTTCTTGATTATTTGTTAGTATATTGGGATTTAAATTATTTTTTAGATGAATATCATTAGTTTAATATGCCTGGAAAGCAAAAATTTCGTTAACAGTCAATTTCTTTTTTAAGAACCTTGTTAACCAATACCCTAAATATACCGGTTAAAGAATTAACAGTTCACTTTCATTAAAAATCATGAAAATAAGTATCTTTTTCATTTTTTAAAAAAATATTTTTTTTTATTTTTATTCCTTAACTACTGTTCTAAACACACTTGTGAGCGTTTTTTCTTTTTTCAATTACAGAGATTATCATATCTTCTACTCGATTAAAAATCAATCTTAAAAAGTCCATTAAATATCAACTTGATAAGAAGGAATAAAACATCTTTTTACGCCTTCTCATCAACCGAAAACAATGACATAGGCAAGATTTATTTCATTAACAAACTTCTTTGTTATCCTTTCCTAACGTTAACGCTATTGAATTCACCTCTAAACTAGTACCGAAAATAATAAAATCTTTGTCTAGATTGTCCAATACAAGTGGTTCAACGGTGCCATGTTACTCAAATCAGCATTTAGTTTTAACGCTTAATGGCGGACACGTGAAAGTATGATACCAAGTTAAGCTCAATTATTAATATAAAGCTATGTCAAAACTTGCAATTCCATCTTGTCAACTTCCCCATCCCCGAGGTTTCTAGTCTTTTCAAACCAATTAAGAAACTTCCGTGAAAAAATCGTGATGTTAAAAAAAATCGAGAATATGGAACTTTCTCTAGTAATTTCCAAGTTAAAGAGCAGAAAAGTCAGCCACAGAGAAATCACTCGTCAATTCTAGATAATGTAAAAAGGCCACATTATCAAGGGAAATAGAAAAGATGAGTGCAGATAACTAATTTATTGGTCAAACAGATTATAATATGCAAGAAATTTTTTAGTTTTCTGAATGAAAATTATATACAAGGTTGATTTGATGATTATGGTATGTTTTGGGAGACACAAAAATGAATTACCTATTGACATTACCATTACCTCCCAAATGATGCCATGATGCATAACTTTGAAAAAAAATATTATCAGTAACTCAAATATTGCCCCTTCAACAAAAATCAGCTAGTCAGCTGCTGCCATTGCTATTTGATTTTTTGATGATATCTTACCATTTATTTCTGTACACCAAAGTCAGGGAACCACATCCTTCGGATGGGGTTATAAGGGTCATGGCCATTCATTTGTCCCAAAACTAAAGCAATTCCCCTTCAGTTACCCACCGTTCAAAGTTTTCAAAGTGTTTGCTGAATTCTTCTCCACTCTGCCTTCCCTGAAATACATTGAATGAACTCTTATCACATGAAGGTTTATAGAGTAAAATTTAATTATGAAACTAATTGGAGAGTTTATTTTATAAGTTATACCAAAAAATTATTGAAACAAGCTAAAATGAACATATCAGAGTCATAAACTATTTTGGTAAGTTTTTTGTAAACGCTTCTAAGCCACAATATATACAGTAAAATGAATGCACATTAACAATTTGACTCTGAAAATATTTAATTCTGAAGTTTGGATAAAAACCGAGGTACTCAATTGTTAAACCCCTACAACCAAATATAGATCCCCCACACTTTCCATATCATGCTAATATATTAGCATTGTCAAGTAGATATTCCAAGTTCCAACAAGTTCACAAAGAACCCATAATTGACTTTTTATAGACCTTAAGAGAAATACAGAAAAGGCCCCATTGTTGATTAAGGCATTGGGAAGTTATTTCAATTAGCCTTTTTCTTATTAACCAACTATAACTCACTAATATTTCCTCAATGAAAAAGCAAATTATATTATTCTGTAATGATCATACTAACCTTCATGCTGGATCCAGATTCACTAGCAGATGTCTCAGTAGTTATTAGTTCATTCGCAATATTTTCTGAGGAGATGCTGGTTGACCTGTAACATCAACAATATTGGCATCACTTGACATCAAAATATGGAAAGTTGTAAACCAATCCCTTACTCAAGAACTGAGTTTTTACTCCATTATATTAACACTACACTACTTGAATTTTTTACCATGTTGTTCACATACACACCACAATCTAGAAACCTTGACCAAATAATTACATTAAAAGAAGAAAAACATCCTCTTAGATCCTTCCCTATTGACTTTCATGCTCCAAAAATGAAATCCATGCTCTCCTACTTCCACTTGAGGATTCACTTCAGCACAGAACCCAAGACCAACATTTTTACAAGACACAGACTCACAGAGTCCTCTCACCAATATGCTAATTGAAGAAAGTGAGTGAAGGTTTCCACATATACTGGCGGCTAGACACCTAACAATTGCTTAGCTCTAGTTAAAATGCTTTCCCTCCGTCGTTATTATCTCTCCCATAATCAAAACATTGCTTCCCATAATTGCAGGAGCTCTGACTATTGCATAATCCAAAAGCTGACAGAATTTTAGTCCTTGCTCCTCATCATTTTTTCAATTCATAGACAAACCTCTCAAATTAATTGAAATAATACTTTGTGCAGTGATTATTCTTCTCATTCTCTCACCCAAAGAACACATGCCTCTACTTTTGATCAAAGATTAAGGAAAGTATAACGCCAATGGCATAGAAATATCATATTTTAAAATCATTAAGTGACATAGAAGTAAGAAGATGGCATGGAACATGATTTCAAATCAAAGTTTTAGAACTACCTTTCAAGTAATTCCTCTTCACAAGAATTTCCAGAGGAAGAAAGCCAGTCCAAATCAACAAAATTGGAGCAGTCACATATGCCTCCATGTTCATCGTAACAAATATGATCAATATCATAATTTTGGTCCTTGACCATTCCTCCATATATCTGCCTGTATGATATTTAATAAAACATGACTGTCAGAACATTTAGATGGCTTGAGTAGTATTATCATGTCAAACAATTGATCATATTACACAAAACAGATGGAATTGGTTACTATGGTGCCTGACTGACTCTCCTCTACAATCTCATTTGAATGGCAAACCAATTTTAACAGAAACAAAAAACAACAAAAATAATCAGTATTAGGTATTAACAAATTAGAACTCCTAGATTGATTGCATGAGCCCTCCTAGAACTCCTACTCATGATCACAGAGAGGCCATCGTAATTGAGTTGAGTGCAATTTGAAACAGAGACCCAATTCTGCCTAGCTCTTTGAGCTGTGGTATCATCAATTTTCAGTTGGTCTTTCAAAGAAGTTACATTATATTGCTTATTTCCAGAAAAACTTTCTTCTTTTAGAGATTAAGGTTGTATTCAGCATATAAACTGCTAGTCAGCACACCACCAGTATATAAAAGTAGTTACCAGATTTTGCAGCATGCAAAATGCCAATTTAGCATACCTGCAATGACAAATATCACTTCCGCATGTAAAGATGTCTGGAGTAGACCCTGAAAGGAAACGCTTATTGGGTTTTTCAGATGAGTGCTGACAATTTGTACCATTCAAGTTCCTAATTGTATTGTCATTTTCACAGAGAATGTTGCCATCTGATAGCGATCTTTTAATAGATGACCTACCAAAATAAAGGAATAGCCTTGTCAGTCTTCTGACAACAGAAGACATTTTTCAACAATATCATTTAATAAAATCCACAAGGCACAAATAACTTTTATTTATTTGCTTTTGCCCTCAAAAAAGGATAAATTCAAGATTACACTGTGCCTAGTATCTTGTCCTCGGATCATAAGTCAAAGCTAACAGTAACACCATCTCACTTTCATAAACAAGACCATCTAAAAAAAGTATTGAGCTTCCATAGTAGCAATTTGGTTTTTCTAGCAGCAACCTAGGGGGGAAAATGAAGCAATTACATTAGACTGTAAACTTAAGTAGTGAGTGAGGAAAAATACAAGGAAGGCTTTCAGCACCAATTCTACCTCAAAGGACTTAAAATGTTTTATAAAAGGCACTCAGCATTCCTCAAATCACAAAATCAACATCTATCTATGTGCTTGACCAATGTTTTCAATTTGAGAATGATGATCAAAGTTAAAGGCAGATCAATACAAGAAATGTATATCTGAAATATGAGACAAAATATAAAAAATTCATGTACATAAGTTACATTCTTGAAAATTAAATATTTGCAGGTCACAATTCTTTCTTGTTTATAAGTATAATCCTCCTCTCAAATGATTCATTGAATGGAAAGGACAAAAACTTGTGCAACTCAATAATCCACTCTTTACCTGACGCTGTCATCGGCTAAATACAGGCCACGTTTCCCAACAGTGCAATGCTGATCTGAATCTAGCTCCCACAGTGCTGGTTTTCCCTGTTGTGGCTGAAAATGCCCCAAGAATCTGACCCAAACAATATCAAACATGATAGTAACTAATTCATTCTAATAAAATCACTATAAATTTGCAACATGAGCTTGTTTTTAATCATATTACCTACTGAAACAATTATGTAAATACAATTAAGAATATGGACTCATTTGACTCACAGGTTAATTGCATTTTGCTTATCACCATCTAAATATGTGTTGTTGTAATAACGCTGTAGGGTTCGAATAAATTCCTGGGATTGTGTTGCTGCCTTCCATTGACCTCTTCTCTCAGAAAATATCTGAATAGCAGTACCAAATACCAATTGAAAAATACTCAAAGGAGTAAGCAGTAATCAAACAAAGTTTTTATGCAAGGAAAATAGGATATTGTTGAAGTAAATTAATCAATAAAGGATAAATTAAGCAATAGATCCTTAAAAGATGGAGAACTTTTACATAGATCCCTAACTTTAAAAATTTACGGTCCCTAAACATATAAATCATTTGTAATTGGGTACATGGAATAGGAGTCTCTCAAATTTAGACAGAAAATTCTTAATCTTAGTTATGAATTATAAAAGTAAGTACAGGGACCTATTTGAAATTTCTCAAATATTTGAAGGATCCACTAATTAACTTAACTTACATCATTTTGGATTCCATGTTAAGCTTAAGATGCATAGCCTAAATAAAATCATTATGTGCAAAATTTCTGATCCCATATTATTATATTTTGTAATCCATGAAGTCCAAATTCTCAAAGGTAGAAAGATTACCTTATTGTGTGCAGCAGACCCCCCATATTGAAAGGCTAATGTGTCGCCCATGGACTCATAGACTGCCATTAATTCCTTGGCCAAAGGGTTATCAAGATTTATACATGGGGATTCAATAAATCCTAAAACTTGGAGCTGACGTCCAAGTGCAGCTAGTCCATAAGCATATTGAGCAACATTGGTACGATCCAAACAGTCTATGCAATTAGTCCTCAAGACCCCAGCTTGAAGCATCTGTGGCTTGACACTGGAATCTTTGTTCTCGTCACCACTACAGTAACAATTGCTAACTTCTGTTTCCTTATCAATAGTATCCTCATTTATACTAGCTTGTTCTGGGATACAGAGATCAATGACATTGTTATTCCTGCATTGAATTAAAAGAAGCCTCATTAATAAATGATAGATATAAAAGTAACCATTCATGAGTTTCTTCCAAACAACTTAAGCTTTTGGAAGACTTGGTCCATAACATGGTATCAAGGCCTCAAGCCCAAAAAGGAGTTTCAAAACAAGGTAGGGTGGGCCTGTGCATTGTCCCTGCTTCAAGCTGAAAAAGCTCTTGCAGGAGGGGGCATTTTAAGATATTAATTTTTAAAAAAAACATGGATCTTCACCTAATAGCTGAAGATTTTGAGGGAGTTAGTCCATGACAAATAAAAATTACTAACAATAACATTGAGGCAAAAACAATTGTTAAACATTATAATGAAGTGGGAAAAAATGCTAGATATTCCTAATACACAAGGTATATAATGTAATAAACACCATCTAAATATACCATAAAAAAAATCAATAGGGAACTGCATCAGCAATTCTAAAATAATCAACTGAAATTCCAACATGCCTAGTTAATACAACAGCAAACAGGACCAAAAGGTGTTATGGTACTTACTCAGTGTAGGAATGCTGGAATAATCCATCTAGCTTCACATTTGGTGTCACTGGACAGTAGAAGATGCCAGTCAACTTCAGCGCATATGCAGCCACTTTTCCCAGTTGTGCCAACACATTAGTAGCTTTGCTGCTAAAGGTGGTTGATCTAATAATATCAGAACACCAATAATAAACCTATAGTGGTTGGACGAAAAAAGGGAAGAGCAAATTACCATCGTGAATGCCGATGCAGATCCCAATGAAGGAACCTCAGGCGATTATCCCCTCTAATATTTTTATTAATAGACCTAACAGCATTTGCAAATTCAGCTCGCAAAATAGTTTCCCGAGGCCTCTTCTCACGTGTCTTAAAAACAAAGGACAAAAGAATATGTAAGATATAAGATCTTATAGTTTAGACACAAGACAGAAACCCAGCATGCATAATGGTTCCGCACATATGTGGAAATCCCTACCTTTATCAAGTTCAATATAATAATTGGATTTCCATATCTCTTGACAAGATTTTCAAAATGAAGTCGGGTGGCTTCAAAATTAGAGTCCTTCCTTGATACTGGAGAAAAAGAACCAAAATGAGCTGGTGGCATAAATTACAAAACAAGTGAGTAACAAAGGGAAGTTCCTTCCATAATCATACATATAATGTCAGGTTTTATATTCAATCTAGAGGCTTCCTGAGACCAGAACAGAGGGATTGAACCCCGGATCTGCACCACAGAACTGATTTGCATTGGGCATCCATTATGAGCATCAGTAAAGACAATCTGCTCTGTCTCAACATCATTAGCTACTCTGCCCTTTTCATTCACTCCTCGTTTCAAATACCTGCATCACAAGTGTAAAAATGTGAAACAGAATGCAATTTTAATCTTAACACAAACTTTAGAAAAAAGGCTCAAAAGTACAAACCTGGTCCCAGCATAATGCCTTGAGCGCCTAGCAATGATAGTCAAGTTGAACTCGCTGCCAGAAATAGAAAGTTTGACCTACACCCAACACCACAAAATAAACACTCGTCAACAAGATAACACCAAGCCTTATCTGAGAACACATAATACTAGCATTTTGCTGGCACAATCAAAATAGATCTAGAAGCCAGTAACGCAGTAACCATTAAAAGTTATACAGCAATAAGATGTTAGGAATACTTCCTACAGTAAGTTAATCAAACCTCTTGTGTGGTCTTGAGGAATGAATTTCCCAACATACGACAACTGAAAAACTAATAAATTATTATTTAATGACTGCAGCATTAATCTAATAAATAAAAGGCCAGCAAAAAGATTAGTTTCTCACTATAGAAACAAGAAGGTACAGGAAGCAATATTGATCAAGTACAAATTAATAAATATAAGCAAGAGAAAACTGTTCCCAATAGGTGTCAGATACTCAACATATATCAAAGGTTAACCTCACTGCAGACATAGAAAACAAAAAGTAAGAAGAACTAAAGAAATCAGTACAATCACAAGCATAACCATTATCTACAATAATTACCTTCCTTCACAAATCTCTCATAAACATATCAATTACCCAATAAAGGAAAATTCATATGTACCTGTTTAAAGAAGCCATACACTAAGGCAACAGTCCAGGAAGTATTCTGGAGACTATTCCTGATTCCACGGGTTAAGAACTCATTCCAAACAAAAAGAGTTTCATAAAGTGATTGTCCCGTAGTATTATCATCAGATAAGTTCCTTTGAAGACTAAGCATGATATTGTAGGAGTAGCTGAAAAAGAAGTCCTTTGTAAGGTCCACACTGCATAGAAGCTTCTTGTATCTAAGTCACAACAGAAGAAAGAGTAAAGCCCATTAATAAGATGGTTTATTGTATAGAAAAATAAAAGTGAAACAAATGGACATAAAAACAACTTATGAAGTCTTTAACTCTAACCAAACGTATTTAAAAGTGAAAAGAAAGTGATCTCCCAATTGAAACCCTGGCAATACCTTGTCTCAATCAAAAAGTTACATTTACATCATAACAGCAATGAAGATTGCCCCTGTACATTTGCAGGAAATGAACTGACAATAAACGTGGAACATGAAAAACAACAAAGGAGGTACCAACCATATATATTACATGACTCCAAGATCTGAAAGAAGCATTATTTATTCTATTTTATATCAGACAATTAAAGTGTACCACAGAAAGATGAGAAGGTTGACCTGAGGAAGCCCACATTGTGGATACACACTGAAGAGAGGCAATCAACATATATGGTACATAGAAAAACTCTATAACATAGAATTTGAACACAACAATGCTGTAACAGAATGTTTTCACTACACAATATAATGACGAAATTAAAAAATTGTAATTAATAATATCTAAGTACAATGGACAAGGTATAGCTCTCAATGCTACTCTCACATGTCTCTTTAGATGTACCATAGACTTATTACAATTACATGCAAAATTGACTAAAGACCTGTTCTCATCCTTAGAATAAGCCATTTTGGTTCGCACAGTAGCATGTGGAATTGGAACCATTTCGCTCTTTGTGATAGCATATATAGTGTGCCCACAGATTGTGCCAATCTTCCTTCGTTTTGTTATAAGCAGCATGTAATATGGCTCAAGAAATTTGATAAATCCTAAATCAAAAGAAAATACCATAAGATGGTGGAATTATTCTGATGAAAAATATGGGAAACATGACTAGCGATAATAATAACAATTTAGCTTTTATATTGAAGATAGAAAAATACCAATGATTCCATAGCATGTCGTTACAAATTTAAGCCCCCCTGTTGAAATGTTTCCTTCATGTATCCGCCTTAGAAGGTCACAACACTCAATTTCTGAGTATACTGTTGAATCTTCAACGATATACAATTCAGATGGCTCCAATCTGTCAATCTTTAAGACCCTCCAAAATGTTCTGTTTTTGTCTCTTCCGATCATGTAAAATTTCTGAGTATAGAAAACTCGTAAGACCACAGCAATAGTGCTTCATAGTATTATGTGCAGACAAAAGTGAAAAGATAATATTCATAAAAGAAAGAGTACATCTCAGCTCACATTTATCTTTGGTAACAAAAAAAAAACTAAATTTAATTGTCCTCATTTCCAAAGCAATTGAGAGCTGTTTTGACTTTTAACAGGATGACAACCTGATACAACTCAAAAGCCACTTATCAGGATAAGTCTTCCCATAATAGTCATTTATAGTGCATTGCACATTTGTGTTACGGGCTCATGGTGCCATTGTGCATTGGAATAAAATGTTAAAAACTCAAAATTAAATATCAATTGAGAAACAGTTTTACTTGATTTAGATTTTGAGGGTGGATTCCAAGGACAATGCCCATGTTGTGCAGGCAAGGTGACTTAAAATTAATGAGCAACGCAAGAAGTGTTTTATTGCTCCAACCAGAAACTGCATGCAATTAGCAAGTATGCTTTCCATAACCCAAAATAACAAGTGACATTCTCTCATAAATGACAACTATTTTGTGTCCATACAATCATTGCTTCTGATAATCTAAATAAATATATTCAAAGTAGGAAAAAAATACACTAAATTTACCAGATCAAAGTCAGGTACATTTTGATAGTAAGAAGCTACAATTGCTTGTGTGGCAATCAATAATTAACAGCTGATCATTATATTTCCATTTCAGAAAAAAACAAAAAAAAGAAAAAAAGGAAGCTTGATATTAAGTGAGAACATAATGGATGCTGCCCCTAAAACATAAGACAATGTGAAAGTGAGAGAGAAATGAAGTAGACACTCACAATTGTGAGAACATGAATGTGGAGAAAAATTTAAGTGGTAACTTTATCACATTTTTCCATTTAGGTCTCATTTTCTGAAGAATGTAACATTTTCAATTCAACCATTGTAGTTCTGTTTTTTGTGTGTGGTTCCCCAAGGTTCTTATCAAAAACAGATGACAGTTATAAATGAATTATAGTAATGATTCAGGCCAAGCAGAAGTCGAAGACCTGAATCAATAAATTCTCACAAAAATCCATGAGAATCCTGATAGACAACAACTCATCAAACCACTTCCACGAACAGATGTATCCAAATTCAAGTTTATAAACTCCTCACAGAAAAAACCAAACTTTACACATGATTTGATTCCTTTGCCCAATGGGAAAAAAAAAACATCATGATTCATGAATCCGCGAATGAACATGTCACATGTGCACATGACATGTTACATCAACATGAATTAGACAAGGGGAAAAGGGAAAGAAAGAAAGATAATTTAACCCAAACAAAACAACACGCAAAGAGAAGCATAGTAACACAAAAACAACATCATATCTGGATCATGGTCAGAAGATACTATAAGAGTAATGCATACATCATTGATGTATATATGTACAAGATTATGAATTTACCGAGCGGGTCTCATAGAGCCTGAACTTTTGCATATAGCATGACTTAGGGTCAGCTCCATTTGCAACAGCAATACTGCTATGCAGTTTCTCCTCTGTAAACTCCATCACAATTCAGATCCCGAGCCTCAAAAAGCTCGGGTTTTCCAACGAGATCACCAGCAGAAAATTCCAAATAACAGCAACAAAGAGCTTCTGTTTGATCAAACAGAAGCTCTTGAAAACTCACACACAATAACAAGTACAACAAAAAGCTCAAAACTTTACATCAAAGGAGCTCAGGAATACACACACCCCAAAAGAAGTACAATCAAAAGCTCCAAACTTTATATCAATGGTACACACAAAATTCTTGTTACATACACAATGACACCCAAAATTCAAAAAAAAAGACAAAACAGGAAGGAAAAGAACAACAACAAAGGTTAAATCTAAATCAGAAACTATGGGAAAAGGAAAAACAGCTTTTTGTGGAATCCAGAGTGTGAATGGTTTTGGGGAATGGAGAAGCAGAAACAGCTTTTTGGTTTCAGAGATGAAAAGAAAGTGAATATGAGATTGTCAGGAAACAATGAAGAGAAGAAAGCCACAACTTCGGCCACTGCATCCACACAAAAAAATAAAAATAAAATTATAATGAAAAATGCAAAACAAATAACCATTAAAAAAAACCAATTTTTCTCGCTGGGGCCATTTTCTCTCTCTCTCTACCCGGTAGCAGTTTTTTTTACCGTGTCTAATCTAACGTGTCTTTCTATTATGTTTTCTTCTCTTCTTTTCTTTCCTTATTGGTTATTTCCCTTTTTACACCAGCACCAAATTACCAAGTTTAAATTAATTTAAATTTGATTCATTTAACTGTGTAACAACTGTTTCCTATCTTCTTATATTTTTATTTTTTTTTATCACATTTTTTAATAAAACATTATGCCATATTATTTAATGATAATTTATTTTACCCTTAAGATAAGTTTTGTATAGTGAGAATATCATCCATTTGACTTTGCTAAACGGATTGTTTCCATAATAATTTCATGTAGATATTCATTTCTTAATTTAACTGATGAATGTTTAGAGCATTGTACAAATATATTTAAATATAACCTAAATATAAATATATGTATTAAAACATTTTAAAATTTTGATGAAAATTTTATTTTTTTGATAATAAACAATAGTAGTCCTGTGAAATACTTAACAATGATTAATCTAATTAAAAAAAACATTTGATGATCCCAAATACATTTTAGCTATTAAAAATCCAAAAAATATAATCACCGTTCTAATAAAAAAAAATTAACCATCGTCTTAATATACAGTTGGCATAGCAACTACCTCGTAAATAAATAAATATCAAAATAACACATCTAATTAATCATGGGTACATTTAATATCTAATTTAATTAAGTATTTATTTAATATTTATGCTATGAGATTTGTTGTCATAAGTTTGATTAAATACTAAAAAAATGTTAAAAATTTTTATTTTGATAAATGATTTTAAAATTTTGAAATATAATTTATGGAAACTTAAATTATATTAAAAGTAATTTGAAATATTATCATGACACCTTGAAGTTATGATAAAACAAAATTAAATTTTAAAAAATGAAATATAATTAAACTACAATATTTACCTTTAACTTTGAACTTTTTATTGAAATTTAAAGTTCCGTTATTTAAACATTGAATAATTAATATTATATATGATAATATATATTTTTTTATTTTTACTTTATTACATACATATATTTTAAAATTAAATTTTTAAAATTAAAAAAAATATTTTTTAATTATAAATTTTTTTTTTGTAGCAAATCTTAAAGAATATATTAAAAATTATAAACATTAATTTAATAAAAAAATTAACTAATAACATTAAAATAACCATAAATTCATATAATTTAAATGCGAAATCAGAATGCTGCTAAACTCTATCATATGTAAAGTCATTTTCTCTTCTGTAATCCAATTACTGTGACCTGATTAAACCTTCTAGTTTGAAAACACGTATAATTAACAACCTAAACGATGCATTTTGCAAAGAATAAAAAGAAAAATTAAATTTAACAAATCATTAATATCTTCCAGATTGTTAGGCAACGGGTTCGTGGCATTAAACAAACTAGTAGAAATTTGATAATAATGTAACACTTTACTTTAAATAATATTATCACACGTGTTACTGTCGAATTTAAGTCTTCAAAATATAATTACATTAAAAATTATTAGAAATATTTTAAATTTTTAATAAATTTATCCTACTTCAGTCTGAATATTTCAGAGAAAAACAGCATTCAAGTGAATCAAAGTTAAAATGCTTAAATTACAACTTATAACAAAAAAAAATTACTCCTTTATTTAATCTAATAATCATACATTATAGTAAATTTGAATAAATAATTTCAAAAAATATATTTTTAGGATTATTTATTTTTATAATTAATTGGAGTATTTCTCCTACATTAAATATCTTCTAGTTGTACATACTTTTTATTTCCTTCAAATATTATTCTTTATATTTAATTTTAAAAATTGTAATACACTACGTCAAATTTTTTTAAAAAATTGACCTGTATGATTTAAATAATTTATATTTATAGATTTTCAGGTTTAGTAGACCTAATCAACACGGTAAAGTGAAATTTGTATTTATCAAGTTTTTTTTTTATAATAACAAAATGGTTATGACATTTTCTATTTGACATAAGGTATCAAAATTTCTCATTTTTCTACAGGCACGTGTTTAAATCCTTGTGAAATTAACCAAATTTTCATTCGATGCGCATCTCTCTTTGTGAATTTTTTTAACATATAAATGATTACATAAAATATATACAGTTTAAATTCATACAATAATAATATAATATATTAAGTTTAGTTTAATTAGTCTCTCTAACACGTCATTAGTGTCTCACTCAACAAGATTAGAGCTATCACCTCCTTCGTACAATCTTTATATGAGAAAAAAAAAACACATTTTGGCTCACGACAATTATTTTAATCATCCACTGACTATGATTGTAAATAAACAAAGCGTTTACTTCATTAATGGCATAGAATATTAAAATAATGAGTTGATTCCACGCAGAGAAAGAATATCCAAATGTGCCCTTTGGATGGCTTCGAATACGAAACCCACCAATCATTTACGCAGCATATTCTTCTTTTCTTCTTTGTCACGCAATTTCTTATTCTCCTTTTTCTATCCTTTCGTTTCTTGCGCAAATCTAACACCTATGTTTTCATTCCTGTAGAAAATATATTTTCTAGGTATAAAGCTTAAATGTATTTTACTATATATTTTTATTAAACTTTTTTTTCTTCAAATTTTACTTTTTATTATAACTATTGATATGTCGGTAAACTAATTTTAAAGTTTTAAATTTTAAAAACTATAAAAATGTAAACATTGGAAATGTATTTAAATTACTTATTAATTATATAAAATTTTATTTTAGCATTGAATCAAACTTAAAATGTGCATTTCAATCCCGCTTGAATCGTAACAAATTATTTTGTTCTGTTGTAACTGAAATTTGACATTTTCAAATTTTGATTTCTCGTGTCAAATAATTTTACGGCAAGTGGAGTCTAACACGTTTTGGCTATGATGGAGGCGTTCTAAGTCTCACAGGTACGTAAGCACCCCTCCTTTTCTTTTTCTTTTATTTTTAACGATTTGTATAATAATTTAAAAATATATTATTTTAAATTTTATAAAAAGTATTAGTTGTTTTTATTATATTGTATATTTTTAATAAATTTTTATTATTTATTAGTTTTTTTATTATATACGCTTTTATACAAGTTAGAAAATTAAACTATCTATCATTTTCACTAAATAAACAATATTTATAATTATTAAATATAAAAGTGGAAAAATATTAATTAATCATTAATTTTATAATATAACAAAAGTATAGTACTATAAATATTTTTATATTATTCTTTAATTAAAATTGAAATTTGATCTTAATAACGTCTATCAAAACTTTACTACGTATATTATTAAAACAAAACTTTAATTTTAATTAAAAGTAATAAAAAATATCATAAATTCAATAAAATATATTAAAAATATATATTTATTGAGGATATATTTAGATTAAACTTTTTGAAGAAATAAAAAAGAGGATGACATCTTTTATTTTAAATTAAGAGAATTATATATTATTAATAAAAATAAATACATAATTAATATATTGAGTCTAATTTATATATTTTATTTTAAAAAATATTAATTCTAATAATATTATTTGAAATAAAAAAAAATTCTCCTCCTTTCACTCTTCTCCAATATCTCTTTTCTAACCTACTCTCATAAGATGCTACAAAAACAAAAGAATGTTTGATTATAAATTTTTTTAATCTTGAAAATAAATGTAATATATAAATTTAAATCATTACAATATATATATATATATATATATATATATATTAAATTTTAAATTTTATTGTTTAAGATGCATTTTGACGAGTAATTTAATTATATGTTCGTTAAATAAGTTTTAAAAAATGTAAAAAATGCTGTATTTGAAATTAAATTTTATTCAAATTTTATATTTTAAATTAAGTAAAAAACTACTTAACTCTTGGTATTAAGTTAAAATTTTGATAATCAATTTAATAATTAATATACAAATATTAATGAAAATAGTTTGATAAATAAAAAGCATATTTGATGTAATTAAATTAAATTTTAATGAGTAAAGTTGTGTTTATAAGTTTACTTTAAATATACACTTTATTAGAGTAACTTTAAAACCGTTTATTTTAGTATTTATTTTTTAAGTTATTAAAATTAACTTAAAAAACTAGATAAAGATATCATCAGCCACTTTTTAAAATATAAATAAATCTAAAAGACTTATTTAAAAAATCTTCAAAAATTATTAAATTTTGACCAATGTGAAATAAATTATATATTATGCTTAAGAAACATTTTTAATTTGATTACCAATTCACATAATATACTATGTTTTTGTTATTTTTTAATAACTATTATTTATTTCAATAAAATGTTATTTTTTCTGATATAATCATATATTAAGCATACATATTTAATAATTATATACCAATCAGGGTAAAGATACTTATACAAAATACATATGATAATGTTAAGTCAAAATTGTATTAACTAACTCAATAAATAACAAATACAGATTAAAAATAAAAATATTTTTTATTCACCTAAATTGTTAAAAATTAAGTATTAACAATTTTATAAAAAGTAATTAGAAGTGTAACAACTTTTATAGATGATCATCTAAACGGAGGACAACCCTAAATTTAAAATTTGTTAACTAACTTGAGATTTAATAAACAATTGTTAACTACATAAACTATTTTTTTTTACTTAATAAGAACAGATTAAATTTATAAAATTAGAACTGTAACAATATTTATAAAATTAAAACATTATTTAAACATAAAACATTTTAAGAGTGCTTGACTTGCGAGAGGTGTGAAAGACTGGACTAACACTTTAAGAAGTTAAATTTTTTATCATTTTCACACAATAATTGGCATTGGTCGGTAACTGTGGGTAT